TACGGCCCGCCTTTGGTCTGTACATGTACAATGTATACAGCCAAATGCACTCGCCCACACTATTATACTCTCCCCATATGATTTTTTTGTCCAGAGGCATATGCTGTTAGCTTTGTTTATGTACTCAGGCAGTAAATTATCCCTCGGTGAGTATGCGCAGGGAGGGCCAGGCTTTATAGCGCTTTGGCTTTGGACCATACTGCTTGGTTGGGTACATTAGCGTCATAATCAACCATGGCCTGTAATGGGACTGTATGGACTGATGGCAGTCAGTCTGCGGTCCTGTTAGTAGAGCACAAGGAAGATCAGAGCTTGACGGTGTGTCAGTGCACTATCTGCCACTGCCCATCCCAGGAGGATGTTGGGGGCATTTTTTTGCGAAATGGCGAAGCAGCGGGCAATCCCAGAGGCAAATAGGAAGCAACAGTGCGGTCATTGGCACTGGGATTATCATACACAATGAAAGTTGATTAGCTTCTCCGTATGGATTTTCGAATGGCGGTGCAGGGGGCGGGGAGGTTGGAGGGATTTTAAGATTTAATAGTCTATAATTTTCTTGTGTCAAGTTGTAAAAGAGCCTTTGAAGTAGTTAATCACACAAGTACATCATATGCTTCACAGTACTACGTAGTATCCTGAAAACGTTTGACGTTTTGACATCAAATTTAAGGTGTGTTTTGTTGAATTTTCTTGTCAAATTTGCATTCCTTTTGGTATTTTGATTTTTAGAATTAGAGTTTACAGTGAGTTAAATTACTCTTTCAGACTTTCTACCATAGTATAATAATACAATAGTGGCATATTGTGATGTGAGACATACTTTATTCCCTAAAAATGCATGGCACTCTCGGACTTGCATTGAACACAAGATACACAAGGTGCAAGGTTATTAATTAAGGAGTGCTTTTATAAAACAAGTTATACATATAATTGCACAAGTCAAATGGTGAGAAAATCAATCAAGTGACTGTTTTCAACAGTTAAGAGCTCCCAGTCTACATGAAGCAGGATTGACTGACTGTGACTGTTTATGTAACTTGATGCATCTATTCTTTGACTGTAGGTGATTGATAAGCCAGCTCTGACTACTGGTACCACTACATTTGACTAGTCACAGTGTTTGCTTGAAATATGATCTGACTGTTGGTTGCTAGCCTGTGTAAAAGGCATGACAGCTAGGGAAGAGAATTTATTGTTTGACTGTCTGTGACTATTCAGATAGCAGGAGGGTTATGAGATATTTTTTTTTACATGGATTCCATGCCAGCCAATATAGCCCCAAAAGCCAAAGATTCAATTCCCATCACCCATACCACCTCCATAGTGACAGACTGCCATTTCATAAAGACACTTGTGTGCTGTTGCCACTGTGTGTTCATCACTTTGATGTGCACAATTTTGTGTGATAGGCATAACCATAAGATTGGATAGATAGAAACCTACAGAGATGTAGGTTTGCGGGCCAGCATGACTCGGGTCTGTTGGTATAATCTATTAGTCCTCTGCATCCCTGAAACCCTGATTGTACCTGCAAAGATCGCACCAGGAGGCGTCTACATACTTGCTCCCATTTCTGACCGTTTGTGTTGCTGCATTCCCCCTCTTTCATCGCCCCCAGCTGAAATGAATTCAGCACATTAATAGGGATATGGCCCAAGTAATGACAAATGCAGGAGGCTGTGTCCTGTGCAGACTGTGCCCAGCAGGCCTGATTGGCTAATGTTTCTTCTCCCCCATTGCCCACCCCCCTTATTCTCTATTTTCGTTCTCTCTTTCTCTGTGTCTTCCCCTGCTTTGTTGCGGTCACTGGCCAGCTAGTCTCAGGATGACACCCCGGCCCGCTTCTTTCGTAACTGTGTCACAGCACAGGATAAAGGTGAAATGGTGTCAGTGGCTAAAAAAAAGTGCCGTAGCAGCAACCCGATCCAACCCGGTAAATGAGGCCAGGTAATCTCAAGTGTTCCTCCAGTATAGACTTTCTAACCCGCCTTCCAAGTGATCCCCCTGGGCTAGTGAAAGACGAGTGTCTCTGACCTACTTTGAGGTTGCCTATTTTTTTCCCTGTCTGTGCTGTTCCTCTCTCTCTCTCTCTCTTTTCTGTTTCACTGGCTCGTGCTTATTCTTACCTGTACTGCATACTGCCCTGTCCTCCAAACCTAGCCATATTTCTCTGGGGCTAGTGGTAGGAGGCCTGGGTCAAGGAGCTAAACCACCAGCGCAATGAGTTCAACAACTACCGGTTGGCCAGCGGGGGTGATGCACCGTTTACCCTGGTTAACTAGCAGGGGAGAGGTAGCATGGGGGTCTGAGGACATGTAGGAGGACACGACCCCATCTCACCTCAACTGACAGGTCAGGCAGGGTCATCATCATCACCGGCCCGCCATTGAACCCAAACCCATGTGAAAGGAAGACAGTTACCTCATCTGATATTGTTCTGTCTCAGTGCAGCTGAGGTGAATGCACGGATTGCCTGAGCCCTGTGTTTTGAGTTTGGGGGGGGGGATGTCAGAGGAGTAGTAGAGATGCTGATCTATCTGTCGTTTTTTTTGTCCCTTCGTAAGGGGATGAATGAACTTACAGCAGGATGTAGAGCAGAGTAGGCCCGGGGCTGTGCCCCTGTAACAACATGACCCAGCTTCTGGTTTTTTATTTTTTACTCTCTTTTTTGGGGGAGGAGAGTAATATTGTCTGCCATGTTCAGCTTTGGCCCGCTGACAATGGTTCCAGGTTAATGAGTGCCGGCTTTTAATAATAACACTGGCGAGGTGATGACAGGCAGATTTGGGAGCTGTATAGCAGGGGAGGCTTTATTGAAACTCCCAGGATGTTGACCCAGTCTGGTTTGAGGGCGATACTCGGTCTCGGCTACGCATATCATGCTGAACCAACCAGCAATATGGGTTATTGGTTCACTGTGAACAAGTAGGACACAACTGAAAAAAATCGAAGTTTTCTATATTAATTGTGGCAAATAAAAATTATTTCCGGAAAATTCACATACAAATATAAATGTGTAAGCATATTAAGGGATAGTGACCAATCTTTAATCTTGAATACATTTTTTTTTTTTTAAGATGTCACAAATTAGATAATTAATATTGCTTGTTTCAAGAATTACACATGCATGGTTGGTGATTTGGAGTATCAGGGAACAATCCTAATCAATTTGATCTAAATGTAACATGATTTTAAAATAGATATATATCTATATATATGTACATCCCAGTGTTTACAAGTGTCCAGCAACTCTCCAGGCTTTTGAATTGCCCGTACAAACGAGCTCCCAATCTTGACAAGAAATTGCTCAATCCCAAATTTTCCAATTTGGGCTTTAATATGAATACATGTAGTGATATCATGACACAGTAGCTTTGTATACATTTGTATTTTGTAGTGTTACTGCAAAAAAAGCAAATCTCCTGTAATTGAAATAAAACCAACTTGAGTAGAGTGGTGTGATTGTTACTTTGTGCAATGTGAGTTCAACAAGTCACATCCTGAAGTGTCGCATCAAAATATAGCTGACCTTTCCAAAACCGAAGGGTAAACAAACTATATGTCCATGGATTATGCCATACACGATGTCAACAGTAGGGGTGTGATTCCCACCGCAGTACTGCTGAAGGCAATTTTCGTACCCTGTCATCACATGTGAAATGAATTTCCCTGATCATTGTTGCGAAACGACCAATTGATAAGCCAGACAAAAGAATGGATTTCCAATTTTGCAATCCTTCAACTAGTTTATATTTCGAGACAGCCCCAACAATTGGACTGTACCATTTATTCTGTAGGCTGTCTATTGTGCGTACAGCAATCTTTGGCATGGTTATTTTTAAAACGCACGTCATGTTTGTTTATCAGTGTTTGGAACGAGTCAAGGAAATAGTTGCGTATTTTGCGGGTACGTGAAAATATTGTGAAAGATACATGTAGTTGTTTGTTGATTTTTGTCCATGTGTACACTGCCTACTGCCAGAATAATGGACTGGTCCAGGGGTATGAAATGTTGGCCGGGTCAGTGAGACAGGACAAACTTTTCTCAGTTATAGTTATGAATTGGTTTTGAAAAATTCTTGCGAAGTACCGGTAAACCGCTAGTAATTTTAAAACTCATGTTTGTTAATGAAAACACTAGATTGTGTGATGGATCAAAGGGCATGGTTCTCTTCCGAAAGGAAAAAACACTAGATCGTAGGGCTGTTAAACCAAGATGCTACTAGACCAGAAACAAATTCAAAAGTTGATCATGAAATATCTGCGTTGAGCATCCCTCACCAAAAAAAAAAATAATAATAGTGCCCTCAAATATTGGGGGAAAAAAAGATGGCACCAAAAAAAGAAAGAAAATAACCCCAGGCTAGTTCAAAATCATTATGTGCTACAGCATACTCATCGATCTGGTTAGAATATAACAAAGGGTACACCATAATAGACCAAAGTAATTGTTTTTAGTCATGTATCTCAAGGATTTCAGGAAATACATAGTTTCGCTGATGGTGTTCTTAACAAAATCAGACAATAAAATGTGCCGTGGTGTTATGTCAAAAGCTTTACTTTCACGGGTTCCCACCTTTTTTCAAATCAGTCTAAGGTGTGATCTCAGGACTGAAAAAAAACCCTATTGTGATTGTTATACCATGGTATAATATTGTGTAATTTTGTTAATTGTGGACTGGTTATGTGACGTATTTCAAAACTTCATGTATGGTGACCTAATGATATCTGCGGAGTCACTTTGCATGGAGGAATCACCTTAATAGCTTTCAAAGACTTGAGTATTTCGTTCCTGCTGCTTTGTACAGCACAACCATTCTAGACGCTGCATGGGCACTTGACAGCCAGGAAATGTACGTCAGGCCACAGGGTGTGCAGTGTCAACACACCTTAGCAAAAGGAAGATGTTTGCTTGGGCACTGGCACTGTACTCCACATGTCCTAGGTTCAAGTCCAGGTTTAGTTTTATTTATTTCTCCCCCTTCTTTTTGTTCTGCCAGGATGAGCTTCAGACGACAACCCGGAGCTATGAGAGTCAGCTGAGCATGATGAGTGAACATCTCTGCAGCATGAATGAGAAACTCACAGCTCAAAAAGACCAGATTGATGCGCTCAAACTCTCCGCCAAAGTAAGATTTCCTCTTTTTTCCCCCCCTTTTTTTAAGTGCTGGCTTAGACCTAATTTGTGTCTCAAGCATTAAAGGTTACAAATCAACCAGACCCGTCTTAAATTTTAAGTGACCCTCTTTTTTCTTCCAGAAATTGGCACTTTATTAGAACTCATTTTATTTCATACAGATTTTTTTACTTCATCTGCCCTTTCTATAGAGAGGGCGCAATTTGCAGAGTCAATATGGAGAAGTTGTTCATGACACAAGAGGGCAGCAGTCAGAATTATTAATCATGAAGACGTTACTTGTAGCCATCTACTGTTGCTGGATCTTGTGTCTTTGTCTTGAGTTTTAAAGTGGTGATCTTAACACCTTACTGTACCAGTTATCTTAATAAATGGACATTCCTAGAAATAGAATTGATTCACACATTTTTTTTTTTTCATTTTTTTTCTTTTTCTGGTTACAAGCAGAATAATAGGAAAATGAGTTGTTGGACGTATATATGACTGAACAGAAGTAAAATTGTTTTGGCACTTTTCAGTCAAATCTCAGTCCATCTACCGGTATAGCCAAAACATTGAAACTGTATGCTTGAAGAGTACCAAGGGAATGAATATGTGCTTGGCAGGTATTAAACAAGTACATTTAAAACCAGCTCAGGGCCTAGACGCGGATAATGACCCTCGCCGCCCAGGCCCTGAGCTGGTTTTAAACCTACTTGTTTAATTCCGGCCAAGCATAGATTTATTCCCATTCATAAATACATTTCGGTCAAAATGTCAAGACAAGTCAAAAATTATAAATTTCCAATGATTTTGTTTTCAACAATTTTACTTACTGTTTTGTGAAACACCCTTCTAGCTATGTTTATAGTATGTGCCTTGCGCGAGTAGTACTCAAAATCTCCTTACATGGAGATTTGCGCGTGCGTGGCATTTACGCACGATATGTTTTGGATTCCTGTGGTGGCTGATGCTAGGGACATAGACCCGGACTCAACTACAGCACTGCTACATGGATCTCATATAGATTACAGTTGTGTTCCCCATGCTCTTCAACAAATTCAATTTTTTTTTCTCTTAATCAATTTTCAACATGTATGTTTCATTCAAACCAAAAACATCTTTCTTTCTTTTTTGGAATCTGCAAAGGTTTTTTTTGGGGGGGGACAAACAGATCCGCTTTGCGAGCAGACTTCCTCCCGGTCCATACATTATCGATACCAATTTGCGGGGCAGGAACCAGCCTATCCTGCGAGAGTGGAATAATTGTAGGGCTAAAGTTATTCAAAATTTAATAACTAAACGTTTGCCAACTGTTTTTTGGTTGATGTCTCATTCAAAAGTGAATAACTTTTGTATTGCTAATAAAATAGCAACGTAGAAAAGGAATCTACTTTTTGGAATGAAACTCGAAAATAGCACAGGGAACGCAATTTTAAACAGATTTTCTCAAGGGTTTTGACCAAATCAGACAAAAGTTTGGAAGTACTGGAGCTACTTAAGTTTTATAACGCCCCTACATACATACATTGTTGAAAGATTTTGCCTATATTTTGTTCCTTTATGCTTTTTTCCCCATACAGCCGAACAAGAAAGGGAAAAGCAAGTAATTCTATGGTGCTTCTTACCAAGGGGAGCTTCAGTGTTGGACATCAGAGCCTTCTGCTGAGTGATCATGGTGATACTGTCAGACCGTGTTGAGAGGAACAGATAAGCCTCATGATGATATGTTCCTCTAGTACAATAGGAAAGTACAGTGGAACGTTGCTATACCGAACACCGCTATACCGAACATTCAGCTATACCGAACATCGTCCTTGGCTCCCAATTTTTGTGGACAAAACCAAACAAACATTGTTGTTGAAAAATGTCAACAGAAGAACGACAAGTGGCTATTATTTCCCCTAGGAATAGAAGGGGAAACCCACCCATCCATGTAGGTAGTAAGCTAAAAAATTGTGTAATTACATAATTCAATAGTCGGCAAGTGTTCAAAGTCGTCTTTCAGTAACTACCAGGGCGTGCAGGGTGAAGTTCTGAAGGGTGCTGTTTATTGAAAAGTGAGTACTGGAGCACAAGCAGCTTAAAATTGCTATGCTGAACGTTCACTATTCTGAACATTTTCTGTGGATCCCGCGATGTTCGTTATAGCGGCGTTCCACTTTACCTTGAGCTAGAATCATGGGGACTCACCATGGGCAAGTACCGAGTACTATATGCAGTTACTGTAGACTTGTACCATGGGGCTAGTACCATATGATAGTATTATGGACTAGCACTGTGGTCAATGGACCGATCCAGTAAGCTCTGCCCAATGCGCACGTGGGCAAATTAACACGTGCTCCTCTCCAATGCCACGCTGCATTTTCCTTCCGCGCGCATCATACGCACGTGCACGCATGTAGGACTTATGTTCGGACTTTAGTGCACGCACATCAGACATAAATCACGGCTGTGATTGGTCGGAACACCATGGGGCGGTGCTTACTGGATCAGTCCATTACTGTGGGCTAGTATTATGAGATTGCACTGTGGGGTTCTAGTACACTCATTTTCCTAGTTCCGGATAGCGGACATCATTGAGTCTGCTTTCAGCTCAACTAATCCACAAATTCAAGTGACATTGGCTTAATAGTTTGCCTTGAGTAAGGGAGATACTACAAAATTATTTTCCATATTTAAACTCTTTTAATTTTGAATATACGACGTCAAAAGTGCCGATGCCACGTTTCCTAGTTCCGGATTGGTTTAACCAGTTCTGGATCAGGCCCAAAAGTGCACTTTTTCATCCAGAACCACCCTGAATATTATTCTTGATAAAGTATTATTTCATTTTTTGAAATACAGTTCATTTAAGAGAATTCTGGTAAATTTTTTAAAAGAGAACTTGCGTAAATGTTTTTGAAACTTTTGCCTGTAACGCGATGGCACAAGCACACATCGATAAACCTTTGACCCATCACAGAACACGTCACATAAAATTTGTAATGTGCATGTTGTTGGATCCGTACGTACACGCATGATCCGGAACTAGGCAAAACATATGTTCAGTCGTTGGCGAATGATTTTCAAATTGGAGACTCTTCTATTTATATTGATTCAACAAACACTCGATGCAAGAGTTAATATGATTGTAGAATATGAAAAAAATATTTGAAATCAGATCAAATCTTAGTGATTCGCGACTCCCATGATTTTCAACAAACCGTCCAACATGTCAAAGGACTAGTAAAAAATCTGGCCAAAATTCCTTTTTTTTGATATTTATCAAAAAGATATTTGTGTATCAAGAAGATTACATTTAACTTTTAAAATGCACTTTTTAAAATGTCACAAAACATACTATTGGAGACCAATCCAAAAGAGGTAGGTTTTCATTTGAAACTATCCGGAATTTGGAAAAATCCACAACTAGGAAACAACCTAAAAAATGATAAAGTATCATCATTAGATAGAGCCATGGGGCTAGTGCCATGGGCTTGCATCAAAAGATAGTATCGAGGAAAGTCCTAAATTCTGTATGAAAAGTCCTAAATTCTGTATGACCTATGACTGTATACCGTTACGACTATTAATGTTTTGAAAGAAATGTATAAGTTCTACATGCTTTCGTGGATTTGGATGAAACTTTGATGCAGTGACTCTTGGGTGGAAAGACACAATTCTTCATTGGATTACAGAGGTCAAAGGTCATGAAGGGGTCAATAGAGGTCATTGTTCAAATATACTTCAAATGTTTCTTTGTCTACAGAATTTGATGGATTTTCATGTAACTTGCATGGAGTGATCCGTGGGTGTGGGTTCATGACAAGTCTTCCGAATTGGAGGTCAAAGGTCATCCAGGTGCACAATGCCTAATGTGAATTTGACTGCTTAAAGAATAAGGCTTAGATCATAAATTTGTCAGGTAAAGGTGTACATATACATGTAAGCAAACAGTCATTGGGACTTTCAAGTTACAACAAGATTGGAAGACATAGGACTGAGACAGAAAGTAGAGAATATTTGGAGGGGGTAGTTATTTTTGGGTTTTCCCCTCTAACCTATAGCCATTGTTATGTAATCATCAACGAAAACAAGCACAATGAAAACTGAAAACACGTAGGTGCACATTGACTCTAGCTTTAGATTGAATAAAAAAACTTGTCCAAAGTGGAATGTTAACCGATGACCCCTTATTTTTAGGTTTAAAATGATTTGAATGTTCCTGATGGAGTGAGGTATGGACTTTCATTGTTGATTTTCAAAACTATACATAACAGTTTATTGTCTTTTTCGTACTGAATTAAATAATCATTAAAAAATAACGAATTTATATATATATGGAATGCAATCCCAGAGTAACTATCAGATCAGATGTGATTATTGCAACAAAGCCTACTTACTTTTATTTTAAAGAATTTCTGATATATTAAATTATAACCCTTTCAGATCCTTACAATTCACCAGGAGGTTTTGTTTGGAGGATTTGAGCAAGGGGCAGCCCAGCCTCTTATATTTTGCTTTGGGATTGATAACCCAAGCCAAAGCTGATGCATGTTAAATTGGATTCCTGCTGAATGGTGGATGTTGGAGGATTCAGAAAGGTTTCTACCAAAAATATTTACTGGATTAGGGTTTTTAAAGAGTGTAAACAAAGTACAATCTCAACGTTGTTCTGCATCTTAAAAAACCTTTCCTTTGACGGCTGAATCATACAAACTAGGCTTGGAGAGTTTGGCTGAAAAGTCACAAACCTGTTATAAACAAGGATGCCAGTTTTCCGGCTATCCAGAATTTTGGCTTTTTCATGTTTTGGAAAAATTAATTGCGTTGCGTGCACAGAGAAACAACAAATAGCTTTATGCCGTCGTTCAGCTATAGCTGTCGTTCAGCCAATGGGAAAATCCATTGATTGTTACTCATGAGCCAATGAAAAGATTGGTTTTGCGCTAAGTGTTGTCAGCGTGCTAGACTCGTTTTGAGTGTGCTCGATCCAATGTAAGTTTTAGGCACAGACACATTGCATGGAGAGCAATAGTTTTAAAGCTAAGTGTTCTGTTGTGCCGGTGTGGGATCATTGTGTATGCGCTGCTCCGTGGTGATTGTCATGCCAGCGCAATGCACCAATGTGCGTATTTTACATTCACTTTCAACATACATAACGTGTGTGGTATTGCAATGTATGTATGGGGTATTGCGATCATGTCAGATTTTTCTGGCCCTGTAGCAAAAACCCACTGGCATCCCTGTATAAAGTAAAAACTTATGAATCAATTTCTTATGACTGTGACTTGCGATATCTAAATAAAGGTCTTTCACTCAGGTGTTGTCACCTTTCAGAGTATTTCAATTGGTTTGAGCTGCTTCAGAAATTGAAATCTTTTCTTTTCAAGAAATGCCTCCAAGATCATTATTACAGCCTTGTGTATCATCCTGATTCTTCCATCAGTTAACTTTGGTCAGTTTTGGAAGAGATTACCATTTCTGCTGGCACGTCCGATGATGTCTGTCTCGCCATTTCTTTAGAATGACTTTCATCCAGTAACTGACAGCTTGAGCAATTTGATTTTACACAACTAATTTGAATGTCATTGTTATATCGTGTCGATTCAGATCTTTACAGTTGCATTGTATTAGAGCACTTCAAATTTATGTACTTGACTTTTCTCACACAGAATATGCTACAGAATAGTTCACGCTACCTTATAGTACAATTGTCCATTTCTTTATAATGATCTTTTTTTTAAAACAAAACATCGAATATGTATTATGTATCTAAGGTGTAAATAAAATGTACAATTAATAAAAATATCATGTTGGAATTCATTTTGTGAAATGATTAGACTGAATTATCATTATTCTGTTGATGTTGCTTCATTCTCATTGACATCCCAGTGCTGTGAGGTGGAAGGTATATATTGCCATTGTGATGGTCTGAACTTCATTCCATGTGAATATTCCACGACTGACCACCAGGGCTGAAGCAAGTCCACCCTGACCGAGGCGGAGACAAAGACCGGGTCCCTGGCATCCGAAACTGAGACCAAGACCGAGTCCCTGGCATCCAAGACTGAGACCAAGACCGAGTCCCTGGCATCCGAGACTGAGACCAAGACCGAGTCCCTGGCATCCAAGACTGAGACCAAGACCGAGTCCCTGGCATCCAAGACTGAGACCAAGACCGAGTCCCTGGCATCTGAGACTGAGACCAAGACCGAGTCCCTGGCATCCAAGACTGAGACCAAGACCGAGTCCCTGGCATCCAAGACTGAGACCAAGACCGAGTCCCTGGCATCTGAGACTGAGACCAAGACCGAGTCCCTGGCATCCAAGACTGAGACCGAGACCGAGTCCCTGGCATCCGAGACTGAGACCAAGACCGAGTCCCTGGCATCCAAGACTGAGACCGAGACCGAGTCCCTGGCATCCGAGACTGAGACCAAGACCGAGTCCCTGGCATCCGAGACTGAGACCGAGACCGAGTCCCTGGCATCCGAGACTGAGACCAAGACCGAGTCCCTGGCATCCGAGACTGAGACCAAGACCGAGTCCCTGGCATCCGAGACTGAGACCAAGACCGAGTCCCTGGCATCCGAGACTGAGACCAAGACCGAGTCCCTGGCATCCGAGACTGAGACCAAGACCGAGTCCCTGGCATCTGAGACTGAGACCAAGACCAAGTCCCTGGCATCCGAGACTGAGACCAAGACCGAGTCCCTGGCATCCGAGACTGAGACCAAAACCGAGTCCCTGGCATCCGAGACTGAGACCAAGACCGAGTCCCTGGCATCCGAAACTGAGACCAAGACCGAGTCCCTGGCATCCGAGACTGAGACCAAGACCGAGTCCCTGGCATCCGAGACTGAGACCAAGACCGAGTCCCTGGCATCCGAGACTGAGACCAAGACCGAGTCCCTGGCATCCGACACTGAGACCAAGACCGAGTCCCTGGCATCCGAGACTGAGACTGAGTCCCAGTGTCAGTGTCTGAGTCCTGTCCAAAGCCAAGTCTGAGTCCAGTCCCATGCATTCAAGTACTGTTCTCATATACACCATTTTGGCATTACATTATTTTTGCTGCAGACACCTTGATATAACAACTGTGAAGAATAGCACAACTCTATGCCCATGTCAGCCAAATACAGACCTTTTATTGTGAAAATCAAATTAACTGTCAAGCAGCTAACATATCCTAAATGTTTTCTAATTTTAGTTCTAAAACTGATATTCCAGTATGAGAGAAATCTTTGAATTAACCAAACAAATAAAGGGTACAAACGTCAAGTCTTGCACCCATTCAAATAACGTATGCGCTACTTGTATCATGGGCTGATATTCGCAATGTACGGGGTGCACGGCACAATGCAAAGATAAATATATAGATGTATCCAATTTTGGGCCGTCTCATCCCGATCTCAAGTCCCGTCGAGTCCCATGGTCCAAGACCGCATCCTGACAGGCCGAGTCTGAGTCCGAGGCTGAGACCGAGGCTGAGACCATGAAAAATCAGTCTTGAGACCGGTCTCGAGACCGACAGAATCACTAATGAAGTGAAAACAAAAGCAACATTAGTTCATAAATGTATAGCTTTACTACTTGAGACTTCCATGCTGTTTTTGCAGTCGTGAACACATTGTTGGAAGGTTCTTCTGAAAAATTGGTGACCTACCAAACAAAATAATTCAGAAACATAAATTGTTCAAACCCAGGACTTTGAATTGACCTTCTTATAACTTCTTCGGTTTGTACTCTAACCACTCTGCAACTCGCCATAATTGAGTCTTACTCAGTTTCAGTTCAGGACAAGCTTTCATCTGAGGACTTTTTGTTCTCACGTACAATACTAACATTTAATGTGCGCAGTGTGCACAAAAAGCTTAAACTTTGCATGGTGGTAGTGTAAATTAGTGAGGGTTTGTGGTAACACCACGTGGAAGAATCTCTTTTGAGAAGATGTGTGGTTCTGAAAAGAACCGGTTGGTTGTGAAAATTGACCTTCCGATCAGTGTGCTCTGATCGTCTTCAGGAGAAAAACAACACTGATCGGAACGTCAAGTTTCACTATCAACTGGTTCTTTTCAGACCCACACATCTTGTCAAAAGAGATTCTTCCACATGGTGTTACTGCAAACCCTCACTGGTTTTTAAGGTATAGGTTCATGTCTTAACAGCAGTCTGCAATCTTCTTGTTTATTTGCTGCTCATGACTAGCCTGTTTGTGTAATTATTTTATTTGGATTATCAGTTCCATTCATGCAGATCCAACCGGTTGTAGTGACACCAGTTTGACCAATCCTGTAACCCAGTACCCGCTGCTATATATTAGATTCAAACTAGCCAGTGATCCTGGCAAGCTGGGTGGTCGAGTGGTAATATGTCTGCACCAGTAGGCAGGAGGTCATGGTTTCAAATACCACCCGAGTAGTTTGTGAATTTTTGCTCACAATCACTTGGGACAACACTTATTTATAAAATACGTCGATGAAAGGCAAAACCCTATTATTGAACCCAGCCCAATCCATGCACAGATTCACTGAACACTCATGGTAATGGCTGAAGCGTTGTGCCAGCTATGGTACAAAACAATTCTGAGCAATAAGCTAGCACAATGCTTCCATCATTACTGAGGATCACCGTGAGTGTCAGTGCCACTGTGCCTTGATTTGTCAAAACAGGGTAGCAGGATTCAAGAACTTTGGAAGTGTACCAACGATCAGTGTCAGTCGAAAGAAGGGGCTCAGAAGCTAGGGTGAGTCCAAGTCACTCGTGCATTCAGGTAGTCCTTCCAAACCCTTGACTTTGCCTCTACATATTTTCCATTTAACTCTTTCTCACTGTAGCGGCACATCCTAGTTGGGGCTCCAAGGACACAAGTCACAGCCCCACCCCCGGCCCCATGTTGCCTGTATTATTTTGCTTAAGTTTTGAAATTTGGGGGCACCAGGAAACACAGTTCTTAGGAATGATAGAATTTTGGAAAAGTGTTCACGCAGTACGCCAAAGACAATGAACAGTCCAACTTTCTTCTTTCTAATTAACCAGTGGGAAAAAAAGTATTTTGAGACAAATTCCAAACATCTTCCCCCCAACATGTCCTTGTGTGCCATTGCTTTATATGCATGTAGTCCACAATATTTTTGTTTGCTTCCAGAAATTACTTGCGATAAGATGAATCGTGTCAACAGCTTGTATCTGCTGATAGCAAGAGAAGGAAAACATCCAAACCCACGCAAGTTGGAAAAAAATTGTCGATAACTTACTAAATTTGCATCTGTCTCATTTCTCATGGCACGCGTGCCCTTGTTAGGTATATAGTGCGTTCTTAATGTAGAGAATTTCACAATCCATCAAGTGATTATAGTGTTGTGTACACACGTTTTCATCATGTTGCTCAAAGTTTGTGTGTTGGTGGTGGCGTTTGCCGTTGCCTGTAATGGTGAGTATAGTTTGTCAGGTTTTTGTTTTAACATGATTTGCTTTTCATGAGGCCTGTTTTATTAAAGCTATAGTCCATCAGTTGCAGCCATCCGAAAAGTAACTGGCATAATTATTGTTGAAAAACATACTTGGTTGAAAGATAGTAAGGGGACTAAAGTCCCTGTGAAATTATTCTTTCTGGCAAGCTGTCTTTTTGAAGTAATCTACGAAAAGAAGGCCTTTCCAACGGTGCGTATTAAGACGCACATAGGAAAATTTAAATTAGTAGTTCGTTTTGTTATTCGGCAAAGCGCGCGCAAGCATTGGCACGACGCACACACGCTCGCGGTTGCTATAATTCGTCGGATCAGTGCACGACATCGCGCATAGCTGCAATCGGCTCAGTGAGAACGCGTCTCGAACGCTAAATTCAGGCCCAATTCAAAACATGATTCAGCAACTTTTGATTTGAAATTGAGATCCTAGAATGCTGTTATTTTCTTGGAATATACAGCTGAAGCTGAGCTGAAACTTCATCAGGTTAGTTGTTCAGTATCCTTCATTAGATTTTGAACACTTTTGTTGCTTCAAACGAACAAAATGCACAAGTTACAAATGATGGACTATATCTTTAAGGCTGACAATTTTCTCCCTGTCCTAATATGCTGCTTGTTACTTTGTTAGATATGTCTCCATTATCACTGCCAATATACCCCAGTTTGTAGGTTGGGTGGGGTTATACATGTACCTTAGAAAATAACAGGAATTCATTTTTGAGCATTCATCAGCTGCTACATGTGTGTATGTGGTTGTGAGTTCATTGGAACTCACCTAGGGAAAATAAAGTTTTTTTCTTAATTATCCTGATGACAGTATGGTTTTAACCTCAATTTTTTATAACATCAAATAACAGAGTTTTATAATAAGTGAACTGGATGCCATGGTAACAATGGGCATCCTACGTAATTGTTTTTGTACCATATTGATCTCTGGTAGAAGGTAGGAAAGATCACCGAATTTCATACTGATCAGCCAAAGCGTTCAGGAGTAATTGCAATAAGTTTCATTTTGTGGGGGTTGCGGCCCCACTCCCTGATACCCATAGGGTTATAACATTAGAAGTGGTGTGGACATTCAAGGGGTGATAACCAATAATAAGCTACCCCATTGAATAGGCTATCATATCAAAATATAAACTAGAGATGTATAGCAATAAAAAAAATAGGAACTAGATTTTGCTACCTCGGGTGGTACCAATTGGTGAATTTTGGGGTCCTGGCCCATGGATTATACTGACATACATCCGTGCAATCATCTTGTCTCCCCTGCAGCTTGTGGCGACCCTGCCATCACTCCAAGCAAGCTCTCTGTGGTCGGTGGAACGGAGGCCGTCCCCCACTCCTGGCCCTGGCAAGTCAGCCTTCAGCTTAGGAAGATTTTCGGTGGTTATGCCCACCACTGCGGGGGATCACTCATCAACAATGAGTGGATTGTTACCGCAGCGCACTGTGTGGATGGGTGAGTGCAGAACTTGTGTGCATTGTGCTACAAAGAAGTATAAAGTAAAGTCTGTTACGAGCCAATATTACCCATTAGACCAGCGTTTATCTCCAGTTTCGTTGGCATTTGACAACTAAGACTATTTCTATTCTGCCTGGATGAGATGCCAGTCCATAGCAGGTTACTACTCAGCTAATGCCGGTACCCATTTATACTCATGGGTGGAGAGAGGCAAGTGGAGGTAAAGTAGCTTCCCAACATATGACCAGCAGATGCAGGTGTGGAACCCCTGACCCTCTGATCATGAGTCACAGTCCCTAAAAGTTAGGCCACACTCACCCATATTTACATTGTATTACAGTCTACTTCATTCATCTTACCCAAATAGCAACTACATTTGCATATTTCCCTTGTGCCGGCAGGCCAATACGCTAAGCGCTTAATCGCACAGTAATGCGCCTCTTGGCACCCACCTATGATGCCATGCGGCGCCACCACCATATTGAATCTGCCTTTTTTCTCTTAGCGACGCAGGCAAGTTAGACGCTCTATTTAGACTAGTTGTTGTGCTTGGCATATCGTGATTTAGTCCAGTCCTTAACGGGTGAAGAGTAGCCGGATAACCCAAGGACTTAGCCTCAGGACTAGCACGAGTAGTACGTGCCACCCATAGCGAGAAGCGACAGACTTCTTCTCGGGGCATGGTCATTCCCGCCATGGCAGGCTTGATCAATGGCAGATAGGAACAGAGTCAATCTTTCCGGGGGCCTTACGACCATGACGTGTAGTCCTGCCCGACGCGAGAAGAGACATGCAGACTTCTTTTTGGGGCACGGCCATTCCTGCCACAGCAGGGTTGGTCAATAGCGGATAGGAACAGAGTCAATCCTTCCAGGGGCTGTACGAACACCACGTGTAGTCCTGCCCGACGTGAGAAGAGACAAACTTCTTCCTGGGGCATGGTCATTCTTGGGCAACATCACTAGACCTCAAGGATGCATACCTACACGTCCCAATCTACAGGCATCATTGCAATTACCTATGATTCAGATACAGGAGGGACACATACAAGTTCGCCGCCTTCCCATTTGGTCTATCCACAGCCCCACAAGTTTTTACAAGGATGTCACAAGTAGTAAGCAGCAAGCTTACGAAAACGAAACATCCTAATCTTCACGTATCTGGACGATTGGATAGTAATAGGGCTTTATCATCGACGAAACAAAGTCACACCCAACTCCAACACAGCATCCAGTCTTTTAAGGTACAGACATAGACTTGTGCTAAGGCACAGCGACTCCATCCGAAGACTGCATCCTAAAATCTTTGATGTTGTGGTCTCACGTTTCTTTCAAAGAATGTGGCCCCAACAAGAGCATGGCCTCGTGCTGTTAGGATTGATGGCAAGCAAGATCGATCTTGTACCTTATTGCAGGCTCCGCATGCGCCCCCTCCAGCTCCACCTACTGGCCCATTACAGACCGAAAAGGGATCTAATCCATCTTCAAGTTCCGATCACCGTAGATCTTCTTCCTCATCTCCATTGGTGGTCAGTCGATGAGAACTTACAGACAGGTCTCACCTTCCCCTATCCTCAGGCTTCCATAACCATCACAACTGATGCATCAAATCTCTGATGGGGAGTAACCCTCTCCCCATGCCAGATAGGCGGAACCTGGGGACCAGATTTCAAGGACTGACACATAAACATTCTGGAACTACAAGCAGTAGTCTATGCCCTACAACATTTCCAGCTGATTATAAAGGGACACACAGTACTAATCCAAACGGATAACACTACCTTGGTGTCGTATATCAATCGTTCAGGGTGGCACCCAATCGCCCCAACTGTGTTACCTAACTTAGGAAATCTTCCATTGGTGCATCCCACATTCCAAGAGATCAGAACAGGATCCGGGATGCCCTATCCAGGGGTTTGATAATTCCAACACAATGGACACTCAACAGAGAGATCGGCCGTCTGCTTTTCACCAACATCGTCAGACCTCACATCGACCTCTTTGCAACAGCCATCAATGCTCAGCTCCCAGTATTCTGCTCACGGCGCCCAGACCCCAAAGCATGGGCAGTGGACGCACTAGCAATAAAATGGGATGGGATGTTTGTGTGCATTTATCCACCAATATCCCTGCTCCCAAAGGTCCTAAACAAGTTAGAAAAGAAGACGAGCAGAATGTTGTTAATTGCCCCATTTTGGCCATGCCAGCCCTTGTTTCTGAGGCTGATCAGACTGCTAGTTTGCACTCTGTAAATACTACCTCAGAGAGCAGACTTAATATTCCAACTACAGTCCCTTTATCTTCATCCAGCCCCTGGGGACCTCCATCTAACTTGTTGGCCTCTGTGCAACAGTCGTTCTGAGCAGCAGGCCTTTCTCAAGATGCTGCTACTGTTCCAGCACACAGCCACCGAGCCTCTACAAGAACAATTTACGACTCAAGACTTTGGCATTATTACAACTGATGTGGACGGCAATCGGTTGAACCAACCTCAGCTTCTCTGACATTGTTTGGTGACTTTTTACTTAACCTTTATAATCGGAGTCTGAATAACTTGACTGTAGCAACAGAAGATGGTTCTGTGATCTCAAACAACAAAGCAGTGACCTATCTCCTCAAAGGAATGTTTGTTGAGCGTCCCCCAATAAGAAATCTGATACCTTCCTGGGACCTGAACCAAGTCCTTCAGTCATTAATGAAGCCCCCTTTGAGACCCCATAGCCTGGGTTCATTGTACCATATGACTCTTAAACTAGTATTTCTCCTGGCTGTAGCTACCTCGCAGAAGGAGTGAACTCCACTCCCTTTCAGTTGAACCTGGACACATCCGTTGGGATTCAGCTGGCGTCCGACTCATTCCCTCGTCCGACTCTTCCTGACTAAAAACCAATCCAGCTGTTTTATACCGGATATTTTTATACCAGAAATAGGTTCAATATCAATTATTGCTGCTGACAAAGTCTGGTGCGGGGTGCGTGCTCCTAAATGGTACATCAGCCAGACCAAGGCACTACATGAGACGATCTTACGACCGTTTATAACAACAACACATCCTCACAGTGCGGCGTCAGTGATTAAATTGACAAACCCGCATTGGCCTTCCAACAGATAAGGGTTCATCTAAAAAGAAGCCCCATGCTCATGAAGTGCGAGCACTGTCAACATCATGGGCTTTCTTCAGGGGAGTTCCCCTTGAAGATATCACAAAGGCAGCATGTTGGAAATCCTCTTCCACGTTCACATCTGCTGCTTCAAAGAAGTGCTCCAAACTGAGGATGCACCAGGCCGGACATTTCTGTCAGCGGCCATGGCCTCATCAAAAGGGAGCATGACAAGAGAGGAAACCTCCTAGAACATTAGGCGTACCTCCCTGGTGAGTCGAAAGGCGTTCACAAGTCTATGAGAGAATACAATTCACCCATATGCGCCTCTCACCCTACTCCAGATGTCAGTGCTATTCTATGCAAATGTTTGCTATTTGGGTAAGATGAACGAAGTAGACTTGTCCCACACGACTGCAGGGGGTGGGGTGGATTTATTCCCTCATATATTTTTATGAAGTGGTATAGAGAGGAACACATGGGAGGCCACATTTTTTTGTTTTTTTTTGTTCCCCGAAAAAGTGCGTCCGAACATTTTCTGCCCCCATTTTTAATATGAAAAGCAAGGGGAGGGGCACTAGGACTCTTCATGGCGTTGCTGCATGGTGTTGGTGGTGTACGCAGTGGCTGTCTAAAGTTGCTGCACTTTATTGTCAGGTGCCACTTGTTGTTAAGAATGACTGCTTTTGTCAATACTGGTTCATTGTTCCCATCCTTTTACCAGGTTAAAGCCATTGACAGTTATGAAATTCTGCAAAAGTCAGAGAAAAAACTCCGGAATAAATGATAGTTTGACAACTGTGGTCAACTATTTGGAATTAAAACACCTCACCCACAGATTCTGGGTCTTGATTGGCCGAGAGCGAGTCACATGTTACTTTTTAATTTTGCTATCTTTCTGTGCACGGCCAAAAGAACTATGCGCATAGCAACCAAAGTACTATACCATTAGCAACCAAAGTACTATTTCCACGGCGCGGTATTTGTGTGCAAATGCATGCTGGTGTGCACGTTGCGCGTTGTGCGTAGCGTGTATTATTCCAAAGAGAGTGCGCCGCAGACTTGGGTTCAAACATTTCGTGAAGGGTTAGTTTTTAAGAGAGAAATACATTTGCCACCAATTTTGTATTGAAATTGAAGTTTATTTCAACTGTGTTCAGATTTAAATAATGTAAAATATTAAAATCAAGCAGAATCTGTGGGTGAAGTGTTATAACACAAATATTGAATGCTTTATCTCGTGGTGAAGTAAAACTAGCCTCCCTCGATGATCCATGGACCATTCGGGAGGCTAGTTTTACTACACAACTCGAAGCATTCAATATTTATATTTATACAACACCTGCATAAATCCCCGTCATCTGATTGGTGAATTGTAGATCACGTGACATATTATTATTCGGTATAAAGCACGGTGCGACCATGTGTTATACCCATGCGTTATACCGTTTCACTTTGCGCTTGTTCCATGACGCGGTATTTGCGTGCAAAATGCATGCTGGTGTGCGCGTTCAGCGTAGCGCGTATTGTTCCAAAGAGCCAGCGCTACAGCGTTGGGTTCAAACATTTTCGTGAAGGGGTAGTTCAACATCTTTAAAATCGAAATAAATTGTAGTTTATAATTTACCAATCAAATGACGAGAATTTATTCAGGTGTTGTATAAAACAAATAACGAATGTATTACGTTCGTGCGATGGAAAGAATAATTTCATTCGGTGACAGATTGAATGTTCTATTCCACTCGGCTTCGCCTCGTGGAATAGAACATTCAATCTGTCACCTCATGAAATTATTCTTACCATCGCACTCACAAACATTCGTTATTTGTATAACATAGACCTGTGGTAGGATTCCCTTATTTTGACTTGATGAACAGAAGGAACTATTTTCATGAAAAAAATCCAAATGGCAAGTAAGAGATGCTAGCAATGCAACCATTTTTCAAACTGTCAAAAATGGTTTGACCAGGGGGTCATCTAATAAGTAGGAGAGATTAATACCCAGTGGTTGAACCACATTTAACTCTTAAACTTGCCGTAACGGTATGTCATTCATTTAAGAAATGCTGATTTCCCCTCCACAAAAAGTACCCGAAAAATTCAAATGCATTTATCTTTCATTAACCATAAGTCCACGTTATTCTCCCTGTCCCATTCAGGAGAGAGGCTACCTACAATTGGAAGATCTGGCTCGGCGCCCACGATAACTACTATTTGGAGTCCGGCACGGTGGAGAAAACTGTTTCTAAGGTTGTCAGACATGCACAGTATAATGGCGCGATCATTACCAATGACATTGCCATGATGAAACTGTCTTCTCCTGTAACTCTCGGCAATACTATCAACACAGTGTGCCTACCATCGCGCACCTACACATCAGGCAATGCATACGTGACAGGATGGGGAGACACTCAGAGCCCTTGGCCAGGTGAGAGCACACATATGCATGGCAGCTTAAACTGAACAACTTGTCATTTCAGTTCATTAACAAGTTCAATGTCTGTTCAACTCCGATTCATAAAATGTCTTCTTTTTTTTCAAACATTATTGATAGTGGTTCCCCCATCCCAACATACTAAAACTTTCGATAAGGCCAAAAAAAATAATAAGTCGGTCTCTGGTCAGCGCGCGCGTCGATTTTAATCATGCACGTCAATCTTCTTTTTTCTAAAATGTTCTGCGGTAGCTCCAACAGCGCCCTCTTTTGCCGCACCTCAATTTTTTTTTACCAAAGAGCACCAAGGAATGGGAAATTGCACCAAGGCAAATGATCGAGAGCACCAAGGCAAATTATGGAGGACAACAATGTACATGAGGACACCAAAAAAGCAAAATAGTACTCCACCTTATCTGTACAATCCAAGCTTGAAGAAAAAGAAAAAAAAGGCCCCCCCCCCCAAAAAAAAAAGCCGCGTCAATTTCGGAACTTTGGTCTGACCAGAGACCGAATATATATTTTTTTTTGGCCTAAGGTGCAATTGCATTTTTGTGTTCTTGAAAATGAATGTACATGAAATGACGTGTGCAGTGGCATTTTCAAAGTGGGGGGTGGGCACTTTTTAAATTTGGACAGGGGCACCCTTTTCTATGTTTTTCTTATCATTCAATGTTACACCCTGCCTATTGTGGGTTTGTGAGTTTGTTTCTGCATTCAATAGGGGAAGTTGAACAATAGAAGGACAATAGGACAACAGTACAAACAAAGGAGGGACAATAGGGGTCCCCAATTGCAGGCAAATACACACTTACAAGGGTTTCAAACCGTTTGTAAGGGTTTTGTTTGATTTCTTCTTTTCATCTATTTTGCAAACAGATGATAACATTTGACATGACCTCTGGTTGTTGATCGTTTTCTAGGCTCTTACCCTGATAAGCTACAGCAAGTGATGACACCCATCATGAACCATGACCTCTGCGTCCAAAGGATGGCAGCTGCAGTGCCCGGAATCCCTGTAGACAATACAATGATCTGTGGTGGATTTGACAATGGGCAAAAGGGAGCATGCTTTGTGAGTACACAAATCAAAGAGCCCCTCTCTCTGCACAGCAAACATTTTTACACCCCCGCCCCTTCGATCATGTTTGAATACCACAGCTGTGACCCGATCGCGACTCGGTCGCTTTCAGATATTGACCTTGACATTTGATTCGATGTTACATACTAGAGAAAGAGAGAATATCCCAATCTGATTGAGCATACATTTGTGACAAGCTTGAAATAGAAATTCAACTGAAAAAATGACTCAGGATATTTTTCACTTGAATGTTTGATCAATATGCAGAGTTGTAACAAGTCGCTGATTTTTGTAACTCGAGTCGAGTCGAGTCATTTTAAAGAAGTGACTCGAGTCGAGCTGAGTCATTTTAAAGAAGTGACTTGAGTTGAGTCGAGTCATTATGTCAAGTAGGTCAAGTCGAGTCGAGTCAAATATTTAGCTCGAGTCAATTCGAGTCACGAATATTTTAACATTATTCAAAATGTATAAAAGGTGGGCATAAATTTAGCCGGCATTCGAATCCAAGGGGCTTTATAAGAAATCGCCCAAAGCCAATGACGAAACAACGAATTGGAAAATGTGTTTAAATTCCGGTTCCTGAATAGTATTTTAAGTTAATTAAAGAAATTAAGTGTCAAAGGTTCAGTCCATCAAAATGATTCTCAAAAGGATTTTTTGATAATATAGTTTTTGGATTAACAGCACCACCAAATGTCCACGTTGCCAAGTGTCCCCCTTCCCCCCACTGGTTTCAATTCTCCCCCTTCGCGAAAAATGTCCCCGAGTGAGACAAGCCTTTCACCATGTTGACGGCAGAAATATGACAGCCAGGATTTCCATATAAAGGGAAAAAGTGTGCAACCATTAGAAGTTGTGAAAACTTTCACTTGTTACTTTTTTTGTTATCAACTTGCAGGGTGACAGTGGGGGACCATTTGTAATCAAGAACAGCAGCGGCAAGTGGGAGTTAGCGGGCATTGTCAGCTGGGGAGACGACCCTTGTGCTCAGGTTGGCGTCCCATCCATTTACGCTGACCCCTTCTACTTCCAGAGTTGGATCCAGAACACAATGGCAACCAATTAGCGTGTTGAATCTGTTTAATATTAAAACAACAATAACAGCAGAACACAAATGCCCAATATCCAAGCATGACTCAAGCAGGCAGTCACATATGAAAGTGTTTTGATTGCTTAAACAATTATTAAAAGACAATATTTACCCTTATAGAGGATGTGATATAACCTGAATTTCATCTTATGTTTGACCTTTGTCCTATTTCCACATTTGAAAATGGCAGACTTTTGGCAAAAAGTTTCACCAAGTGGTCATTGACTAGTCTATGGAATATCCCCATGGAGTATCCCTTTGCACAACAAGGGTCTATGGTATGTGAGCAAATTTGACGATTAATGATGGAACTGGAATGGGTCTTGACCTAGAGATTCTGACCAATCAGCGAATGATCATCACATAATGCTTGTAATGCGAACGCTGCTTGCGCCTCATGCCCGCGATGAGCATTCGCGTGTCCTATATGCGCAACCTTTTGCTAACAGTTTTGAAAGCCAATGTCATGTCTAGTTTTTATTAGATCTCTACTCCAAATTGACCTATCAACAGCCTAGTCAAATTTTGGAATGAAACGACGTCACCGCCAACTCTGATTGGCTGGCATATATAGTACAGGGTTGCATACATTTCCATGCTTAGGTATATCAGACATTAATAACACATAGGACCTGACACAGAGGGCTCCATTGGACAATGGGTGATACTCACTAGTCTTTGACTACAAGAACTGGAGATTTATTTTAGGGGTTAGACCACAATCGATGGGGAAAGCTTCATGGAAAGATATTTGAAATGTTAAATCGAATAAATTCACTGATTATATTCACAACACTCAAAAATTCACTTAAATCTGAAGGAAATGGCGGTTAAGTGGAGCAATTGTGAAAGGGAACTATTTCCTATAGATTGTTTACACTGCAGCCATCATGGAGGTGTGTGCTTTTCCAGAATAATTGCGATCCGTATCTTGCGCCAGACCCAAGGTGTACGGGTCGGTCTGGTCAAGCTAAGGATCCAACTGAATTGCTTAAGTTTCAATAAAGATGCCCCGTTCATGTATACAACTTATATCTTGAAATATTGTCCTTTTGTTTTCACACCAGCATATTGACTTTCAAAAAGTAATTCACAAAACATCCACCCAACATTAATACCCCCCCCCCCCCGAAAAAGGAAACACAGCTGGTTCTTGTCAGTGAACCTGAATTACATATACCAATACTGAAGAACAAAATTGGTTTTAAACAACTGTTAATCATACTTTGTGCCAAATGTATGTAGCATTACCCAACATAAAACAAAAGTGACAAAATGTTACTCCTTTGTCTTAGAACTCCCTTGTCAATATTAGGTTTTACCCTTCACGGACATGTACACTGTATACTCAGTGTGTTAATCCCTTGAGTGAAAGTGAGAACAAAATAACCCGGGTGGGACTTGAACCCACGACCTGCTATCCACTGTCCAGTACAGACATCATACCACTCGACCACCAAGCTTGTGGGATTGGTTGGCTGGTTGAATGTAGCAGCGTGTGCCTGCTTCCATTTAGAAATTCCTCTTCATTGTCATCGTGTTACGTTTACTTATTGACTTAACAGAGTTTTTTTTTTCAGAGTACTTTTGCTTGAAAATCTTTTGAATTTTAAGGCACTATGCACGGTGTCCTTCAATTGCATTTTTGTTCCATGGGGATGAGGGAGTAAGCAATGGAGCTTTCAGTTTAAAAGGAGCCCTATAAAAATCACAATTTCAAGTCTAAAAGATACATGATCATTATTCAATGAAATCAAACTGACAAAAGGATGCATGTACGAGGGAAAGACATGCTGCCAACGAATGCACCACTCGTGTTTTATCTGATATAAGTTAATACTCGTTTATGTTCTTTATTTACATAGTTTTTCAAGCTCTACACAATCAGCACATACACAAAATCAGCACATGAAAAAGGGGTAAGATTTTGACATATTAGTTGCAAATAAATGTTCACTGAGTCAAACTGATATGTGCATGTAAATGTTACAGAATAAAACTTGAGGTTCTTGTTTGTTGAGTTACAAACGCAGAGTGGTCGGGCTGGCATCTATTTCATATGTCATAAACTTTGCCACAATAATCAACTGAAAATTGTTGAAACATTTGTCAGCCTACTGCTAGAGGGCGCTTTAGCATTTAATGACGTCACCGGTAATTTTTTTCTAAAGTGCAACGGTAGCCAGAGACTACATCTTTTTCCACTTTCTAATTATAAGGCACTTCCGGTTTGGACCAGAAGTAAGGGTCACGTGCGGATTAGGTGACACACAATAAAATGAAGATCCTGGGTTATCCTGCAAAAATCAAGTTCAGGTCTCTCACGGATAATTTTATATTGATTTTCAAAGATTAAATCTAGAAATCTTTTATCACTTGTAATTTGTCTCCCGATCGATGATGTCATCATGACGTCAGAGTAATATGCACCACTCGGGATGAGTGTCAATATGATGTTGCAAGTTGCAAGTTCATACCAACCCGTTTAGGAGAAAACCTTGGAGAAGTATTGTCCGGAAACTAAGAAAGAAAGAAAGAAACAACATTTAACAGAACAATTCTAAACAGTGGTCGGATTGTGCCCGACCAGTCAATAAGTCTTCCCCGACAGCGTCAATACAATCTCAATCAATTAATCAATCTTGCACCATGTCACGAAGGACGTTGGCTCCCCAAATTTTCACTCTCCGCTCCTGTCTATCTTGCGCTCTACGTTGTTCCAGGTAGAAGGTGCTGTTAACCATGATGTCATTTTCCCATCTCTTCCTTGGCCTACCCCGTCTATTTTTCCACAGTGACTGTTTCTAACAGGATGCGTTTTGTATTAAACTCTGCTGTTTTCCATTCTCACTATGTGGCCAAACAAGGCAAGTTAGGATTTGTAGAGGTGTAAGGTGCCTCTAGTGAATTACCATCAGCCGAAATTCTCCTCCACGCCTTTTCATTTCGCACCTTGTCTTGCCAAGAGATGTTCAGAGTTTTATTTTAACAGCGCATCTGGAAGGCTTTCTTGTGTTCATGGACCCTGTCGAGCAGATCGAATCTGAAGGTCGGCTTCTGTCTCAGCTAACAGAGCGAAGTCATCTGCGAATCGCAGGTCCCGCAGTCTGTACGCACATGCATTTATCCCAAGCTGGTCGCATTCAGCCAAAGCTTCGACAGGATATTTTCCCGGACAGACACTGAACAGATCAGGAGACAAGAGGCACCCATTATGCAGCTCTTGGCCTTGTACTTTTGTATGGAGCCAAGTCGTGGACGCTGACAGCCAAGCTCGACAGATCACTGGACGGCGTCTACACACGAATGCTTTGGATGGCACTCGACATCAGTTGGGAAGACCACGTGCCAAACACCCAGCTCTATGGCACCTTGCCCAGAGTGTCTGCCAAGGTCAGGGAACGGAGGATGAGGCTGGCGGGCCACTGTGTGCATCACCCAGAGCTAGCTACGAGCCCACTAGTAATATGGGAACCCATTGATGGAGCTAGGAGCATGGGCAGGAAGAGACTCTCGCACGTCGACCAACTGAAGAGGGACGCAGCGCAACAAGATTCCATTGAGCTGAGGAAGCTGATGCTAGACCGGGATGCGTGGAAGGTGACCATCAGAGGTTCCCGAGAAGGCGTCAGCTGAAGACGACCTCTCGCATCATCATTGGCCTTGTTGTACCGATCCTTGATGCTGACCAGTTTGCCAGGGATACAAACCATAATGCCACACACGGTCCAATGCCTTTTTATAATTATAGTCAATCAACACAGCATACACCTGTCCACCTTGGTTCTCCAGTTGATGTAAACCTGTTTCACTGTGCTGTGCACGGCTCGAAAACCTGCCTCTTCTTCATTTCACTTCACGTCATGCGCCTTCTAATACATCTTGAAGAAGTTTGCTACCTTGGTTTGCTACCAAGGCTGATTGTTCTCCTAACAGCTGGTATCTTCCTTCTTTGGTAATTTTACAATGATGGTTTTGCCTACTCGTCGGGTATCCTTTAGGATGTCCAAATATCATTACATATTCAACCAAAACTCGTGGTTATACAAGACCAAATTGAATTTGGTCTTGTATGACTATAACTTTTGGTTGAATTTAACAGATATTTTAACCCAAATAATTGATTATAGAACAACCCAATTTTGGGTAGTTGCACTTTTAACCCTTTCTTGGGTAAAATTAACCCAGGCTATTGTTTAGTGCTGCATGGAACCCAACAGCTGCACCTTACTGCTGACCCATGAAACTTGGTCACGTACCAAATAAACTATCCCACAAACACAAAGTGTTTAAACCCAGGACTTTCAATTGACGTTCTTATAACTTCTTCTGTTTGTCCTGATATTGTACAGCTCTGTAACTTGTCTCGGTGGAATCTTGCACATTTTTCAAATAAATTCAATAGGCTTTGAAAGACCGCAGGCCTATCCCCACATGCACACAATACTAACATTATTACGTGCTAAGTCATTTTGTACATAAAAACGTGCAAAAAGCCAATTACAAGGTATTAGTTGATTGCCTGTTTGTATGATGTTTTTATTTGGGTTATCAAACTTTTGTCTCTGCTCAGTGATACCTCAATTTTTAGAGATGCTATACTGCATCTCTGCAGCTGTGTGCTTCATGTTGCGATATCTTGTAGATATTGGGTGGACCAAATATAACCTAATTCAACTCATTTTTTTTTTTTTTTTTCAAGTAGATAAGACAAACACGCAAGGGTGTGCCAAGTCCACATGTTCTGATATGATTACAGCTTGCAATGTGAACTCAACTCTGCCCATTTTTGTGGTGTCCACTATATGAGGGCAGCATACTGCTGTAGATTCACTCACCATTTAGTTGGATATGGACACACTGTTCAGGTATGGCCCCAAACTTTGGAATACAATCAGCGACATAGGGAAACTAGTTCATTCGTATCGCATAACAGTTGCCCTGTCTGTGTATTGCTAATTTCTTTTACTTAACAAAATTGAAGGCATGAAAATTGAGTATTTGTCAAAAAGAGGCCATAATGATGAGAAATACTACTGCAGATGAGGAGTTGTCCTCGATCAGTTCCATTCATAGGACACGAGCCACACCCCGACCCATATTTGGTGTATTATTTTGTTTTTGTTTTGACATTTTTGGAGCACTAGTTAGCAACAATCCAAAATGATAGAAGCTTTCGTACATTACGCCAAAGACAAGTAACAGTCCAACTTTCCCCCTTTTTTAATTAACCAGTGGGAAAAAAAGGTATATTGAGACAGTTAAACTCCAAACACCTCCCCAAACATATCCTAGTGTGCCTATTGTTTAATAATATTTCACAATATTTTTGTTTGCTTGCAGAAATTACTTGTGATAAGAAGAATCATGTCAACAGCTTGTATCCGATGATAGCAAGAAAGAAAAAACATCCAAACCCACGCAAGTTGGAAAAAAATTGTTGATAACTTACCAAGTTTGCATCTGTCTCATTTCTCATGGCACGAGTGCCCTTTTAGGTATATAGTGCGTTCTTAATGTAGAGAATTTCACAATCCATCAAGTGATTATAGTGTTGTTCACACACGTTTTCATCATGTTGCTCAAAGTTTGTGTGTTGGTGGTGGCGTTTGCCGTTGCCTGTAACGGTGAGTATATAGTTTGTCAGGTTTTTGTTTTAACATGATTTGCTTTTCATGAGGCCTGTTTTGTTTAGGCTGATGGTTTTCTTGCTGTCGTCATATGCTGCTTGTTACTTTATTAGTTAAGTTTGCTGATTTTGACATCTTCCTGACCATGGATGTAGATGAGTCCTTTAAAAGTCCCTGCAAGTCCATGCATCACAAGTCCTTCAGTCCCAGTTCACATCACAAGCTATTTAAATGAGCTTTGACAAAGGCAAATTCCTTATATTGTTCATCTACTGTTTTCTGTGGTTGGACTTGTGATGATTTGTGATGGACTCGACTACATCCCTGCTCTGACCCCAAGTAAAGGTAGGTAGTCTAAATATAACACTTCAGGGGGAGTACATTCTCACTAATTCTCCTCAATTAGTGTATACATCCACATTGACATACATGTACATCCGTGCAATCATCTTGTCTCCCCTGCAGCTTGTGGCGACCCTGCCATCACTCCAAGCAAGCTCTCTGTGGTCGGTGGAACGGAGGCCGTCCCCCACTCCTGGCCCTGGCAAGTCAGCCTTCAGCTCAGGAAGACTTTTGGTGGTTTTTCTCACTGGTGCGGGGGATCACTTATCAACAATGAGTGGATTGTTACCGCAGCGCACTGTGTGGATGGGTGAGTGCAGAACTTGTGTAACATTGTGCTTAATGTAAGTAATGAAGTATGTCATAAGGGCGTCAATCACTTTTCAGAAGTGTTGGGGGGGGGGGAACAAACCTTGCTCAGAACTAATGCGAGTTTAGATTTTATAACACCTCGCCCACAAATTCTGTGTTTTGATAGGCCGAGAGCGAGTCACATGATACTTTCTATTTTTGCTATCTTTCTGTGCATGGCCAAAAGTACTATACCCGTAGCAACCAAAGTACTATACCATTAGCAACCAAAGTACTATATCCACGGCGCAGTAATTGTGTGTAAATGCTTGCTGGTGTGCGCATTGCGCGTAGCGCGTTTTGTTCCAAAGAGAGCGCGCAACGCGCAATGTACCCCTATGCATTTTGCACACAGTGCATTTTACACATAGTACTTTGGTTGCTACGGCTATAGTACTTTGGTTGCTATGGGTATAGTACTTTTGGCTGTGCACTGAAAGAAAGCAAAAATAGAAAGTACCATGTGACTTGCTCTCGGCCAATCAAGACACAGAATCTGTGGGTAAGGTGTTATAAAATCAGATGTAGGCTATAATTTTGGGGTGACAAACGATATCATATCCCCCACTTTCTAACCCCCCCCCCCCTCCAGGTTTGGGATACAAGGGCTAATGGCATGTAAAAGTCAGTACCCCACGCAGTCGCGAATTGGGAAGTGGCTTTGAAATCATGAATTGTTGCAGTGATGTCACAAATTTACATTAAGATAATATTTATGTGGATCCGTGCTATATCGATCGCAGTTGTATTAATACAGGTTCAGAAATTTGCTTGGGAAATGACTGTATTGATGCAGAAGGCTAGAAGAAGAAATTCAGATGTGCTCTTTGTGATTGTCAAGGTTGCCACTGCCTTTTAAATTTACTTTCAAGTAAATTAAAGCATATTACATGATAGTTCGACAAATGTGGTTAACTAGTTGGAACTAGACCTGTGGTATTATTCCCTTACTTTCTCTCGAAGAACAGAAGGGACCATATTGTCATGAAAAAAAAAAATCAAATGACAAAAAAGAGATGCTAGCTATGCAACCACTTTTCAAACTATCAAATAAATGGTTTGACTAGGGTAATCTATGCATGTTACGGTGTTAGTAAGGAAAGACGATCCATGGTTGAACCAGAGTTAGCTCTCAAACTTTCTGTATTATTAAGAAATGCACCTTTCCCCTCCTTAATTGAAATGCCATATATCTGTCATTAACCTTAAGTCAACGTTATTCTCCCTGTCCCATTCAGGAAAGAGGGTACGTACAATTGGAAGATCTGGCTCGGCGCCCATGATAACTACTATTTGGAGTCCGGCACGGTGGAGAAAACTGTTTCTAAGGTTGTCAGACACGCACAGTACGATAGCGTGAGAATTTCCAACGATATTGCCATGATGAAACTGTCTTCTCCTGTAACTCTCAGCAATACTATCAACACAGTGTGCCTACCATCGCGCACCTGGACATCAGGCAATGCATACGTGACGGGATGGGGAGACACTCAGCAGTGGGGTCAAGGTGAAAGCATGCATACCCTTGTCATTTCAGTTCATTAACAAGCTTATATAACACCCAAGTAAATCCTCGTTATTTGATTGGAGGATTGTAAGTCACGCTGCATTTGTTAATCGAACCATTGTACGACCTACATCATAACCGTGTATTTTTGGTGCACATTTTCGTCCCATCCCTCTTTGCTTTTGATCCAGTGCATGCCACGTGCACGCTAACAAGACGCGCAGGGGCCAGCACAATGCGATCTTTGCACTATATACATCATATCATGCGTTATCAAGTATAAAACTTGCCGGTATAGTCCATCATTTGTAATTTGTGCATTTTGTTTTCGAAGCAACAAAAGTGCTCAAAATCTAAAAAGGGTGCTGAACAACTAACCTGATTAAGTTTCAGAGCAGCTTCAGCTGTATATTTTGAGAAAAACAACATTCTAAGATCTCGACTCAAATCAAAACTTGCTGAATCCTGTTTTGAAGTGGGCCTGAATTCAGGGTCCAAGACACGTTCTCGCTTGCCTACTGCAGCTATGCGATTTCGCACACCGATCCGACGAATTATAGCAGCCACGCGAGCGTGTACGTCGTGTCAAGGCTTGCGCGCGCTTCGCCGAATAAAATAAACGAACTAGTAAACAGACATTTCCAACAGTGCTTCTTAAGACGCACTGTTGGAAAAGGCCTTTTTTCGTTGATTTCTTCAAAATGACAGCTTGCCAGAAAGAGTAATTACACAGGCCGTTTAGTTCCCTTACTATCTTTCAACCAATATGTTTTCAACAATAATTACGCCAGCTTTTTGGATAGGTGCAAATGATGGACTCTGGCTTTAATGCAGTTGTCATGATGTAGGTTTTTTTGGCATTATATTAAGAGCTTATGTTTAGTTTAATTAGAGTCCGATGATTTGACTTGTAAACTTTTGTTATCCTTGAACAAGCTGAAAAAAGTAATGGATATGACACAATTTTGTGAGTTTTTATTTTGTTCTTAAAAGTTTTATCCTCCAATCGAATGACAAAAATCTACTCGGATGTTAAATAAAACATATTCTCACCACTGCACTCATAAACATTCATTATTTGTATACAATATGTCTGATCCAATCTGACAAAATGTGTGAGTATGTTATTTGTAATTGGATAGAAGTAATTGGTCATCATTTTTCCCCAAACATCATTGACAGTGGATCCCCCAGCCCATCATCAATCAAGAAGCATGAAACAAATTTTATATTCATAAAATGAGTAAATTATACAACGTACGTCATGCAGTGACTTTCTTTAGGACTTTCTGATGACAAAAGTATCTTGATGACATACCTGTGAAATGGAGAGGTCTGTTATCCTGGAACTGTTCTTGAAGTGGATAAAAGAAAACTTTGGGAATATAAATAGTCAAAGCATAAAAAAGGTGTATATACAAAGCCTGTTTTGTTCATGGTTTTGTGTTTGTTTTCTTTTCATCTATTTTGCAAACGGATGGTAACATTTGACATGACTCCTGGTTGTTGATCCTTTTCTAGGCTCTTACCCTGATAAGCTACAGCAAGTGATGACACCCATCATGAACCATGATGTCTGCGCCCAAAAGTTGTCTATAGACAATACAATGGTTTGTGGGGGATTTGCCAATGAGGAGAAGGGGGCATGCAGCGTGAGTATACAATCCCCTCCCTCAATATAGCAAACCTTTTGAAAAATTACGAATTGCACCCCTCCCCCTTCGCCCATCATCATGTTTGAATACCCTAATCTGATTTAGCATAAGGGCCTACATGTGAGACAAGCGTGAAATGAGAATGCGACTTAAAAAATGACACGAGGGATATTTTTTTCCACGTTTCTTTCAAGTTTTTGATCAATATGTGACATTAACCGTCAAAGGTTCAGCCATTATGGTGATTCTAAACAGGATTTTTTGGATGATAGTTTTTTGATTAACAGCACCTCTAAATGTCCAATGGGGGTCAAGTGTCTCCCAAACTGGTGTCAAGTGACCCCCTTCGCCAAAAAAATATCCCTGAGGGAGAATTAAGGTTGGGGTTGACAATCTGTAAGCCTCTACTTTGGGACATGTCTTTCACCATTTTAACAGAAGCAATAAGTGACAGCCAGGATTTCTTTCATCAAGGGAAAAGTGTGCAATCGTTATAGCTGTGACAAATTTCACTTGTGACATTTTTTTGGTTTGGCAATGGTCGTGTAACTTTCCAAGTTTTCTTCAATTTAACAGATGATGAAAACAAGATACCCAGTGTCACATACTATAGACATAATGTTTATTAATGGCATGGTGTTCCAGCTACTTCCTTGGACTCCCTTTATAGCCATACTTATTTTAATTTGTCTCCAAGTTGAATAGTGTATTCACAAAAAGGCGAAACTAAGATAAATATTTCCAGACCCCAAAAAACTGCTTCAGGATAATGGGAAAAACCAGAGATACTGGTAGTCTTATTACGTCCTTTGTTTTGTTATCAACTTGCAGGGTGACAGTGGGGGACCATTTGTAATCAAGAACAGCAGCGGCAAGTGGGAGTTAGCGGGCATTGTCAGCTGGGGAATTATACCTTGCGCTCAGCCTGGCATCCCATCCGTTTATGCTGACCCCTTCTACTTCCAGAGTTGGATCCAGAACACAATGGCAACCAATTAGCGTGTTGAATCCGTATTATATTAAACCAATAACAACAGAACACAAAATTCAAGCATGACTCAAGCAGGCAGTCATATATGAAAGTGTTTTGATTGCTTAAAACCATTATTGGGTGGGGAGCTAAAACAACAACAATACTTTCCCTTATTATGATATAAATTGAATTTTATCTTTAGTTTGACCTATCACTGGTTGAGTGCATGTAGCTGTCAACTGTAAAAGATCCATAATAGTCAATAACATGTGTGAAATAAAAACATTCTCCCAGAATAATAGCGATCCATACCTCGTGCCAGGCCCAAGGTGTACCAGTCACAGTGCAATTCTGGTTAAGCTAAGGATCCAACAGAATTGCTTGAATTTGAATAAAAAATGCCCCGTTCCTGGATACAGTTTCTCTGTTAAAATTGTGTTTTTTTTAACAGTTTTGTTTACTTTCACAAAAGTAATTCCCAAAAATGTTATTTAGATCCACCCAACATTAATGAACCCCCCCCCCAAACACACACAGCTGGTACTTATGAACCTGAATTAAATATACCAATACTGCAGAACAAAATTGGTTTAAAACAACTGTTATTCATACTTTGTGCCAAAATTATGTAGCATTACCCAACATAAAACAAAAGTGACCTAATGTTACTTCCATGGCTCAGAACTTCTCTTCAATACTTAGGTTTTTCCCTTCACCGACGTATAAACACTGTACACTCAGTGTGTTACCAACTGAGTGAAAGTGAAAAAAATCACTCAAGTGGGACTTGAACCCACGACCTGCTTTCCAGTGCGCTGATGTCTTACCACTCGACCACCGAGCTTGTAGGATTGCTTGGTTGGTTGAATCTGAGCAGCGGGTTCCTCCTTTCTCTTAGAAATTCCTCATTTTCATTATTTGCAGTATACTTATTGACTTTACAAAGTTTTTTTGAGACTAATTTTGTTTGAAAAACTTTTGAATTTGTAGGCACATTGCACGGTGTCTTTCAATTTGCTTTTTTTTTCATGGTGGAGGGGGAATAAGCAATGGAGCTTTCAAATTAGAAGAATCAGTTGTTTTTTTTATTAAGGAGCTCTATAAATATGCCAATTTCAAAATACATTGTACAGTGTACATTATCATTATTCAATGTGATAAAACTGACAAAGGTATGCATGTACATGTACGAGGGAGAGGAATAGCCGTACTGCCAAAGAATGCACAACTCGTGTTTTATCTGACTTAAGTTACTCTTTATGTTCTTCTTTATTTACATAGTTTTTCAAGCCATACACATTTAGCACATACTTTACATGCCTTATAGGCACCTGTTTTGTTTACAAGAAATGAAAAAGGTGTAACATCTTGATGTATTAGTGACAACAAATCTTTACTATACTGATGTGCATGTAAAAGTTGCAGAATGAAATTGATTTCCCGGACAATTGCAACGTAGGAAGTTCAATCTCATACACATGTACAACAAAAGGAAAACGCAGGAAATTTGTCGTCTGATTCCCAAATTTATGAGAATCATAATACATTGATCATATTTTTAAATTATACACTTTGTTGCAAAACTAGCTCTTCTTATGCTCAAAGCTGATTATTTTAAATAATTATAATTTAGTTCACATTTTTTTTATCAAGTTCAAAACATGACAAAGGTACTCCTTTGGGCTTAATAAAGTCACTTTCAAGCACCAAAACTAAGCAGCCTGCAATGGTACGTGGTAAGAGCACCAAGGCTAAAAAGTACACACAAAATGGCAGAATTGCCTTTAGAATTCTGAACCTTTTTGGAGCAAAATGATTTCCATCCTACCTAGGAAAAAATGGATATATAAATTATAACTTTACTCTGATTAATCAATTTATAAACCAATATGGGATATAGACAAATAGAAGCAAATATTAGCCTGGAAATACTTCAGCTATTTCCCCCCCCCCAGAATAAAAGAGAGAAAGAAAGAAAGAAAGGAACAACAAACAAAACAAACATAATTTCAAAAACAAAAATCAAGAACTCACTTTTTTTGAAGAACATGTAACACATTCTTCTCATCAACAGAGCACACTGTTTTAAGAATGTCCAGTTAACTGGGCCTTTCCTGAATCCTGTACACACAATATTGCTTCTGCAATATTCCTCAACTCCAAGACCAAGTCGGCATTTACGGTCCCGTTAAAATTCATGACATGGTTTGTTTACTTTGGAAAGTCTTTGCTTGGAAAAAATCTCAATGGTGAACTGACGGTTACCAGCCCTATGATACTCAAAAGATACCATCAAAGGAATACTTAAGGTTGGGATCATTAATCCCAAAAATGAAATATTTCTATTTCCCAAAACAATCTAATCAAATTTGTTGAGGGCCCTGAATTAAAATAAGTCAAACAAAATTCCTTTTCTCTTTTATGTACAGAACAAATTCACATATACACCTCTTAGATAAGTAACTTCAATGCTGTCGATAATTTGTTTTGATTACAAATCTAACAGAGTGCATGCTTTCCTAAAAGCAGATTTCATGGTCAAGCTACATGGACACTTGCACACATAAACATTTCTACTACAGCATCATGACTTCTACCAATTTCTTCATTGAAGTTACCAACTTAACAGCGCTGCTTTGAAGGGCACAATTTTCTGCCGTCGTGAACTTCGTCCAGTTCATAGGGACTGTAAGAAAAACGCACAGCACTGGGCATTCTCTCTTCAAGCAACAGCATTTTAGAGACCTAACAGAACTCTGCATGCCGCTATATGTTTAATAAACCTAAGGTGAGCACAATTCTCCTTGTAACCATTTAATCAGTGGCAGACATTGAACTCTAATATTGAGATGATTTTTAAAAATATTTTTCCCCGTTTTCATGATTGATGCGGGACGGTATATACAAGATGAAGCACCTTTGTAAATCACACAGCTCATTACGAAAGATGTGAAGCTTGAAGGCAAACTTGCACTTCCAATGTTCTTTTTAACTTAGTGTTGATCCTCATTCTCTATCTCATAATTTGTTACAGTAAAAAAAAAAAGCGATTCAGCAACACAATATTCCTGTCCTCAAATCATCCCAAAATGACACGAAATTTTTTTTTTTGCCAAATGGCTGTTTTCACTTCAATATTACTTAACATATCATTCAATATTGGTTTATACTTTGAGTAAAGTAACCAAAACTTACAAGAAAATACAAACACAAACCAAAAGTATAAGATTCAAGGCAAGGAGTTGTCCAAGTTTGTAAATACGTTTGTTTGAAGAAATACACCCAGAACCCTCTTTAAACAAAACAATATTACCATGGAATGGAGGTTTGACAACAAACAAATAAGCCCTAAATTGCACAATGGATTCCAAACTGGGGGTGGAGTTATTAGAGTCAGTACGGTAGGGGGCTTGTTTGTTGACGACAAGAATATACCGACTACCAGTTTGCATCTCCAGTGGCCTTGAAGAATACGTAATCTCGGCCTTTCAGATTCATAATCCCATTCTTGAGATGAAACTTCCATCTGTTTCGACTTCTGCTGATCTGTAGTACATAACAGTCATTTTATTTTCAACTTAAAAATTGAACAATCAAACTGCATCACAATTGTTAACTTAAAATCGGAGACTTACAGGTGGTATATCAACTAAGTTGCAAGAATATTTTTTTTAATAAGAAAAAAGGGTTTATGTTATAAAACCAACTCATTTACCAGAATAAACAAGAATGCGCTTGTAAAAAGTGATATAAATCAGTGATTTTTTTAAAAATTGTTTGATTTAAATCACGATTTAAATCAACCTGATTTAAATAAAACAATCTTGCAGTGTTGTACAGCTCTTGTTTCTTGAGATATTATTTTTTTTTTGACAAAAAGGTTCAATTTTTTTTATTGGTCTGACCAATAAACAAATTGAAACTTTCTGTCAATCATCATGATGCATGATACCGAAATTTTTCATAATTTCTCAAATGCCAATTGAGGCAATTTGTCCGACATAGGCATGGCTCAGAATACCAAGCTCATGAAAGAATTGTGTAGAAATATCTGATGTAGCTAACATCCTTTCCAAATGATACTCAAAAAGTTAGCGTTTTAGGCCTACCTTATCGTACTGGCAGACTACGACATTATCTGTCTCAAACAGCTCCTCTGGATCCTCATCACTGACGTCATCATCGCTGTTCAGGGATTCCTAAGAAAGAGAAATTTTGTTTAAGCTCACTTAAAGATACATATCATAAATACGGTGCATAACAACTGACCTGCCAAAATGTCAGCTTAGTGGATACTATACATGTTGAGATAACAGAAAACGCATGCATATCTTTTTGGGTCTCGTAACTGGGCTCCATTGATCAGGCACATACAAATGTGGAAACCACCTTCAATGTTAGATTTCTCCCAAACAATACCATTTATGGAGTAAGAGCAATAATTCAAGCGGAATAATTTCACAGGGTATTTGATACCAGTCCTACCTTCACTTTGAGCAAGGTTTCTGTTGTTAAATCAGCAGGTACTTTCCAAGGTAATTGCAGATGATCCTACATGGCTTTAAGATTCAGTCCACACTTTTATTGATATATAGCAAATCCCCATTCTGCTGCAGAACAGATTTATGCCACCTCACTGACTGATTCTCGTGATTGGCTGAGAACACAACACGTCATATATACTCATTTTCATTTTCCATGAAACCTCTTTAACATTTTTGTCTCGCCTGAACAAGTTCAGGAAAGAGACTATGCAATCACTATGTCTGTACGTATGTCTGTATGTATGTGGTATTTTGGTTAAAGTTTTGTAAAATTGGTCTCATTTCAAAAGATGACGTCCAATTGGAACCAAAGTTGAATCATAGATGCAACATGGGAACCTTCATATGATAGTGATGTCAAAGGTCACATACCAAGGTCAAAAGGTCATCTCAGGTCAAGTTGTAAAAATAGGCTTAACATGTAAAACTGGTCTCATTTCAAAAGTTCAAGTCCAATTGGAACCAAACTTGGGTCATAGATGCAACATGGGAACCTTCACATGATAATGATGTCAAAGGTCACACATCAAGGTCAAACATCACTCATTAAAGATAATCGCGAAAGCAGGCGAGACGCGCTGTACGAGAACCGCCTTGTTCATATTTATTTTTCATATTTCATAACCAGATCTATGTCAATAGCAATGCATTATTTATATTCACTAAACTCTTCCACATCGATGGCATAATCAAAATCTTCTACCTCATTAGCATATTTACTATTCCTATTCCCTAACCTCTTCCACTTTATTTGCATATTCATTATTTGTATTCACTTACCTCTTCCACATCATTTGCATATTCATTATTTATATTCACTTACCTCTTCTACATCATTAGCATCTTCGTTATCCTCATTTTCATCATCTTCATCCCCATGGTCATCTTCTTCCTCCTCATCATCCTCCTCGTCTGAGGTGTCATTGGCTCCATCCACCTGCAGAACACGCGCCTGTAGGGCACACATTGTTACATAGGATTTTGGATTGCATCAGACAGATAGAGATTATATAATTGGTTTTGCCCTTCAAATAGTCAGATACAATGTTCAAACAAAATCTGTGGTTGATGTTATCATGTTGACCTATGGTAACGGAAGAATGCAACATTTAACCAGCAGTAACTTTAGGTTTAACCCCGAGTTACCATTTACCACAATTTACCTTTCCCATCATCCCGGTTTAATTTGGCAATAATCCACCACTTCCAGGCGGAGTGTACAAGAGGCCCACTCAGAAGGGTGCCCTCTCTGGCTCCAATATAAAACATTTAAATTGGGACCCCCACATTACAGATTCACAGATTTATTGTGATTTCCACAAGATAAATTGAAATTTACTCTACTGTTTATGTTGTTACGTGATACCAATGATACATGGCGACTTGATTGAAGTAATGCGAGTAACAGGATATGTATCACATAGTTTAAGCAACTGGCACAGCAAAGATGCAGTCAAGTCTATCACAAGTCAGTCACAGGACAAATTTTGAAGTCAAGTTACTAGTCCAATAGAGAAATGACTTTGACACAGTTCATTTGAATTGTTTGGGATTCTTCTTCTGACCAGACCACTTTTGATTGACTGGTGATATTTGATTTCAACTCTGTTGCACGGACCCAGGGACTTTTCATTTTCCTACCCCAAAAAGACCAGAACTCACCTGCACTGTGGTCAAGTTGATGGAGCCTCCTGCCTGCTGGGACTGCTGCTGCTGCTGCTGTTGCTGTTGTGTCTGAGTTGTCTGGGGAGATGGGTGGATCATGACAGTCTGGCCAGTGGGCAAGACAGCCTGGTAAGCTCCAGCCTGTAAGGTGCCGTGGGGCTGGCTTATTGCGTAGGCTGGGAAGGTCTGAGTCCCTACAAGGCAGAAATTGCAATGAGAATTGTTATACTGTACCACGGTGTTACATTGTGTAATTCTATTGAGAACTGTTCATGTGATGTTAAGACGACCTGACAGACTCTGGGTACATCAATTTCATCATTCTCAAACACTTTTGAATATGTTCATCCCTGCTGCTTTGCCCACATAGACCCTGAGCACAAGGAAGGCGTTGTACCCTGGACGTACGCGTGTCAACAAAGACCCTTGTATGGATGCGCTTACAAATGACCAAAAACAGTGGACTTCAGAATAAGGATTGCGTAGGGGCGTCAAAACAAAAAATGTTGGTTCTTTTCTCCGAGTAATGACTCATTTGTTTATGCTATCATTACTTCTTAAAAGGTGCCATGATATGAGGTTTACACTGGAACTTTTTTGTGCAAATATCCATTCCTCCGAAATGTATGAAACATCCTTTTTTGGTTAAAATCTTTTTGAAAGTCCACTTTTTTAAACATTTATAATATTCCACACTTCATTCAACAAATCAGGGCGCTGTTGCTGTGGTGTCACTTTAGGTCCCCACTCTTCATTTGAGAGATGTTCTGTTCAAATTTTAAATCTGAATTTGTGGTGACTGAAAAGCGTCTGTGCATTAAAACACCAGGGCCTTCATCTCAGAGGACAACTGTATCATGGTGTCAGGTCCCATTAGCAAGTATAGTCATGCTTTACATATCAAAAGCAACAGACTCCAAATGCACATCCTCAGCACTGACAGAGACTGAGGTAAACTCTCTTCAATGCATAGCCACTGTAAATTTGTATACAAGTAACAAGTATTGCGTGTTGGAGTGACCAAAGTTTGTTAATGCCTAGTGCCTACCTCCTTGTGGTTGTGCTAAGGTCAAGCCAGCGGGAATGGAAGTCAACTGGTGGGGTAACTGCATCATGCCTTGCTGAAAGGCTAACGTAGCTGCAGCAGCTGGTGAACTCTGCAATCATATCCAACAAATTCCTATTAAGAATCTCATAAACCACAACAGGAAACAAACTTGGGTCACTTTCAATTAATATTAGGTTATTTAAAACAAAGCAAGTTGACTGGAATGGACCTTGACCCCCAGAAATACCTACAAGTATTTTACGAACTGAGCTACCTAGTGCTGTGTTCGTGATATTTGCATGTTAAAAAACTGTACCAGTCAAACCAAATTTTTTTCTAATGATACCACCTTCTTTTTTCAAAACAACAATCTAGCTGCAAGTAATTATTACAATAAAACTTTGCCAGGTTTTTCTCCAGGCCACGGGAACCCTGTGTGAAAAGTGGTTTTCCACTTGTGAAGTAAATGATACGTTTCAGGTGAGGAATTACTTAAAAAAATAATTCCAGAGACATTGTTGGGAAATAATCCTTTATAGGCCAACTGTATTTTGATAAGTGACATCTAGACAATCAGTTTTATGAACACTCCTGCCCTGTCAAGCAATGGAAGTTCTCCATAAGAATCCCATGAGTAACGCACAATTATTTTCAGACAAAATGAACCCTATCTGAGAAATGATTTTTCTGTGACTTTTCTACAATTTTTATCAAGATGACCCTCATGGCGTTACAGATGGAATGAGCAATAGTAACTAAAATGCAAAGACTGGCTTTATTCAAGAATGTTTTTCCCCTTTGTTTTTTTTTAATATACACATAGTTGACACCTGCTTCTCTGACATGTCTTTACCTGACATTATACATTTGATCATAATAAAAGGAAAGGTGTAAGGAAAGATAAGGCAATACTTACAAGTTGTGTGGTAGCGCCGGATATTTGGAATGCTTGGGTACCTGTGTAAAAAAATTACATCAATTAAGAATAAATCAAAGCTCTTCTAAGTTACAAGAAAAACGGATATATTTTTAATCCAACAAAGTGTTCGTAAACAAACTTGATCAATCCATGAAACCCCAATCCCCCTCAACACAGTAACACTATTATCCCTATGTTTCAAAAGACACTTTTTGGGGGGTTATTTTTCATAAAGATTGGTTAAACATGCGCAACCGCATTTTCAGCAACATGAAAATGTGTCAGTATTATTTGACACGTGACGTAGGGGTAAAGGTGTCACAAAAACACACGAAAGTGTATCTTTGACAAAGAGTAGCATGCAATCATTGACTGCATGAAGCCAGGTAATATGCTGCAGTATGGAATCTGTGCAGAATATATTTATTATGTGCTGCCTTCTTACTACAGCCACCAAAGAAGGTACATGCATACACTAGTATGAATGCAGAAAACGCAAAATATGTACAATTGTTGTACTGAAAGTGGCAATGTGCACAAGCCCACAGCATCCCGACATAAGCACTCTAAACACAGCAGGAATAGTGTTCAAGTGTCACACCTCTCTTGTTATCCCATTGAGGGGATGAATGCACAAGGAGTCCATATTTGTCCAGATTTGTCACTGCAGGGGCCTCCCTAGTCATTTCTGCAACTGGTCAAGGCCAATGCGAAAAATAAGGGAGGGGACTGAACCTCATCTAACTCTAGGGAACATTGTAACATGTTCTGTGTTTTAGCGCCCCTATTTCCTGAGTTTTCAATTGTGCATTTTTTTCTCCTTCCCCCTCCCATTTTTTTTTTTGGGGGGGGGGGTGGGCAGTCTGAGTATCAACCGTTCTCCACAGAGCCTATCTCCGGGAGAACGTCTGATATATCTAAGCATGTGTAACGTCATTTCATTTCGAGATCTGGACTAAGAGTTTGATTGGTCAATTTTGATGCCAGGTTTTTGTAATACAACAGCTTGTACAAAAATGCCACTCATCGTGGGCGTGATGTTTACACACGCTGGGAGCTTGCATTACGCGCTTGTAGAAGGCGCCCGCTGATTGGTCAGTTTTTCAAGGTCATATGCAGTCTAGTTGCATAATTAATCACCGAATCTGCTTACATATCATAGACCATGGCCGGCTTCGCCAGGGCCAGGGTCTATTACATATAGACCAGGGGAGGGGAAACTCAAGCCCCTCAAAGCTCCCCCCCCCCCCCTCTCTTGAGTGCAACACTGTCTATGACAAGTACTAGCCTTGCTGCTGAGGGATACTGCGGCCCACTTCTGCTGCTGTTCTCTGCTGGGTCTGCAGCTGTAGCTCATTCCCGGATGTTGTGGCTCCACCATGGGATTTTCCGTGGTGTCTGTTACCGGTCACGGACTGGGGGAGGGGCTGGGGGGTCAGATCGACGGCTCTTGTCATCATCAATTTACTCTCCCAGATCTATTGTTGAAAACAAACAATTGGTTGACGATGATTCACTTGTCACTTATGAATAGTCTCTGAAGAGTGGGTAATGTGAAAAATAAAAGGTAAATGGCAAAAAAACAGCCAAAAGGCACAAAAGTTAAACTCAAAAAAATATCATACACTTCAATATCAGTTTCTGGCAAATCTTCATCAAAATTCAAATTTACACCCACTTCTAAAAGGGTAACAAAAGCACTCTACATGTAATACAGTAAGGCTACGACCAGCAGTAACACACAAATCAATGGGAAATGGCTTCAGCCACTACCATGATAGACGCATGTATAATTGCAAGCTGTAGCCTAGCCCGAGTTCAGAGGCAGCCCAAGTTTCACATACAGGCCAAGAAAGTGGAATGAACCATTCTGTTCCAGGGGTTCCTGTGTTCAATTTTATCTATGAACTCTGACAGTAACCACATATCAAACCAATATTTTTGTTCACTTCTGTGACGAGTACCAGCTGATAGTGGCACCATAGTTGATTCAGAGAATTCCTAAAGATGAACACATATGTAGTAAATTGAGAACAGAAATTTTAATATCAACACACCAACCCCAGCAATCATCAATAGGTTCACCGTATAGATGGTGATGTGCATGTACAATATATTGTACATTGTACAATGTACATGTACATTGTACAATGTACATGTACATGTAACTGTTACATGCACACAATAATCAATCATCCTGCGACCACCACATGACATGATCCATGACAGCTCAAAAAAATGTACTGAGATTTTGATGGCTTAAGTCACACTCCAATTTCCATGGTACCATTTGTGAAAGATTTTGTTCATCTCCCCCCAAAAATCAACACCACAAACTAGTATACCGCATTCCCCCTCCAATTTGGCTTCACTATACACTACAGGTCTGCTTAATATTCATAAGTAGTGGCAGTCCCCGCATAATGTTCAACAACTGAGCAGGTGATTGGCTGTCAGTGACGAGATAGTCAAATGAGGGTTGAACTATAAATACACTAACATATGCAAATATCTGGGTTTCAAGAGTGCGGTGCAATGGAGGAGCAATGGCAGACGGTGAGCTGCCGTCAGCACAAAACCTGGTCAGTAAAACCTCGCAAAACTTGCTGCCGATTTCATGTTTTCTGCAACGTTTTATGAGGCGTAACCTTCACCAATCGGAGCCCGAACTAATTCTTCACAATTGGTGGAACAGAATGAACGGTAACATTTGGAATATTGAGTGAAATAATGGGTAAAAGAATGCACGATTTGACGACAACGGGGAGGAATCGACAATGGACAACACAACGATCAGGATATGCACGGCGCGGTTCGTGTTGAACGTAGGAGCTCGCGCGCCGTGTACAGTACGACGATTGACCAGTACCCCAAGCGCGCTCAGCCTGCGCTGAAACAACTGAGTATAAAATCGGACTTCTCACCTGTTTAAGTTCCTGAAGAACTTGTTCGTCTACTCCTTCATCCAGAAAGGCCTCTCGGACGTTGGTAATGACATCATCTATCACGGATTTGTATAATTTGAACTGGAAAAAGGTGTGGAAATCGTCGAAGTTTTAGAAATAATGTGAAAACCGTTCGCTTTTCACATTGACTTGAAATGGTCAATATGTTATTTTTAGGAGGCATTCTCATACAAATTTACGATGTGTTGTGACAAGTTATTTGTAATTTGAGGTAAGGAAAGGATGATACATTACCACTGCTTGGGAATTCGCCATTTTTCTGCCGAAAGTGGCAAAATTCGATGAAAAATCGCGTTGGTTTTATTCCAACAATACAGGATCCGCGAGGTGTGTAGGCTTCTCCGAAGCCGAGTCCGCCACTGTTGCTCTCGGCTTTTATACTTGTCATCAAGTCTCGATCGCCAGAGAGGGGGTGGCGCTATTCATGAATATGGCATACCCCTAAACTAAATCGTGTTTCTGTTTGATGAAAATATAAATTAACACAAGTGACTCAAATGCTCAAATTGTTGAATAACAGAATATATTTTGCTTACAGTTATCGTTTTAATTTGGGTCAGTAACAGTGTTATCTGTAAATTCATCATCTTGAAACGTTTGCTTTGTGATAAATGCAGTCATAAAATGTGTTTTGCGAGGTAAAAAAAGGCAAATGAGAAACAAGTTTTCCATGTTTGAGGCTGGTGGTTCATGAGCAAAGTGATAAAAAAGCCTTTCGCATAAGTAAAAAGTATCCTCTTCATCATAATTTTTTTCCACTAAGTGAGCACTGAATACAATACAATGTATATCTTAGATTGATATACTACTAAATAGAGAGGATGCAATGGAGTTATATTATTAGGCCTAGTACTGGCATATATCTTTCGGGCTTGTTTCTTTCTCCTTTTATAGTTTTAACATTTAAGAAATAAAACAATATTGATACATTTCGAAAAACGCATTTGCCAAGAATTATTTCGTTTTGTTGTCTTTCATGATTATAGTATTTCAGGCATGCAACTTTTCCTTGGATCAGCTGATTTCCTCTTTTTTTACTTCCCATGTGTGCCATTGAAAATAGAAAAACACTGTACAAAGTCTGGGAAAAATTTGAATTTCCTCTTTTTTTTGTGATTTCCCAGTTGCATGCATGGTATTTATTTTGTATGTTTATTTTATTTGTGCACAGTTGAATTTACCCCAAATCCAACGCACCCCGGATGCTGACCACTGATCTCTATATAAAGACTGGATAGCGGATATGCATACAACATTCACACAGTAGACTTTGCATATTGACCAATTCGCCCCCGGTCTCACAAAGATGGCCGCGTATAATACGAACGTTCTACGCGTAAATACGCGCGCGTTGTATCAACAGTTGACGCGCATTTTGGTCACGTACACATATTATGATGTTCTAAAAGGGACACATTTCCGTAGTGATTATTATTTCAAAACGCCGAAAAAGTTATATTTGCGGCATTTTAGTAACCACGACGTTAGAAAAATTGTAGTTAACCTTGGTCAGTGGTGGTGGTCAAAATATAAGTCAAGTGAACCGCGACGTTACAAAAGAAATCATGCTGTCTATAAAAACGGCAACTTGTCCTTTGTAGATCACCAGCCGGTCTCACCAATATGGCGTCAAATTCGTACATTGTGCGGCTCTGTATTAGCTATCCAGTCTTTATATAGAGATCAGTGATGCTGACACGTAAAAAGACTAGCACGAGCGGCGAAGCCGCGAGGGCCTTTACCATCTCGTGAAGAACGCTTATGTTTTCTTTACATTAATTTGTCTACCGATTTGGTATACATGCATAATGCATTACCCGTTGTGAATTGAACAATGAAAATGCAGAATTACTAATGTAAATCAGCCGTCGTCTGGCGCCAGACAGCACGCGCGCCATGGCGCAAACCACCGTTAGATGATTGGTTTATATTGCTTGATTTATATTACGTGAATAAATGAATAAGTGATTAGTTCCACGAGATTGGCCCTCGCGGCTTCGCCGCTCGTGATAGTCTTTTTACGTGCCAGCATCCGGAGTGCGTTACGCCGTCCGGATGGTCAGGGTATCCCATAGACATAAAGAACTTTATGTCTATGTTATATCCTGAACACTGTTTACCCAAATCTCATTTTTGATTAGGCTTGCATTAAAAAGTTGTAAAGAGATGTGGTCCCGAACCGATAAAACAAATGCGACATTTCATAGTTCATTTTAAAGCTAAAGATATTGTGCTCGGCGTTAACATGGTTATGTAGTTATCACTTATCTGAATTCATTAATAAAGGCCAAAAACAGAGGATCATGAATATTCAAAATATAATTAGCTGGCTTGACAGACTTCGATACCAGATCGGGCATCTGATGTAGCCACCGCGTCGGCAGTGAAGCGGTTAAGCTGTCTGGGTCAGGCGCGGTTCTACGGGGGGCTGGGGGGGCTGTAGCCCCCCCCCCCCAAAAAAAAAATTTGGTCTAGCCCCCCAAAAATAAATTCCGTAAAAAAAATTGCATTAGCAAAAAGAAGGATTGTGATGTACATGCGAACGGTCTCCCCCTAAAGAAGAAATAGCCGTGACGAGGGTGCATTAGTTAATATAGTGTGAATGATTTTAGGATTTTATTGGCGCTCCCCATTGAAAATATGGCATGAGCCCCCCCCCCCCCCCCACGACCTATTGATTTTCGGACGCCTACATGTAAGTGTCTGGAAAAATAACCGGTCAACATTTCAGCACGCCTCCCTGAAAAAATTCTGGATCCACCGTGCTAGCCCCCCAAAAATATTGGTTCTAGAACCGCGCCTGGTCTGGGTCTTCGTCACTGTTAGTATTCATGGTGATTGCCAACCTGGAGTTTCAGTCGTTAATCCATTGTGTGTAGCAGATCCTTGGTGTAATATTGGTGTTCTCTGGTTGACTTATGGCTAATTTTTTGCTCCACACTTGATTTGTCGGGGGGGGGGGCAATGGAGTGTTAGAAATCCACGTTTTTTGTTTAGGGGCGTTGGGGTTTTAAGGGAAACCATTAGGGACTAAAGCAAAGGTCTTACGAAGTGCGATTTGCATTTTTTTTCTTCAGAAACTTAAATTTGAGGTTTTATTTCAAAGAAATTGTTTTAAGAATAACATTGGTTAGATGGGAGGGGGACTTGCATAGGGGTGGGCGAATAGAGAATAAATCAACATTCCAGCACTAAGAGAAGACCTTGAGCAGCAATCTGTGATGGAACAGGTTGGTAGGTTGCAGTGGCGTAGCCACCAGGGGGGGGGGGGGGGGGCGTGGGGGTGCCCCCCATGAAACCTTGTCGCCCCCCCAGTCGCCCCCCCCCTGAGATTTTGAGTTTCAAAAAAATTATCATTGATCTAAATCTAAATAGTCGCGAATGATCCACATGATGACCACTGAGAAACGACCCTTCGACCGGCGACCGCTGACCAGTAAGCTGACAACCGGCGTGACATAGCGCATAATGATAATCTAAAATGCGTATTAACACCCACTGCAATGCTCGCTCACACCACGGAACACGTATTATAGACAGGTGGTCCGTGGGTCACACAGTTTCAGTCAGCGATATCACGCGAATCGGCCACGCACAAACTTTTTCCTCCATTCATATAAGCTAAATAATAATAATAGACCAATTAAAATTCCTTGAAATCAGTGCCCCCCCCCCCCCCCCACTGAGATTTTGAGTTTCTAAAAAAATTATCATTGATCTACATGACGCCATGGGCGTCAATCCTGGGTGGACAGGGGGACTGGTCCCCCCCCCCCCACTTTTTGAAGGGTGGGGACACAATATCAAATGTCCCCCCCCCCCCAGATGTTTGAACTCGTGTCTCATTTACAGGGCCCTATTATGTACTACAACGTATCTTTTGCTTAGAAAATATTGGTTAAAGTGGTCAGAAATTGCCTCAGATAGCACCACAGAGCATTTAGAATCCAAAATTTTTCGGGGCCCTTAAGCGGGCCCCGAACCCCACGCCTATAGCTCAGAATTCTGGTAGCTGATTCAATTACTCCAACCTCGAAAACAATGTTCAAAAAAATTTCTTATGCCTTTAGTTGAGAAAACCTCGAAAATTATGTTTAAATTATTATCTTTTGTGCTAAGATAATTATTGGTTAAAGTGGTAAGAAATTGCCTCAGATCACACCACATGCACAGAGCATCGAGAATCCAATTTTTCGGGGCCCTTAAGCGGGCCCCGAACCCCACGCCTATAGCTCAGAATACCGATAGCTGATTCAATGACTCCAACCTCGAAAACGATGTTCAAATAATTATCTTTTGCTAAGAAAATATTAGTTAAAGCATGGAGGAAAGCGGTAAGAAATTGCTTCAGATCACACCACAGAACATCTAGAATCCTTTTTTTTGGGGGCCCTCAAGCGGGCCCCGAACCCCCACGCCGTAAGGGCTTCGCGCTCGCATCAGTTCTGATCAAGGTATGTCCCCCCCCCCCACTTTTGAGAAGCGATTGACGCCCCTACATGACGCCCCCCCCCCCATGAAATGTTCCAGCCCCCCCCCCCCCCCCCCCCCCCCCCCCCACTGAAAAATTCCTGGCTACGCCACTGGTAGGTTGGGCAAAACCTAACATTGATTTGCACCGATCCCCCGACGCGAGTTCATCTTATTGCCACCTAACTTCCGTCTTGCGACTGTCAGTTATCCTCCATACACTGCAGGAGCATGGGTGTCCTGCGGTGAGGCCCCGTTTCCCTTTAATTTCTCCCGTCTTCCGTGTTCCAGGATCTTGCAAAGTACAATGATTGAACACTATAGTCTGTCTACAATTAAAATTAATGTTAGAGAGACAAAAGGTTAGACCCGAAACAATGAATGAGCGGGATTCCAGAAGATTCTTTTTGAAGATGGTAAGGAAAATTAAGTTGGTCAGATTAGACGGAATTTGGATATCCCTCCCGGCCCAACCACCCGTCGATTCCCCATTGACCCTATAAACATCCGACACACTGGCCCCTAAACTCCGCTACCCCTAAACTACCGTCCTTGTCACCCGTACCCGCCCCCAGAATTCGCCGGTCTATGGAGCTAGCCCTGGCCCTAGCCCCCCATGGACCCGTCCCCAAATAATCGCCCACACACCACCCTTGACAATTGAGCACCCATTCCTTCCTCCCGAGAAAAGATCGTTAGCGATATTTAACCGGAAACACATTGAGCATTACACAGTCTTAAAGTTCGCTCGTACCCCCCGCGCCCTGTTTGCAGGGCGGGGGTACGAGCGAAAGTCTTAAAGCTGAAATCTATCCCCGGCCCCCCCCCCCCCCCCAGCCCTCCGCACGCTCCCCGTGCTGGTTCTTATTCCTTCATTGTGCATGTGTGCTGCGAGGTAGTCCGGTATCGATTAACAGCTGCATGCAGCTATTTTTCGGTTAAGCCTCGTCGATTCTGTGCTCAACAACTTTGATCACTTCATTCAGTCTGTGCTCAGATCATCGAAAGGTTGAAAATAAAGCCTTATTATTTTAAAGGAGATACGGTCAGGCTTGTTGACAGGAGTAAGACTATGTCCCAAAAGATAACTACTTCAAATTACAGGTCTTGAAGACTGATTTGATACCGTGAACTCAAGACAAAATGTCGCTCAAGGAATTCGAGGTAAGGTTCACGTTGTTTTTATATTGCACCTATTTCGTGAAAAGCAATTTAGGCCCATCCTCCTTTGCAGCGGCGTGCTTCAGTCGTTTTCCTAGTTCCGGATTTTTCCTTGTTCCGGATCGCTTCATGAAATGTTCACATACTGTACATGTTATGTTTCTGAAGGTACGGACATGATGGAGAGAATAACTACCTTGGTAAAGTTGGTTTGGTAAAAACTAGCCCGACTGCGTCTGGCTGTACAGTTATCGCCAGCTCTACAGAGCTTGCGATAGTACTGTACGGCCAGACGCAGTCGGGCTAGGTAAAAACGTGAGTAGTTCAGTTGAAATCAGCGGGGATTCCCTTCCAAATTGGATGACTGTAAAATCCCTCAATCGGCCTAGCTGGAGTTACCCAGTTCCCAGCCCTGAGTTTTATCATTGGGTTGTCTATTAGGGCTGGAGCGCATTTTTCTCGAAACTTGTAGTATTTGCAAAAAAAATTTGGAAAATGTTCAATTTTGTCCCCGTTACACACTAATTGCAACTGCAACTCACCCCAAACTTGCCTGGAATAACCATTACACAGGTCCTTGAAGTAAAAAACGATCCACGATGAATATTCAGCCTACAATTGCAGTGAAAACAGGAGAAATAACCGCTAACTTGACAACCTTGCTGGATTGGCCAGGACCGCTATTGGTTTGTGCACAAAAAAAATTGTGTACAATGAATGGCGGTCGATTAACAGGCACAGAGAGCGATCGCTGTCAACTACTCGTTTTGCCGGCTGCGCTGGCTGTTGGCGCGTGACGTCACGCGGAAGCGTAACACCCGATGACTGTTTCATGCACTATTGGTTGCGGTTCCAGTACCAAAGCTGTGATGCGAGTGGTAAACCTTATACTAGTGCATGAAACAGTCATCGGGTGTTACGCTTCCGCGTGGCGTCATGCGCCAACAGCCAGCGCAGCCGGCAAAACGAGTAGTTGACAGCGATCGCTCTCTGTGCCTGTTAATCGACCGCCATTCATTGTACACAATTTTTTTTGTGCACAAACCAATAGCGGTCCTGGCCAATCCAGCAAGGTTGTCAAGTTAGCGGTTATTCCTCCTGTTTTCACTGCAATTGTAGGCTGAATCTTCATCGTGGATCGTTTTTTACTTCAAGGACCTGTGTAATGGTTATTCCAGGCAAGTTTGGGGTGAGTTGCAGTTGCAATTAGTGTGTAACGGGGACAAAATTGAACATTTTCCAAATTTTTTTTGCAAATACTACAAGTTACGAGAAAAATGCGCTCCAGCCCTAATAGACAACCCAATGATAAAACTCAGGGCTGGGTAACTCCAGCTACAATCGGCCGTGCGTGTGGCCGGCCGTGCACAGCTAGCCACGGCGCATGCAAGATCTACACACGGTGAACCTTCATTGGAGATTTTTCGATACGAAAACCAGGCACGTAACTTTTCCTCGGATTTCCTTGTTTTTTACCTCTCAGTCAGGGATGCCATTAAATTGAAAAACACTGTCTGACTGTACAAAATCTTTTGTCAATTTAGTTTCCTCGTTTTTTTTCCTAAATTCACAGTTGCAAACTTGCATACCTGGAAAACAATGAAGGGTGGAAAATAGAAAACAAGATTTCCCATGATATTAATTTGATCCTGAAAAGAAGTTGGATGACAAACATGACAAATATCAGTTGAATGTTGATGTCCATGGTTGATTTGTTCCTCTATCTGTACTACCAGATGTTCCTTACAGCTACCCAAGGACTTTTTTAAAGTTTCTTTACGGACTTTATACGGCAAAGTTACATGTATTTTTTAAATATAAAAGGCCCATATTTAGCTTTTTTTCCTGAACTGTTTTTGTTCATAGGTTTTCATTTTTTCATCATTTCGATGTTTTGTCTGGAATGTACATAATTATGTCCTGTTGGGAGATACTTATAAAATATCATGTCAGTCATTTTTAACTAACATTTTCTTTTTAGGACCCAACTAGGCCTACATGTATGCGCGTTAACCGATTTTATGCGATGTATTATGTGATGTTGATAGTGCCGCATTGTCGCGCTGCAGACAAAAGTTTCAAAATCTTTTACATTAATTCTCTTTTTAAATTTGCTGGAATTCTCTTGAATGAACTGTTTTTCAAAAAAATTAAGTAATTATCAGGAAATGTGCTTGATTCTTGGTGACTCTGTCTGAAAAATTGATTTTCTCGTGTGATTTCTTTTTTGCGCGCAAAGCCGTTTTTGATCGATTCCGAACTGATTAAACTGATCCAGAACTAGGAAAAGTGGCATGGGTACTTTTGACGTCGCAAAGTTAAATTAAAAGAGCTTAAATTTGGAAAATTATTTTGTAGTATCTCCACCACTCAAGGTAAAGTTTTTAACCAATATCACTTGAATTCGTAAAGAAGTTGAGCCGAAAGCAACCTGAATGATGTTTGCTATCCGGAACTAAGAAAACGACTGTACAAGCCGGGTTCTCAAAAACTTATCATCCTAGGGAAGCCCCACTTACGGAGCATTAGAAGTGCCATCCGACTTGTTGAGGTCCTAAAATGTTTTATCTCTGGATGACGACATATTACAGGCAAGATGACAACATCCTGAGATAATTTATCATGGGATGACGAATTTATCATGGGATGACGACATCCTGCAAGTAAGATGACGACATCCACCTTCAAAATGCATTCTGAGATGAAGTATCTCAGGATGTCAACATCGTAGTCTAAGGATGCCGTCATCTTGTGATAAATCATCTCAGGATGCCGCCATCCTACTCTCAGGATGTCGTCATCTTGCCTGTAATAATGTTGTTATCCTGAGATAAAATATGTCAGAATCTCAACAAGACGGGTGGCACTTCCAGAGCTCCGTACCCACTAGTGTGGCCCCGGTGTTGCTGCGCTGTACCTCTGGCTACATGTTTGGTTCTCCAAACTACTGAGGAGTTTGTCTGAAAAAAAATCGCAAATTTGTTTACATAGGGCCTACGGTTGTATTCTATGATGTCTCAGCTTCTTTCCTCCAGATTGACTAGCTGTCCTGTCCTTATATCCAATTGTTCGAGAAACTTAGGCATCTTTCTGTAGTCCGTATGGATCGTGTGATCCCTGGTTCGAATCCACTAACACCCATTTTTCATCTACTATTTTTCTTCTTTATCTACTGACATGGATTCTTAGAGTGCACTCGTGGCAAATTAACATTAGGAAGTATAATGCCGGTCATGGCAAAATATCCACTGCCTAAAAAGTTGGCCTAAGATTTGATTACAAAACAAAAGTTAAGAAAACTATTTCTAACTTTCAGCCTAAAAGAATGAAAAAGAAAAAAAGAAAAATTGATCTTGGGACCTCCACCTCGGTATGGTAATGTTATAACGTTAGTCCTAGACCCAGTAACTGGGGCGCTAAAACTCCTTTTTTTTCAAATTGTGTCTTTGGTTGGTTGTACTAGCGCTCCAAAGACTTGGCAAGAATACCTTATAAGGCACCTACTTGCTTCTTAACATGTCAAAAGACGAACTACTGGGGCTTCCATGATAGTCATCATTTTTGGAGCTGCAAATTGATGGAATTGGGCCAGTTTCAATCATCATCGTGTACACTTTCTGCCTCCATGCAAAAAAATGTTCATGTGTGGCTCTGACCGAAATAATGGCAGTGGCTGCAGCCACTTTCCATTGACCTGTGTGTTATTTCCAGCCGTAGCAAGATGATTCAGCTGTGGTTATTCACACACACAGAGGTGGCGATCACGTGACCTGTAGAAAAACAACTAACCCTAACCCTCCTCAATCCTCCACAATCCTCCTTGTGGTTTTGGAGGATTTTGGAGGATTGAGGCTGAATGGTATTTGTTCAGAAAAGGATTTTGGGGGATTGAGGCTGAATGGTATTTTTCAGAAAAGGATTTTTGAGGATTGAGGCTGAATGGTATTTTGAGGCAGGACTGTCTGACGATTTTGAAGGATTGAGGGGCTGGGTACCCTTCATTTGAACATAAGTGCAACATTTTTGGATGAGGAGGATTTTGGAGGATTGAGGATGAATGCATTTTGAGGCAGGACTGTCTGAAAATTTTGAAGAATTTAGGCGCTGTTGTAAGATTTTGGAGGATTGAGGATGGTTCCTAGCAAACAGGCCAAGGGGGTTAGGGCTAATATGCATGTCGGGATGTATTCAACAACTATTTTGTGAAATGGTACAAGACCCACTGCGGCTACAGGCGCTAGCGCACACAGACGGGCAGGCCAAATATTCAAGAGGCCATTTCAACAAATAACGAAGAGTTCAGACCTGCTGTTTGAAGTTTGTTGTTTTGGCTAATACAGGAATCAATCACATACTTGATTTGTAAGCAAATCTGAGACAAAGGCCGGCCCTCCTTTTCAGAAATTTTGTTTGTGAGTAAAATCCACTTGGATGATTATTACTGCTGAAAAAAGAAAGAAATGTCTATAGCATATACAAATTGGCCAGTTTAATGCAAAACATGTATGTTCTTTTTCAATCTTCCACAGAGTGCTACCTTTGACCCAGAGCAGTACATTGAACAGCTGGCATGGCGCACCCAAGGCGGCGACTCCAAGGAAGGCCCACAAGACTTTGATGCCAAGACGATGCTGAGGGCGTTTGAGAACACCATAGAGGAACTCAAGCTGTTGAGTATGAGGATGGAGGAACGCACTGGGAAACTAGACGCAAGCATCCGTGCCGAGACCAAGAATCACGCCAAGAGAGTGGCTCAACTGCAAGAAAACAACAAGGTGAAAATGGGATGAAATTTTGATGTTGCAGGTACATGTAGATGTAACACTTCTCTGTGTTTGTCAGTAGGTGAATATGCATCCAAACCAGAAATACATTCAAAGACCATTACTTTGCATGGATCTTGCTTTTGCTCTAGAACAGTTTTGTTTAAGAACAAGGAACATCCTATCTTGATACTATTAGGACTTGATGACTCAGAAACCTCAGTGTTGTAAGACTCGAGTCCAGGACTCGGACTCGAGTCACATTTTTCGTGACTTGGACTCGACTCGAGTCACATTGGAAAATGACTCGAACTCGGACTCAAGCTTGGTATTTTCATCAAAAGTAAAAAACATAATGTTACGTATTTGTGCAACGAATGCAGCATTCTTTTTTACTCCATAGACAAAACACGGCGCCGCGGAAAATCATATCCAGGGCCCGCGCACGCACGCCTTGCGCCAGCACGAAGAGCACCAGGCCCTGGTGACATGCCCAAAAGTGTCTGCTTACAGCGCACACCAGACGCACGCTATAGTCAGGAGTGCAATATTCTCGACAATGCTAATGCTAGGCGGACATTACTTTGCATTTCACTTGTGACTCACACTCGGACTCGAGGCTTGTGACTCGAGACTCGGACTTGGACTCGAGGCTTGTGACTCGGACTCGGACTCGACGTTGGTGACTCGACTACAACACTGGGAAACCTTCCCAGCAAAAAAGCCCATGAGCTTTAAGATTAGCAATCTTTGCCCCTTCCCTTCTGTGGTGTAATAAGCATTGTATACCCTTATAAAAAAAGTCCATGCTAAGTCACCAATGGAAGTACTGGCAGCTGTATACAGGATTCAAACCAATCAGCCAGCCCTGACAAGCTTGGTGGTCTAATGGCTCTATGTTCCCACTATTAAACAATACTTGTGCTTGAGTACCCACCAAGCAAGCTATCACTAGTGCAGATGCCTCAAGTACTTGTCCACATTAATTTTTAGCTGTTTGTTACACTCTGTTATTGACATTCCCTTGAAATCAACAGATGGCCTTCTTGCATTTCCAAGAGCTGGATGAACACATCAACAAAGTGGCCACTAATGTGGTGCATCTAGGTGACCAGCTGGAGGGAGTCAACACCCCTAGGGCTAGGGCAGAGGAGGCCAAGAAACTCATTGAGTACTTCTCAGAGTTCCTGGATGACTTTGGGCCCAAGGCTGAGGTATTCAATGATCCATTCCAGGTATGTACAATGTAACATTCTTAGGACGATCCGCAGATAACTTTAAAAACCTTTTTTACCTTTTGAGTTGTCATGCAAGGTTCCAAAAATTCATGATTAGGCTAACAAAAAAATAGTTCTGCTTCCGGTCTCCCTACCTGCCCTATTCTGACAGCCCCTACCCTAATTTTTTTAATGTAAAAAATGAGAAAAAACACCCCAAACCATCAATTTCTACCTTTTATTTTGACTACACGTAGATGCCTCCATATGATCGTACACAAATGCCATGTAATCGGAAGCAGAACTATTTTTTTTTTTGGCCTTAGATGAGAACGAGATTTCACCTCACCTGCTATGCGAGGTTGGTGGCTTCACCACCACCTGCCACTCGCTGCTCTCTTTGCAGTTGATGCACTTGTGAACAATCAACTTGTGAACATCCCCACACATACACATGCACCCCCTTAGTGCTTAGTATAGGGGTGATATGACCAAGCAGTTTTGGGGGTATTTTGGGATTTTAAGTTTGTTAAACCAGGTCAGATTTTCAAGGAGTATTTGAAATCAACTTTTTTGTCTGGTAAACTTTTTCAGCTTTGGAAGAGTTAAAAACCCCTTAAAGCAGAGCTTTGGTTATCAACCATGATTTTGTCATGAAATGAAGGACACGCTGATGCCTGGTGTCTCTGAAACGCTTAGCAATTAATCCTTCTTGGATGTTTTACATTGAAAAGGTGATTTACTTTTTCAAACCAATTTCTGATTTTGATGGAGCTTGTCAATCAATTCATTAAAATAGAAAAAATTATGATGTATTGCAACATACATTCATGACAAATAGTGCATTGATGTATCAAATCTTTCATTTTTTTGGGGTGTACATGCCACTGCGTTTATTTATCTTCATTTAAATAGGATAAGCTACACTGAATACTGTTTCAATTATTGAAAAGGGTCCTTTTGTTGGTTTGCCTCATTCTTACAGCTTCAGGAAGCAGCAGATATCATTCAGAAGTTGCAGCTTATATCACAAGAGCTTCCACAAGAGCAGTGAGTACATGTAATAGGAAGACTGTATTTCAGTGGCATCGTGTACAATATAGTACCCCTCTTTTTACCCACACCTCTGCCTCCTTCAACCACATCCCTCCATTTTGCTCTTACCCATGCCCTGTAGGGCTCTCTCATGACCACACAGTAGGTACTGCGCACAGTAGGTACTAGGCAAGCCTTAAAAAATGTGATGGATGGCAAAAAGTGTGAGCAAAATGCAGGGCCAACCCCCAGTGCTGGATTGGCACTCGGCACAATTGCATGTATGACAAGTAGTGACCATTATGCAATTTAATTGGCAGTTATTTTGCATGTAAATAAGCCCTACTGTGTAGTATACAGTTATAATTAAAAAGAAGTGACCCAGCTCTTGACCACTTGTGCAATTTTGAGATTACACATTTTTTAAATTGTGCAATTTTTGTGACTCTAACCAAGTGTTGACAAATATCAAGTCAAATTGAACCATGCTTATGTTTTATTATTTATGTTTAATTAGGTTTGAGAAGCCAAAGAGAAGAATACAGGGTAGGTACACGTTTCATGATAATGCCATTAAACTGCGAAGAAGTCAGTACATTGTATATCAAAATCACGAGAAAAAAAGTAACAAGTTGGCGTTTGAAAATAATTTGCATTTTTGGTTCATTTTTCACTAAGGTAATTAAGGAAGCTTTGAGCTGAATTTGCTGATTGCTTACTTTCACATTTTCTTGCACATTTTTTTATTTCAAATACCCACAGTACGAAACAAATAGAATTTGAGCTAAGGGATCCATCAATAAATTAAGGAAAAAGATCTATAATAATCAGTGCAAAAGAATGATGACTTGTTTATCAATTTATCCTTATTTATATGTTATGTATTAATAAAATTCAGTTCATTTTAGCCCTTTTGAACTTTCGAATGACACATGTAAAAACCAGTTGCAATTCACTTGCACGTAGAAGACTAAAAGTTATACATAGAAATTTTCAAGAAGGTTACGTTGTTATTTATCTCTGCAGATAAGTACAATCAGATTGAGGAAGACCTGATCACTGAATTCAGGTCAGCATTCCACGAGGGCGCTGTTGACAGGATGAAAGAACTAGCAGGGATACTGACGCACTTCAAGGTAAAGCCATTACCGCATTTGGCAATGACTAAGCCTAGCTGCACATCACTGGGACAAAAGGCTGCAGGCTTAGCCCGAAAATACCTGAGTTGAACGTTATGAAGTCGATCATTTACTCTCATGCTGTAGGATTGACCTTTGGTCAAGTTGCTGGTATCCAGCTTGAATTTGGTACTAAACCATGCACAGGACTTGGAGCCAGCTATGATTTGTCCTACATAAGTGAGGCGTTCTGGCAAAATGAGACAGAACTTGGCAGAGGTGGAAATGAGGGTTTGCCGGTATTAGGAAGGAGAATATAATTCTCCTTGAAATACTGTTTGTTGAACTTCAATGGGACATTCCATTGACAAGTTATGGCTGTTTAAAGTTCGCATTTATTGACATGTCAAAAAACCGTACTGAGAAAAAGGCCTTAAAAGTTTTGACTGATCTGTAGTCGTGAAAATGAAAGATGCCAACTGTTTTTCCTTAAAAACACTTTTATTCCACGATTTGTGTACTATTATATAATAAAAATGTGTAGTTGACAAATAAAAGATTACAAATCTCAATAAATCGCAAAATCAAAGAAAAAAAATCACCCCCATTCGTTTTTTTTTTTTTGCATTATTTTCCACTATGGCCTGTGCCCAGATCGTCTCAATTTGCCCGAATGCCTCATATTTTTCTGTGCACATGTTATGGCAATGGTCCTCTCTGATGTTTTGCATGTTTACCAGGCAGAGGGCATTGTAATGTTCTCTTCTCAAAATCTGGCTTTTTAGTTTTTAGCTCATTAGCCTCGTGTTCAAAATCACTTACCATTCATTTTTGGTAAAAGGAAAATCAGTCGGAAAAACTTGCTATGTTCAATTGAAAAAAAGATTTATTTCAATTGAATGCTCATTTCCACTGCAGGGGTTTCACCGATGCATCGATGCCTTCATTGAAGAAAGCCAAGCGGTAAGGAGAATCAATTCGTAAAGTAAAAATAAAGACTAGTGTAGTTTTTTTTGTCTTCAAATCAAGCTCTGGAGCTCAGTCAAGCAGATGGAATAAAGCCGTCCGTGGACAAACAGGTTTGGCCCTTGAAATGTTTAAACTACCATATCTCAGAGACAGAATATGCATATAAATTTCCGTATATATTTCCGTGGTGTTGAACCGAGTCTCAAACTATATGGACTCTCAAAAATCCAATACTGCAAAAGTCTATATAGAGCTACAGAAATCTAATTAATGTGACGGACATTTTTGATATTTGTTTTTGCAGAATACGTATATTTTCTACGATGTATATGAAGACTTGATCCCACTCTGTAAGAAGGTAATAAATGATATTTCCATTGATGGTGCCTTTGTGGTTTTATTAAATATAAGATGTCCGTGTGGAATCATCTTGTTTGATTTAAATGATTTAAAACAGTATCCAGTGATGAATATCTAGGGTTTTTTTTTTACAATTTATTTTGTTGCAAATGTGCGCTGTTCATTCATAGGTACATTTTTATGAACTTGGCAACATAAAAAATTAGTAGCAGTTTTGAAACATAGCTGTTGCATATGCTCAAAGAAATCAGTTACATTTGTGGGCTTAAAATGTGCTCCTTTGTTGGTTTATCTTTGACTCGAATCTAACAGAAATTGACAAACTCACAAATATGAAGAACTGTTTTAGGATTACCCTAAGGGCCCGTCACAATTCATATCCGAGACGAGTTCCGGACAAGTTGCAGGTAGAATCATTCACTTTGTCCGGAAGAAGCTCTGCATTTGTCCCGGACATGTTCTGGGGGGATTTTCATTAGCAACTGCTTGCCTCACCAATACCCATAACTTCATTGCGTAAAGATTGCAGGAAAGTTGTTCAGAATCCTGTAACTTATACCAGATACAATGTCCAGAACTCGTCCCGGATACAAAATTGATACGGGTCCTAAATCAAGCCAAACACATGAGGTGTAATTTTTTGGCAGAATGTTGGATGGATTCAGGATTGTACAGCCAAGCTACTCTGTCTTTACAAGAGGGCTAAATGGCCTGTCTCTGTTTGAGTTCAAAAACATGCCATTCATTTTTTTGCATACTGATGAATTGTGGACAATGAGGGGAGCGCAGATTCCCATGAGATGAAGGGTTGCAGTAAACAGCTAACATTTTAATCAACGTGTTACTTTCTGCAGGTGAATAACATAGTCCATCAAGTCTTCAGCAGTCCAGAGAGTGTCATGGGAAAGTTTGTGCTCAATCTCTATGAGGTCAAGCTGCAGGTAAGTTAAACAAATCACAGTCCTTTTCTGATTTTCAAAATATAAGCAGCCACATTAGAATTTAAACCTGTTTAACTAGAGAGAGTGGTCCAAGTAAACAAATGGGTAGAAATTCTGAGTATTTTGACATAAATGTACAGTGGATCATTGATATACCAAACAACGCTATACTGAACATTAGCTTTGGCTCCTGATTTTTGTGTTAAGTTAAAAAGTACTGAAAAATGGAAAATGTCAACAGAAGAGCGACATGTGACTATTACTTCCCCAAGGAATAGAAGGGAAAAGACAACCATGTAAGCTTAAAAACTGTGTAATTACATGAGTCAATAGTTGCAAGTGTTCAAAGTCGTCTTTCAGTAATATAAGTGCCAGGGCATATACAGGGTGAAATTCTGCTTACGGAATTGAAAAGATGAATGGACACATTTGGCAACTCTGCGCGTGGTGTGTTAATGCAACTACACTATAACAGTGGTCAAAAGAGGGCGCCACTGATCTGTGAAAATTGCTATACCGAACGAATGCTATTACGAACAATTTCTTTGAATCCCACGCGATGTTCGTTATAGTGAAGTTCCGCTGTATGTGAAGTATGTTTGCATTTGATCTCAAGAGTCGGAGTCTCTCTGCAATATTTCTTGCATCTTTGTGTCAGCTGTTCAAAAACTCATATTCCCACTCATTTGAAGTGCTCAGTCAGCACAGCCGTAGTATTCAGTAGGAGCAGGTATGTTATTCTGTTGTGCACATGTAAGGCCAAAAAAAATAATACTTCTGCTTCCGGTTACCCGACCGACCCTATTTTGAGGATGCGACCCTAAACATTTTATCGCCAATTCCAAAAAAAATAAAAAATAATGATTGAATATATAAAAATAAAAGCTTGTTGTCTTTTCTGTCTTCACAAAATACCTCTCAACAACCCATTTGCGTCAAAAAATGCTTGTATTTATTTGTTTTCTTACTTACATTGGCTATTTTTTTTCAAAAGAAACCAAATTCGCTTTGCGATCTGTCATCATACCTCGCAATTCGATGTCACGGTGACTATAATCACGTGCATAAACCTTGCTCAATGCAGTGATGACTGGTTCACGCCGCGCAGGGGCCAAATTAGAAGACATGATGAAAGTGCGGTAGCCAGTCTGTCATGGCTATGCGATAGCGCTAGCATGGCTATGCATTAAGCACGTGTACTGTCAGTGTCAACTGGTTGGATTCGACATCGTAAAAATGCCAAGAAAACACTGATGGAGAAAGAACATTTTTGCAAGTTAATTCTCAGAATTGATCTATCTTGTCTGTGCATGTATTTTCCGTGTTCAAGAGTTCATTTTGAGATCGCACTACTCGTATTTGGAGTGATACATGCAGCGTGTTTCCCGGAATTTTTCGACCGTAAAACGAGGTCTGTCGGCCGCAGGCCACACATGCACAGTGCATCACACACTTCGGAGTTTTGGCCAGCTTCCCGTCTTGACTAGCGTTGTGCATATGATGCCAACGGCCTGAATTTTCCATTATTTTTGAAGAATTATCGAATGTAAATATATTGACAATAATTAAGGTAGGTTTTATTCACTTTTCGTGGCCATTTTGTGTATAGCTTTTGTAGTGCAATGGAAATAGTTCAGGCTAAAACTTCGCATATAATTGAATACCCCATTCAATCTGCATCAAAAAATTGGCAAAAAAAAAAATTCCGACCGACCGACCCTATTTTTGAAAGGCATGTAATCGGAAGCAGAACTATTTTTTTTTCGGCCTAAATGTTTGATCACAGTAGACAGTGTATGTTGCAGCTTCGAGTATGTTTAGTTCTTGCACACGCTACCAGTTTTTGGAGACTTTGATTCAATTAGTAACTAGTTCAAAGTTTAGTTCACGAAAGGGGCACATGGTCCCGAAATTGCCGAAATTTTTATGTTTAAGATTGTAAACTTATCATATTTCAAAGGTCTGGTTGAAAGGAAACTAACCTAATGTCGCACTGTTCCTAAGAAAAGACAAAAAAGGCTGGTTGTTTACTTCTGACGTGGCACACATTTTGTGGCAAATGCATACGTATTTCCAGCTGTAAATATATGTCTCTTTCTTAGACGAGGAGGTTTGCCCCAGTTTCTGTGTCCATAATGTCAGATGAATCAACGTGGGGTACACCTCGTGTGTGTGTGTCTACATATGTACACATAATGTACGAAACCCACAGCAACGATACACACATATGTTGTTTCCTGCAGTGTGACAGGAATCATGACTAGCACCAAAACAACTTGATTTTTGAGAGTCAAAACGTTAACCCCCATATTCGTTCTGGCAAGAATAACACAAAAGCGTCCAATTTTTAAAGGATGGTTGTGTGGACACTTACATTCTACTTTTAAATGCTCTTTATATCATTTTGTTAAAAAGGTGTTTTGTAGCCCAAATGGGTGTTTTCCATGGCGTCGTGTCCCTGGTTAGGAGAGTCAGGTTTGTGCAGTGGTATTTCCTCGTCTTCCACCTCTGTGACCCAGGTTCCAATCCCTCCCAGTCTGAATTCTGGATTGTGTTCCAGTTCTGGAGTTTTTCTCCTGACTCTAAGACTGAATATTTCCTCGCCATCTTCTCCCTGCTGCATTTCAAGTTAAAAAAAATCTACTTTGTTCATTCCAGGAACACGTGAAACAGAAACTGGCCAATCATGAGGACATGGAGCACTACCTGAAGGATCTCCACGAGCTGTACGCCCGGACTGGCCGGCTGACCACGGCTCTGTCTGATTACCGGCTAGGCTCAGACGCTCACCTACTTAGCCGACTGACCAAGCATATCTTTGGCAGCTACCTGCAGAGCTACATCGCCAGGGAAGAGATGCACCTGAGGGACAGGATGTCAGAGAATCTAGACAACTACTACAAGGGGATGAACCACCAGAAGAAACAAATACAACACACTGGAGGGTAAGTAGTGTTCAGTGATTTTGTTGATTTTATTGTGCTGGTCCTGAAAATCAAGGTTCCTCAAATATCACAGGAGGTGCCGTAGCTCAGAAGAGAGGGAAGACTGCAAAGACCTTTTTTTTCCATTATTAGAACTTGGAGGGACGCCCAATCCGTAGGTCAGCTTGGGTGAGATTGGGTCACAAGTACGAGACCACCAATCGACTCCTTACTTGAATATTTGTGATATTAGGGATTCTGTGAATGAATGGATTTGAACTCTGGATCTATCAATCACAAGTTTCAAATACAGTCCTGTTAGGTTCCATTTAGTCCAAAAATTTGGGACTCTCAGTGCTGTATATGAGAGGCCCAAAACTTACAAAATGTCAAACATGCAAAACAAGAATATAGACTGGCGCATGCAACTACCAGACCACGGCTTCTTTAGTCAGGCATGGCTAAAGTATTGCAAAAAGGAATACGTGGTGCCCAGTCTCTATTTATATACATTTTATTCTTCATTACACCGGCCCTCTCAATGGTCCAATCATGTGGCTTCACTCTCTGATGTACAGATTGAGTGAAACCTTCTTTTATAATTTGCATATTGACATCAATCTTGGCTGGTGGTATACTGAAGAATTCATGTTTGCCGTGTGGGAATTTTTTTTTTGAGAATTTAGTTTGCTACAGTGTAAACAAATTTGGCCAGATTATATTTTGTGGTTTTTTTTACACTTGAGGTCCCATTCTGGCTTCCCTCCTTTTTTTTTGGAATTAACACATAAAACATGACAAAGTTACTGTCTTCATTTTGCAGGCTGCAAGATCTGCAGCACAAGCTGCGCACTAAGACAACGCTGAATATCGGCTCCTCAGGACCCCAAGTTGACTTCAAGGGGGAAACCTTCCTGTCACAGGAGATTGCTCTGAATCTACTCAACGAATCCAAGCAGGCATTCAACAGATGCCAACTGGTCAGTTCAGTCTGTCATGATCCCTCTAGGAAAACCTCCTCTTGACTTTCCGTTATTTTTTGGCACGAAACCAACATGGAGGTTCGAGGGTAGATTCAGTTTTTGCGAGCTACCAGAAATGTTTAATTTTGGAAAGTTCTTGAGGATTCCCCATTAGAGCTGACAAGTGCAAACACTTCTTTTATTTGAAAAAAACTACAAAACCTACAAAAAGAATCTAAATGTTAATACATTTATCATATCCATATGAAACACAACATGGTGGATGATTACTTTATTTTGAATTTATGAAGGATGTGACTTTGCGTTTAATTTTGTAAACGTTTAGCAAATATTTTAAGAACCATTTAAACATTTAAAGCCATTAACAAAGGCTTACGCCTGCCCATTATGTCTGCAGGCCAGCGTGATTGACATGATAAATCAACAGTGATTGACATACTGAATAGCAGGCAGTCATTGAAGAAGTATTAACAACTTAACTACGTGTACCCCAAATGTAATCAAGTACTGCAGTACTCTAAGGCTTTGTAAATTAAATAGGTTTGAAACATTGTTAAATATATGTTTAACTCAAAGGAAGATCGCGTTAACGTAGGTCCCGTTTTTATAATTTCGGTTTAGTTGAAACATTTTGGAAAATTAGTAAACGCATTTAAAATTTATTTTGTTTAAACATTTAAACATGTGTTTTTCCATGTCAACCAGCTTATATTGTTCCTTTGCCTGAGTTAACCTGAATAAACTCTATCGATGGTTTGTTATTTTGTCAGCTGTCCAACCAGTCAGATCTGTCCCCTCATGCCATCATCATCTTTGACATCCTGATAGAGTATCTGTGCATTGATCACATTGATTACGCCCTGGAGATTGGTCTTCAGGGAATTCCCTCCTCTGAGCCCAAGAACCTTCCCCAGACCTACTTCTTCAACATCGCCGGCGAGGCCAATGCCATCTTCCATCTGCTGGAGAAGCAATTCAGCGATGTGCTAGTGCCATTAATAAGGTACTTTTAATTGATTTTGTTTTTAAATGCTTTAATGAATGCATGCCTGAATTTAAATTGGGGTGTTGATTTCTGTTTGCAACTCGTTAGACTGTTATACTAGCATGGGATAGTCTATGAATCCTTAATTAGCTTAGATTACCTTAATTACCTTACATGCTTGCACACATTCATCAGATGCCTCAGTATCAGTGTCAAAGTGAACAGTAGCTTTTTATATTGGGTTTTTGCCCTTTGTTCAATGTATAAACACTGTATTTGTATATTCAGTATGTGTGCACTATAAAGCAGGAGGTCATGAATTCGAATCTTAACCGAGGAAGCTTGTGAATGCGTTCTTACAAGCCTTCGGACAACACGGAGTAAACAGTGTTTATAAATACGTAAGCAAAGGGTAAAAAACCCAGTGTAAAATTTACATCTCCCCTACGCAAATTCCGTCTCTTGAAAATGAACAATAGCTGCCACAATCCTGTAGTGTCTCGTGAGTGACTTATGACAGGGCACATGGACTGGGATAAGGACTTTTCCACAAATATAACCTTCTGTTACTCAGTTATTCAAAAAGTCACCAAGTGTTTTTTGGAGGATGGCTCATGGAGCAATTTTTTTCGAATGGTGGTTCATCCCCCTTCATGTAAGTAAGGGAAGATTTAATCTTGGGCAGGACATTTTAATGGATATTAAAGTTGCATACCTCGTGCTCTTCAAAAAATGATTCTCAATTTGTATGTTTTGATTTAACAAAAAAACTTATTTATTCCTATTTGGGCATCTGCAACCCTCTGAAAATGGCTTTCATTTTGTGCGCAAATGAACCCACCCCATGAGAGCCCAATTAATTGTCTGGCAGCCCACAATTCAAGTACTGTGAAGAAATAATTCAATAGCTAAAAATTGATGGATTTATTTCATTCGATGTCTCATTCAAAGATGAATAACTTTCATATTGCTTAGGAAAATGGCAATCAAAAAGACTAAGATATTTTTCGAGGTGAAACTTGAAAATGGCATGGGTACACATTTTAAAATGACAGGCGAAGCCGTGACTGTATTTGCAAATGGAATTGTCAAAGCTTGCTCTCCGTGCTCATTCGTTATTTCCAGTGTTTTTTTTTAAGCTTTCTTGTTTCACCTTCCTAAGAATAACCCCTTCCACAAATATAAACCCTTCAAATTACCATTTTAAAACCCTTTCACCATCCTAAAATCCTCTTTATTGATCAAACTGTTATTTACTCGCACTGATTTTTCCGCCATGTTTTTTTTAATGTTACACATTTTTCAGAGGCCACACCCCTGAATCAGTTGGAATGTGCTTTGTAAGGTGGGATGAATATTTAGTTTTCGGCACTTGTGTGGAATGCTTTGACGCTTAGCTTAGAATCCACCCCAAGCAGCCAAGTAGAATGCAGTTTATCGCACATAGTTTGGAAATCCTGCCTGTTTAATCTTGATCTGTAATCTTCTTCTCTTACCCATCAATCAAGCACAATGTATCCATACTGCACCCATGATCAATCGTTTTATCTGCCATAACAATACAAAGTTTTGCATCAAATTGTTTTTTCGGCCCCCCAAACCAAAAATACTAATAATTTTTTTAAAAGGCTTGTCGCTGTTTAAATGGCGCGTGTTATTTGAAAATTTATACTTCTTTAAATTTTGGAATCAGCTTCACTGCATTCTATAGCATGTGCTTAATGCTAGCTTGTTCATTAATTTTTTTTAAATGTTTTTAAAAATCTTGAGGAAACAAAAACTTGTGGGGATGTTGTAAGAGTTGCTTCTGTTGTGGAGTCATCTTTCAGTGTTTATTTTGATCAGGAAATTGCAGTATTCTTATCATATGTTGCCTTTCAAATGATGAAAGATCTTAAAATGCAGACTGTAAACAATTCTCTTTTTCCTCTAAAGATTTACGTTTTCATTATTTGCCGATAATTTACTTTCGTACCCGCACAAAGCACCATTGTGTATCACAGCACAGTTTATATAATATAAAATGTAAACCATTCAGTGAATAATGAGTCAAAAATCATCAAAACAACCTTATGTCAGTAATCAACTAATTATACATGTAATCCTAAAACTTACTATACTCATTAGACAATATTCCCATAAAAACTCTATCACTGTTAGAAAGCTTTGATTTTTACCCTTTGTTGCCAAAAATTCCATTTATTTTATCAGAAACATTTATTTTACAGGCTCTGCCACACTGTGTACTTCACGTACATGTAACTGCTACTTTCTAGCAGAAGTTCTGTGCTGATTGAAATTTCAATGGAACCAAGAGCTCATGTTACTCTTCTGCTGCTTACTTTCCCTCCTCTCCAGCTTAAACCAAACTCAAAATTATGAAGAAAAGTATACCACAAATCTTAAATCCGCTTTATCAGTCGTTTGCAAACAGTGCCATTTTCTGTTTCCTGGCGGGTAATTTTCCTTTTTATTTTCCGACTTCATGAATATCCCCTTCTTAAGGGCTGTGCATCAGAACCGGGTACCTGAGTACCCGACCGTTGATGTCAGGAACCGTTTCCTGATTATGATATCGGGTACCCGCAAGTTGACGCCACTAGTTTCTTCTGTGTACAAAGTCAACGGGGTACCACAAAATCCAAGATGGCAGCACCCATAGAACACAAGGGTGACAAAAGTTAATGTTGGGTAAAAACTCTCCCAGCGTTTATTACAGCTTGGCACCGCCGGCTCATTGACATCAACAGATTGGCAAGGATCTGATGATCCAGACCATACCAAATCCACTGAAGAATTTGGAACAACTCCGCTTGATTCTGTAGCCAAACTTGGCGATGGAGTTGCCTTTTCAGCTCGTTCCAAAAATTCTCCAGCGGATTGGCAGGTCGGGGCTTGGAGCTGGCCATTCAATGACCTGGAAACTCCAAACTGCCCCCCATTTCTCCTATAAAATCTGGGGTTCAGTCGGCTAGATATTCCTCTGTATTAAAAACAAAGCGATATGCTAGAAATTCCGGGCCAATCAAACCATGATCAAACGATGGGCAGAAGAGATTAGCAAAATGTTCGCCGACAATGTCAACGAAACCATTCCATCATGCCTCGCTCGACCAGCATGCTGCAGCAGGTCACCAACGATGCCTGCTAATGATATCTCGGGGCTTTCAGAAAACATTCACATGCAAATTAACCATCCCTTATAAGGCCCGTTGATTCTAGTTCAATATTTATGAATAGTCACAACGATTTCATTAAATGGCCCGGAAAAACAGCGCGCCTTTTCCCTCCTGTCCCCATTGGTTTTAATGCCAGTGTAATGTATTCATGAGCTCAGGAAAACGTAGTCTAGGCCAAAGACGATGATGTTTAGTGTTGGAAAGTTGAATATTACTGACTAAAATAATGAAACAAACTGATTGACCATCCATGATATTTTGAAGTCACATTTCAAGTTGAAAATTGTACAGCTGGTGCGTAAATACTTTTGCATGCCAGTGTACACACTGTGCGGACCTTTGTGAAAACTCAAAACAACAACTTCCGAGATTTGAATTTTGGGGTTGGGTTTCTTTAATGGGTACTTGAGTACCCGTATTTTTTTCTACCTGGTTCATGTGCTACCCGCAAATGCACAGGCCTACCCTTCTTCACTTGGTACAAATTATATATTTTCCCTGTTTGACACCATAGTTAGTTGAAGTGAAATCTGTAATGTTATCACAGTCATCCTTTTGAGTAGTATGTTTAGAATCCACGAGGATCATGCTACCGGTACTTTACTGTAGACATGTATGTCGCAGAAATAATTGCCTGTTTCGCAAATGTAAGAGAAGGTCCAATGGTCATGAAACTCCGATGGTCATGAAATATAAGATATACACTGTAGTCAAGAGGACATGATCAGTTAATTCAATGTTTTTTCAATTTTTCAACTTTTTTTCTATGGCCGGGTTCGGTCCATTAACAGCGGCCATCCCCAAACCCGGTCATTATCACACAGTGAAGACCGGGTCCTCACACTGTTATTCCCTAATTATCAGCTACTTTTCTGGGCGGACCATTATGTCATCAAAGTATATGTGGTGATAGGAAATACTACAAACAGGCAGCATGGGCAGAACTTCAAAGGCCCTGCTGGATGACTAGTTAGCGCAGTTTTCACCTTGTCTAGATACAGTGACCACAAAAACTTGTAACAATGATCCAAATAGTTCAGATCTGGCCAGCTTGTTTCTGTCACCTTTTTAAGGGCTTTTGCGCACATCTGGCCACATTTAAGAGGAAAAATCACAGTAATGAAATTCCACACAGAGGGCATAGGTATTTTGGTATTTTGACAACACCGTTTGGTATTGCTCGGTATCAAAATAAATATTGTCACCAAACAATACAATTATTGAAATATAGTCCAAGCCAAGTGCATTGATGACACAACTTCTTGTACCCGGTACATTATAATTATAATTGTGTGCCATATTCTTGCAAGAGAACCTCAAGGAATGTACCCAGTGTGGTTCATGGCTGATAGCTAGGCTTGAGCAACTCAAACATTTCTACAAGCGATTGTTATTTCTTTCAGTAGTTATCATTCATTCATTTTTTTGCATTTTCATCACTTGGGACTAGTGTATGCTGAAACGATATTGCTCATACTTGTACATTGTTCTGATTGCAGTGAAAGTTTTTACTGCCCCAAAGTCAAGTTTAAACTTGCAAATAATGACAGTCTGGTCTTATTTGGGGGAAGTACATTTTGCTCATAAATACATTTGTCCTTATCCACCCAGATTTCCTTGAGGGGGATTTTGCAGGATGTAGTAAGGTATAGCCTAGCAGCGTTAACCTTACATGGGACTCGGTGCCCTTTGAATGTTGACTTTGTATGGCATAAAACAAGGGAAATGTTCCATTAATTCCCACACAGTGGTTGATTTTGGAGGATTAGGAAAAGTTAAAAATGCTTAAAGTGGGTTAAGAGTCTTTGCTAATAGGTGCCGTGTATTTTTCCTTGTCAAAGGTCAAAAGGTCAAACGTCAAAGTGTTCCTTTGCCAATTCACAATCGAAGTATTACGTTATAGTGTGGGAGATCACTGGACTTATCCTAGTGATGGATCAATCCGCACACTTGGCAACTGATCCAGCCTTTGGTTCTGCACGTGTATTGGAAACAAAGTGAAATCGTTCGGAAAATTGGCCAATAAATGCCACCTCACGTGGTCAACTGTTTCGTTGCATACTGTACTCATACAAATAACAGTCACAACAGTAGAGTTTTCTCCAATTTCCTAACAAAACAACACAAAAATGCTCAGAAAATACACAAGTCCGTAGTGAGTGGTGGGTATGTTTGCAACAGCGTGATCCGGTTGCTGTGCCAGCGACCAGTTTTGGCAGATCTCACATAATCTTTTCGATAGTGAATTACAGCAGCATTTTTGCAGGATTCCCATGAATGAGTTCCGTTTTTCTAATCCTTGAAATTCCCTCTGGCTGGCAGGTTTTGGCAGATCTTACGTAGTCACTTTTGAATGTCTGAAAAATGTAAAGGAAGGCTGTCTACCGCCAAGAGTTTCACTAATAGAGACTATTGACAGCTTGTTAAATCTTCCCATATGGCTGCCAAATCTTTAAAAAAAGTGTTTTCTTTGGAATTTCTGGCTTGCATCTTTAGACAGGAGCATCTTTCTGGAAGCAAAGTAATTGTAGTGTAGCATTTTTCTAGTTAAGAGTGTCTGAGATGATAAAAGCAATCATCTGGACAAGTTTCACTTTAACATAATCTTGCCAACATTTGCAAGCAGATCCTCATTTGACCTGCACAAAATGATTACAAATATTGGCAACATTGGCAAAATTTACACACACTCCTACACTGCACAAAATAAGGTAACTGTAAAAATGACTTTTTCTTTGTTTCCTAGTTCTTCGCCCGCACATAGTGACTGTGTGCAGAAGAAGAAGCAGACCATGGAGCAGATGGAATCCAAGATAGAGACTGGACTGGACAGGTTTGTTTATCTGTTCGTCTTCTTTCACTCAAAGACTAGGAAATCAGTAGTCTGTTAACCCTCCTTTTGTTGGATCAGTCACAGACAGTCAAACATTCAATCCTGTTCCCCTGCCATGCGTTTTGCACAGGCTAGTCACCAACAGTCAGATCATATTTCTTGTAGGTACTGTGACAGTCAAATTCCATGAACAGACAAAAGCAGGTGACTGGTAGGCACAGCTGGCTTATCAATCTCCTATAGTCAAAGCATAGCTATATCAGGTTTCGTAACAATCATAGCCAGTCAATCCTGCCTTATGAAGGTAGGGAGCACTCAAACAGTCACTTGGGTTTATTTTGACTGCTGGGCTGGCCTTTTTGAAATTGCCAGCCAGAGAGGTAGGGTTAAATTAATGTGGAGTCTGAATAGCTCAGTCAGTAGATTGCTGATGCCATGTTCACAGGACTCTGCTCAAATCCCTAAAAAAGAATTACAATAAAGAGTGGGAAGATTTTTTTCTAACATTGCAACTCACGCAGATGTAAAGGTCAAGAACAAACAGATCTGAGAAACAAGTATCCAATCTTGTTCAGAATTTTATGAATGTATGGCAAACTTGTTTCAAGAAATGTCATGAAAGTTCTGTGTAAAAATGGGCAAGAAGAATGTGTGTAAGATGTCCTCCATAATAAACAAAGTGTACAGTCACGCATAATGAACACATACAAGCCAATTTCTGACTCATTTTCATTAACTTACGTATGTAAATCTTGAAGTAAGAGGTCGTACCATGTGTTCAACAAGAGTTGGTTATTTCCCAGATATTCTGTTCCCGACCATTCATGTTGGGGGTATGATAGTAAAATCTTTCTTAGAGAACATATCTATTGTTTTTCTTTTCAATTTGCAGTGTTTGGGTCAGACATTAACTTTTAGATAATGTTGATATGTACATGTATGTTACATGGACTCCTTGGACAAGAACCCCATCAATGCTACAAAAGGGAGAGTTGGGGGGGACCACTTGGAGAGACATTCTAACGCATTGCCGACGATGCAAAGATGCTATGGCATTGTGTAAATTCAGAATAGAATTGGTCATGCGTACTTCGCGCCGTACATGCCTGAACCAGTACACGCACGCGATGTGTTCCCCCACTGGAACTCTCAAAAGTGGTTAAAAAACGCCCTCTCTTGTTCTTGCGTGGAACCCATAATCAACCACTACCATCATCATCATCATCATCATCACCATCAGCCATTATATGCTTAACCAATCTTCATCATGACAGGACATTAGCCACAGTGTGCGGTTGGATGAAGTACCTCTTGGATAAGGAGCAGAAGAAGACAGATTTCAGGCCAGAATCAGAGGAAGGACCCATGCGGATGTATTCCAATGTGAGTAGTCATCATCCAAGGTTCTCAGGGTTCACCTCTCATTCATCGACGGAATACTTGTGAGAAAGTCACTGTTGGTATCCTTGGCAGTAAAAACGCTTAACATAGGGGATAGTGGGGATATCCACTAAGGTTTGTTCCTCTCGCACAAAGAAGCTGAAATTGATGATTCTGGTGTCAAAATTGAAACGCTTGAGGGCGCCAAGCTATTAGTTCAGTGCAGTCCACCCAGCTGGTCAAGTCCATAGAAGTACACGTAAATATAAGATATTTTGATCTAATATCTTGACATAATCTGGCTTATAGTACATAAACCAACTTTCTGGTAGCCAGTCAGAAGGGACGCTCAGGAGGAAGCTATGCTGTCTGCAAATGCTCCAATAACAGCAGAGGGGTTCAAATTTGGAAGAAAACTTGGTGCAAAATCTACATGCCTTTGAAACATTGCACACAAAAATACACAGTAGTCATGATTCCATGGCCAAAGTAATACAGTAATCGCTTGCTGGATATGTCTGTAGGTTTGTGCACGTTTGGTTGTATAAGACAGAGTACATGCCACTTCATGGAATTGACACTAGAAAAGTATATGTTACCGTAGCTAACAATTGTTTAATAACTGAAATTGCCAAATTTGACTATTATATTCCTGTTTTCCTCATTCAAAGCAGGTTTGGCATATCATTTTGATGTCATTAAACAGCTTTGCTTTTCATCTCTGTTTTTGAGTGATATTAATGTAAAGTACTGACCGAACCAGGGTTTTGTTTGAATGTCACAGGCATGTGCCAAGGTGATCCCTTTCATTGAGAAGCAAGTTGAGACCATCAAGCGATGCTTGGATGGTAAGAACATCACAGCGGTCCTGATGGAGTTTGGCATCAGATTCCACCGCGTCATCTATGACCATCTGCAGCAGTTTACCTATAACTCACTGGGTAGGTAGCTGCTTTATCTATTGGACTGGTTCATACTCATGGCCAAAGCAAATGTCACGACAAGTACGTGTGGTACAAATTAGCACAAGTTGAGCCCGACATAAGTCAGGAAGTTTCGTCGCAATTTTTTTTTTCAAATTCAAATTGCTTCTGTTTCAAGTTGCCCTAGAGATGGGCTGAACCCAACATTTGCGTTGTAACAGGAATAATGAAAATTCTTCAAACTGCTCCAAACTGCTTACCGACTGGATTGACCTAAAATATATACGAAACAAATATACCTTTAGACCATGGCAGGATCTTTTACAAAGCAGGGAACAGAAACTGATGTTTCTGTTCAATGAATGCACAATTAACATTTTCAAAAATTCATATTGAACAGGGATAGGCAGAGCAGCTTAATTTAACTTAAACATTTTGTTGTTCTTCAAACAAACCACATAGGGAAACTGACTAGGTACATTATAATTGTTTTAAGGTTGAACAAAGAAATTGGCTGAAGTGGGGTTTGAACCTGCGACCTCCGGATTACCATTCCAGTGCTCTACCGACTGAGCTATCCAGCCCTATATTGGGGGTTCCCCATTTTTAGTCAATGTCTTTGTTCATGAGGCGCTAGTCAGAAGCCATAAATCAATATATGCCATGTAGCCAACATTGCTAATGTGTGCTTGCATCGTGACCTTGGGCGTGGTCCCTGGCTACATGGCTTATCAGGAGGTCGCAGGTTCAATCCCCGCTCCAGTCAATTATTTTTTCGTGTCTAAAGTTCCCTGTGTCTATTTTTTTAAACATTATTGTAGATTGTTTGGAATAGATATATCCTTCATTAGTTAAAAGCTCCCAACGTTACAGGGACTGAACTTTAGAAAAACAAAAGCAATGAAAGTCCTTAAGAGCTATGTTTCATCTGGCATTAAATAAAATCCACGTCATGACGGTAAAAACCAAAGTCTTGTGATTTTTCTCATGCTTTCAGGTGCCATGTTGGTGATCTGTGACGTGAATGAGTATCGTCGTCTAGTGAAATCCTTCAAAGTTCCCATGGTCAACTCTCTGTTTGAGAAGCTGCATGCCCTGTGCAATCTGCTCGTAGTGGTCCCTGAGAACATCAAGTCTGTCATTACTGGAGAGCAGTTGGTAGGTTGAAATCTGCCAAGGTGCTGTGCAAATGCTGTACAGTTTTTAATCAAACAAGAAACCTTGTAGATTTAAAGGCAGAGTATATCATTTGCAACTATCCAGAAAGTAATTGATGAAATAATGGTTGAAAAGCGTACTTGGCTTAAAGATGGGGATGGCAATAAACTCCCTGTGAAATGATTCTTTCTGGCATGCTGTCATTTTGAAGAAAACAATAAAACAGTGCCATTTCCAAAGATGCATCAAGTGACAATTTTTTGGAAATTTCCATTAGTTGTTGATTTGTAATTCGGCGAATCCGTGAATGGGTGTATGTGTTCTACATAACCCCCGAGGACCGACACACAAAGGGAGAACAACAGATCCTCTCAGTCCCCGGGAGTTGGGTCTTTTGTTGGAAACGGTCCTCTGTAGTAGGTTTGTGTGCTTAGTCTATGGGAGAGTGTTGTGTTAGGGAAACACAAAGGGAAACACAAAGCATTGTCCTCTGGAGTATAGTAAAACAAGAGTGCATGCCCGTGCAAGCATTGACACGATGCACACACCTGGGCGGTTGCTATTATTCGTCGGTTCAGTGCGTGACATCGCATAGCTGCAATTGGCTGAATGAGAACATGTTCCAGATGCTGATTTCAGGCACAGTTCAAAAACATGACTCGGCAACTTTTGAATTGAAATTGAGATCCAAGAATATTGTTTTCTTGGAATATACAGCATTCACTAAGCTAAACCTTCATCGGGTTAGTTGTGAAGCGCCCTTCTTTAGATTTTGAGAACTTTTGTTCACCCCAGAGTATCGAAACATATGAGGTTTCGGCAAGAAATATTGTACAATACTGTTGAAATTACTCTTGCGAATCAGTATTTGTGGCGTTTGGCTGTATATCAAAAGTTGGCTGGAAAATTTTGCATTTTGCTAAGAACTGTGAATTGAATGCATGCTTGGTGGTAGTGGTTTATTAGCCTCATAAATGTGTCTCAAATATGTCTCAAATATGTGTCTCAAATATGGTTAGATTCGACCAAGTTGACCATATGGGACAGTCCCATTCATTGACATATCCCATGGGGGCCATGCCCCACTCTATATGAAAACAAAAGTCATTGTTTTGTAATTAGTAAATCATGGAAGGATCCATGATAACTTGTTTTCATCGATGCTGTTGTCTACTTATTCCCACTCCCTCCACAGATTTGTCATAATTAGAAATAATTGAATTGTCTACATTTCTATTTCTGTATTTTTCAGAGTGGCTTAGAGAAGAACACCATGATGTCGTTTGTACAGCTGAGGGCAGACTTCAAGACAGCCAAGATAGCTCAGCAACTAAGGTAGCCAGGAGTGGATAAGGTAGACAACATTGACCATCAGATTTGCATGGCTAGTCTAGTAATGGAGTGACACCCTGTGCCAGTGAATCTCTTTTGGGGTCATGTGTCGTTCTGAGAGGAATCATGTAAACCTAATATTTCAACCTGTGTTCCGTGTCGGGAAAGGATTGGATTTGATGAAGTGAAGCGTTGGTCTCTAGCTGTCCAGCACCCACACATCCAGGCTGCACTGCTTCCAGATCCAACTCACATATAGACCTCACTTGTCTAAATCCCAGGCGAGCACAAAACATTGAGACTCATTGTCACTTCGTGTCATCTCAAATTGTCACTTACTGTGGAAAAGAACTTCTTTACAGTTGTCGAACCTCTGCAAGAAGCGCTCATGAATCCTGATATCACTGTAATTTTCTTAGCTATTGCAGAGTGAACCTCAAATTAAGTCAGCAAAGCTCTCCAGACTGTATGTTTGTTCAAATATTTGAATGAGTTATGATGAACCGAGTACAACAAGTGTGAAGATACTGCTATTTGAAACTGAAACTTAAAACAGTTTTGTGGGGGGTTGATGATAGTTAATGACAAATTTTCAGTAGCAATGGATTCATGGGTTGTATGAACATTCACACTGTAGATGATTTTCTTATTTTTTCAATTTTCAATGCTTGTTTATTTCTCTAAGTGGCGTTCACACATTCCAATTTTACAGTTTGAAATGGCTTTCCTCTTGTAGAGAGTCCGGCGAATTTTATTTTTTAAAGAAAGAAATCTCAAGTTTTGTATCACTGAAAGCAAATTACACAACAAAATCAATGGCGTTTGAATCAGGCTCATAGGTGTTTGCCCTTTGGAGATACAACAATTTAAATGGCCAAATTTTGAGTTTCTATTCTGTAAGATTTACATCATTTACTTTTAGCATGTTTTATAAATCTTATTTTCAAAACCTATCAAAATGCTTAATATCATAGGAATCCCCATTAAATAAACAACAACTTGATTTTTGAATCAGATTTTTACCACTCATAACCAAAAAGTTACGACCACGAACCCCGACCTTCGCACTGTCCAGGCGCGCGCCGAGCAGACACCGCGATGCGACCAGACAATGCCAGACGGCCCGCCGTTACGCACGGGCAAAGCATAGTTCCAATCCCGCTCCACACAACGGGATAAGTGTCCACGCATTATCACTGTTAATACCGCGGTACCAGACAAAGTCTGGCAATGGCCAATCCCGCTCCAAACAACACGGCAACACGGAACATGCGTGCATGATATCACTCAGTTCATCAAAATGACCATGAATTCTCGGATCATCCGATTTGAATCCAATGGCTTCGAAGAATGTTAAGATCATGGCAAGAGGTAGGGAGTCCACAGGTTTTGGCCGTATATCTGTAACCACGCAAAATTAGTCAATTTCAAACCGTGCTTATACATGTAATAAGTATCAACATGGCTCTAAAATACAAAAAGTATCCTGGTACCACGAGGAATACTGACTCGTATTATTAAAACATTCATTCAGAACTTTGCATTCATTTGGATGGAAAAACGAATTCTGAAATCGCGCTTTCCATATCGACCATTTGCGCCAAACATTACCGTGTGAGCCGGAACTTTCATTTAAATTACCGTGTAAAAATAAAATCCACTTGATAAATCGTAATTGTTTTTATCATATCTTTATGAAAACAAGTGGTACGGACTAGTACACTCGATCGTACCCAGAAAGTTCAGACTTTTACTGAAACAGTGGCCTATAAAAAGAAATGATCAAGCTTGCCGCACCTTGCCGCAATTCATTTTTAAAGGTCGGGGTACAGAGGCGAAACGAGAAAATTTTGTACAACACTGCAACCAGACTAGTCTACTACCAAATGTTATTGTACGCAAATGGGATTGGTGCCAGACTTATGTAGTCTGGCACGCGGTAACAGTTATAACGCTTGCACGCACGTGGAAAGCTGAATCGCAGGCTAGGCGAAGATGCTACGTACGTGGGTACGTTCAATGCAACCATTTCCAGTTCATTTGTGCGTACATTGTATATGCGTTCGTTTCACGGAACCCACTTTGGCAGAATCTCGAGGGTTTGATACGGTAAAAAATTAAAATTAATTAGAATAGAAAACACATCAAAATGGGCGGCCTCGAGCCGGCCTCGACCGATTCGCCGAGGCCGGAAGGCTCCGAGGCCGAGGCCAAGGCCGAGGCCTTGCACCTCCGAGGCAAAGGCCGAGGCCGAGGCCATGAAAATCGGCCTCGAGGCCGAGGCCGGCCTCGAGACCTCCAACACTGGTTATTATCCTCGTCCAAGATGTTTAGATCGTGTAATCAATTGTAAGTTTATTGCGCAGCTGCGCAATAAATTTGTTGCGTAAGTCTTACACATGGCGTAAGTTACGTACTGTGTCATGAAATCTTCTGCAGAGCTACTGCTGTGTCTACGTCTACATTAGCCCAAGACAAGACATTTAGATGTAGCCTTGCTCTTGATCCGTGTGCATGGAAACTGCAAAAGATTTTTTTAGTTTGTAAAGCTGAGAGACAAGTCTTCAAAGATGTAAATTGTACAAACACGAACCAAAATATTCAATGAATCTTATATTTGTTTCCAAAGCTGTATTAACAGGCATGAGATTTTTCAGACGTTAGTCAGAAATCTGACCCTTTGAATGTAAGAAAAAGGCTTTAAAAAAGTAATGAAAAGCATCTTTCAGAAATTACATCCAGTTTTCAGCATTGTTTTTTTTTAAATTCATATACTCATCCTTTAAAAAAAAAAAAAACGGCTTATGTTGCAAACAATAATGTATGTGCAGGTTATTTACAAAATCAAAACGTAAAACACAATCACTGTATGTTTTGTAAAGTAATTTGTCAATCGAATGTAAATTTTTGGTCCGAGTTTGCAATTTTGACAACATGGCAAGTTTTGAGCGGAAAATGAGAAAAAAACTTTTTGGATTATGTCACAGTTGTCTGAATTTACTTTCCAATGAATTTGTGGGTAAAAGAAGTGATAGTCTGGTACCTCTATTGGCAGTACATGCTGTACTAGTGGACTGCTCACAAGGAACCAGGCACATCTGATTGCACGCTATGAAAGTTTTACTACCATTCACGCTTTGTACAAAATGTATTTTATTTCTGTGAATGTTCAATATTGGAAGAGTAGGGAAAAAAAAAAGTTAAGCAGATATTTATGCGGAGTACTTAGATAAGATTTGTCAAGAAAGTTTAGAACTTGCTGCATTTTTCTTGCCCAAGTAATGATTTGTGTAAAATTCAGTTGTAGAACAAATATATAATATATGAAGTAATCTGTACAAAGTAGGAATGTCACCAGTTGTATAATAAAATGTATAAGCGAAATTGTAGAATTTTTGTGTTTACTTTTTACCCATTTTTATTTTGAACTTTTTACGATTTGAGGGTGTAGTTATAACACAAATTTAGTTCAGGTGGCTATTACAGGTTTTTGAAAACTTTTGAAAAATTTTGATGTTTAAAGTACATAAATCATTGGGTTTTTTTTGCATTTTAATTTTGTTTGAAGCAACAAAATTGCTCAAAATCTTAAGAAGGGCGCAAAACAACTAACCTGTTGAAGTTTCAGCTCAGTGGATGCTTTACATTTTGAGAAAACAGAAGAAAAAAACTTAAGCACAAGTTTTCGGTCTTGGAAGTGGATTCTGTAGGTGGCGCTTCCAATTCAAAAGATGCCGTTTCATATTTAAATTGCACCCTCTCATGTACAATCACCAAGTCGGTACATGATGATGATTCGAGGTCCCAGTGGTTGGGTTCTCCTCACAGTTTTTAACAAATATCGTCAATTCTTAAAAAGTGTACACACTGTCACACTTAAAAAAACACCACTTTTAACAATTGCGTTCTTACAATGATATTTCAGACAGAACAATTTTACAAGATATTTGGCCAGCCCTATCTTCACTTTGTGCAAGGTTTTTAATCGCATTAAATCAGGACCAATGCTCCTCCAATGTACATACCTTTAAAGTCCACTTTTGGCAGCATTAATATGGTTTTATGCCTTTCAAATGTTACCAATCATCTTTAAAATTAAATATTAGAAAGTTTACACATAACAAAGACAACATTTGTATCAGCGAAAAAGAAGACAAGACACTGATAAGTTAGATTCACAAGTTACTGCGTGATTTTAATCTCAACACTGGTAACGTACAACTGAGTTTCATATAAATGTTGGACCAAATATACACAAAAGTATTCTCCAATATACATACATTGAAAGCACATTTTAAAATACAGAACAGTTCAAGCTTTTATAGATCTTATCCATGTCAGCCATGTATGAGGCCTTTGATTTAGACCCAAAAAATGAACAATGCCCATCCTTGTTGAACACGAGCACTGCCATCCATATATAAGATGGCTGTTACGCATACGATCATTTTTTTTAAACTGTATTTTAGTGATGAACTACACATTGTTGCTCAACTTTAACTCTCGCTTACAAGAAAAGACATCTGGAAAAGCAATCCGCCAAACATGTTTAGCTTGTCACATTCTGCCCCGGGGCGGAATCACTTAAGAGAAGGGATCAGGGAGGCACTTCTATTCTTGAGATGAGGGGCTTAAGGGGTGCCATGCCCTACACCAAGCAGTAATTGCACAGAGCTGTGGCGACTGTAAACAGGGATTAGGGAGAAATTGTTAGACCATAGCGTCATCTGGTTGCACAATTCCCATGCAGTGTGGGGGCTACATCACCCACAATGTTGCATTCCTAACCTAAGCCCACTAACCCCCCCCCCCCCAACCCTAGGGCATTGATAAGGGTTCTTACCGAGTTCCCAAATAACTTTGAAACTTTGATGGAGCTGTTTAGATCTCTGGGAAAACTGCCTGGTAGGCCAAAGATCGACCAAAATGAAGTAAAAGGCAATTCCAATCCGACTTGACAGGTGGATTGCTAAAAGGTCTGAAAGAAGCATTTTCTCACTAAGTAGCAGTTACTTGTGTTTATCACCCAACAGTGTGAATTCTTCAAGATTTGTGCACTCCAAATTGCTCAGGAGTAAGTGTGATTTCTATAACTACACTCCAAAAAAAATCACAATGCAAGCCAGGACAACCTGCGGTGTATTCTTGCGAAATGCTGACAACGTGGGCCAATTTCACAGAGCTCATAACAGACGGCATATAAAGGTTTATGCTAACTGTAGCAGTCCAGCAGAACAGTTGTGCTATGCTTAATTACTGATAACAGTCAGCGTCTCAGTGAAATGGACAGAAAATTGCATACTCAATAGTACCATGTAATTGGAAACCGATCAATGTACTTAAGATGTGATTTGTGGAGGATAGATGTAATGGTTTTGCAGACTTGATGATAAATTACATTCTTCTAATTCCCATCTGTGTTGAATACAAGGGTACATATGACATCGAGAGTTTTGCTGCTTTTTTACTCATTCATTCTGATTCAAAAAGTGTAAAATTTCTCATTTTCTCAATCATCCCTTTCTGTTGTATTTTTGGAAGATGTTCAAGATTTTTTTTAGATGTTCTTTGTACAGGCTTTGAATATCAAAGCTGATTATAATTTCAACTTTCAAAGACATTTTCAGGAATGGCTATTATATTCAAACAATACTAACCAAACAATGATCTCAAGTTTCATAGCGATCGTTACATGATTGCTCCATTCACAACACTTAAAACACGTCATTTGAATACAAAAATGCTTGAAAATGTAATTAAGTAAATACAGTAACTTTATAGTGCTAAAAAAGCACAAAAACACAGGGTGGGAAAATATGCAGAAATTCTTTTGGAAAGCAAATAGCAACAACAGAGCAACTTCAGCACTTTTCTTTAAAGCCTTAGGAAGCCTCAGCTAAGACTTGGCACACTAAATGAAAAGTTACATTTTCCTGTTACAGTAACATATTATTTTATTGATTTAAATGCATTTAAAATAAAAGAAAACAATAGGCTTCCCTTTGCTATTCATTCATGCTGTGTCTGATTGCTTAAAGCTAAACCCACAAAAAGTGTTCAACAGCAACAGGTTCTCAGCCAAAATGACATTTTGAGCCAATGAGCTCTGTGCACGAACAGAGAGGGCGCTTGTTTAAACACTTTCGAGAGCCCCATGGACAGGACACACAGCATGCACGTACAGGTTCCCGCGCGTATAGCACATGTTGCACTAAGCACACACGACTAATGTTATTACTGTGCAAAGAAAGCCATAGGGTCTTCACGTGAGCATTGGCAATGCGTTCAAATGTCTCTCCCAGTGGTCTCCCCCAGCTCTCCCTTTCTTGCCGTTGAGGGGGTACTTGTGCACGGAGCCCATACCATCCCAATGGATCGTCTTTGATTCATAAATCAATTTGCTCAGCAGCCATTACGCAATTCACAACAAGAGTTTGATATCTGTACAGAAATAGTTCCACTTTTCAAATGGTAGATAAGCACATCATATATAGTTATACAACAGACACACTGCTTAACTGACATAAAGTATGTTTAACAGCTTCACGAAAGAAACTCCTAATTAAAAAAAAAAAATATTGCTTCATAACGGCAGAGTAAAAGTTACATAACTTTGAACAGTAAGGCAATAAAACATGCCAACATCAATATGAATACATACAAAATAGTGTAATAGAGGTAAGAACTTAACTTTCATGTGGAAGCAACACACATTACATGAAACTTTGGTAAAGTGGATGGTTGGAAACTTATTTTAAAAGTCATTAAAAAAAAACAAGACAAGCTTAAAAAATGCAATCGCTTCCACATGTACTGTGAGGTTGTTTTGTTGAAAACTTGTTTTAAAAGTCAGTAAAAAAAACAAGACAAGCTTAAAAAATGCAATCGCATCCACATGTACTGTGAGGTTGTTTTGTTTTTTCAACCCCCCCCCCCCAACAGGGTAAAAAGTCAATTTTGATGGCAACAAATTCTTTCAAATGACCAAAACAACAATGACCAAAAAAGTGGGGGGAAAACGAGAAAAAAATTCCAATGCAGCACTAATCTCTAGTGATTTGAGACCAGGAGACACTGATGACCTTGATTGACCCCTCCTGTCATCGCTAGACTGATGGCACCTATTAAGGGTTGTGCTGGGGGGGTGTGCTGGGTGTGAGGTTTCCAGCAGGTTTGTGGGTTTGAGGGAAAGAAGCGTGTAATTGGACCAGAGATTTTGGGGATGGAATTACAAAACTAGAAGCTAGCAGTTTCTCATGAATAGTTAACGCTTGACATCATGAGGCATGTCAAAGTTTTAATGAAGAAAATAATTCACATTGTTGGAAAGGGAATCAAACTTAGCGTACATGCTCTTTCTTAAAAGAAATGGTGCCAACAATTTAATGTTCACAAAAATTAACATTACTGTTATTGCTTGAACATCAAATAAAAACCCTTTAATTATTTTACATGGGTGACCAAGTAGATAAACTTCTCACCCATTTTTGTAATGCTGAAGAAGGTAATTAATCACACATAGCTAAAAAAGGAAACAAACAATTAGTGTATGTTTTCCCCCTTAACAGGAAAGTATATACCTTGGTTTTGGTCAAGTTCTGTTAAAAGCATCACCATTCAACATCCATATTTCAGGTTACACAGGACAGATGTCTGGAGCATACACCCTGAGGCATCTTGACAAAATCTCCCAAGAGTTACACGCTAATGGGGTGCAACTCTTGCCAATCAATCAAGGCTACCGAGCCTTGAGGGGGGTGGGGGCTGGAAAGAAGAGAGTGGGGGGAGGTCAGACACGGTCAAGACCAGACTTGAGGCCTTTTGGCTCGGCGACCTTGGAAAACATGTCAATGTTGATGTCTTTCAAGTCGTTAGCTTCCTGGCCACCACTGGCTAGGCTGCCGTTGTCATTGGGCACTGAGTTGTACAGGTCGTTGTGATGTCGCGTGTGGTTGGTGTTGTTCATAGGATGCTGCGAGGATAAAGGATATGTGGCTTTCAATTAAGATGCAGTGACCTGTGTTGTAATTGCTGACATTTTGGTGAAGTTCAAGTATTTGGGGGGGGGGGGGAGGGAGTTCGGTGTGGCTTGTCTCAATGATCATGCTGGATACGCCGGTGCTACCAAATGGAATATCATCCCACATTCTTCAACTGTGAATCAGACTTCAACAATTAGGTGTGCCAGTTGATAAAAGGGAAACACTTAACAGTGTATGCACTGTTTTTTAAAGCCTTTTTTTGTTGCAATAAAGGTTCAAAGAATCACTGGAGTAAAATACTTCATTTATATAGCCACTCCCGGCAGCCCCAATGAACTTTGTGCATTCACAACAACTTTTCATCCACAGTTAAAAAGTCTACCATTTTCGAAGTGGACAAAATATATTTGATTTCCAATTTACTATATGCGCACAAGAGGACATTAACACACAAGAGTGGCAGCATCCACAATCGTGTTGCTACATCATTTCTCTTCAGTTTATTTTTTAACATGGTAACAATTCGTTCTCCTTTATATTTGATAAAATTGGACAGTGCAAGAATGCAAAAGATAAGTACCTCTTCTCCTGTCTCTCGTCCCCCGAATTGCCCTGTGGTTGTCTTCTCTGAGCGTCTACGATGAACCTGCAATACACCAAGCAGTCAGAATTACTTCAACATGTCATAACAGATGTCATGAGATACTGAGAATATGACGTGTAAATCTTCATAAACACCTGAGACAGTTTACCCATTTGTATTGGTCAAGGGCCCGTCATGTGGGTGGTCTTAACTGCCTTTTAAACACCAGTCAGTGATGCTGCACTTCACGCCACATGCGCTCAGTATGTGCCACAAGTGCCTAATTCAACCAGGTGCATGAGAATCAAAGTATATGATCTCCATATCAGGAAAATGAGATGTTGAGCAAACCAAAATGCATGTGACGTGCAGTACAGAAGTATGGAATGCCAAAGCCGCCTTCTATAGTTCGATTTCATTCCATAATCAATTTCATCATTCCATTCGGCGATTCCATCATTTCATTCGGCGATTCCCTCATTCCATTCGGCGATTTCATCATTCCATTCGGCGAGTCCATCATTCCAATAATCAATTTCATCATTCCATTCGGCGATTCCATGATTCCATTCGGCGATGTCATCATTCCATTCGGCGAGTCCATCATTCCATTTGGCGTTCATCCTTTCATTCGTCTATTTCGCATTTGATTTAGCCATTCTACATTTCATTCAGCAATTTCGCCCCGTTTGCACTTCACGCTATTCTGCATTTCGCATTTCATGCAGCTATTTCGCATTTTATGCAGCTATTTCACATTTCATTCGGTCCGGCAGCGTCCATCCGTACGGAAGCGTTAAAGGGATATAACACAAAGTAAAACCCCAAAAAAGTCATAATTAGGACTTATTATTAAGTCATTGTTATGACATATCTTATAATAATGACTTATTATTAAGTCATGACTTATATCTTATAATTAAGACTTAGTATTAAGTCATTATTATAACATATAAGTCATAAATAAGACTTAATAATAAGTCATAATTATGAGATATAAGTCATAATTATGATTTAACAATTACTAAGTCGTAATTATGACATATATCATAATTATGACTTAATAGTCATTATTATAACATATGTCATAACAACGACTTAATAATAAGTCATAATTAAGCCTTTTTTTACTTTGTCTTATATCCCTTTAACGCTTCCGTACGGATGGACGCTGCCAGACCGAATGAAATACGGAATAGCTGCATGAAATGCGAAATGGCTGCATGAAAAGCGAAATGCAGAATAGCATGAAGTGCAAAAGGGGCGAAATTGCTGAATGAAATGTGGAATGGCTAAATCAAATGCGAAATAGACGAATGAAAGGATGAACACCGAATGGAATGATGGAATCGCCGAATGGAATGATGAAATCGCCGAATGGAATGATCGAATTGCCGAATGGAATGATGAAATCGCCGAATGGAATAATGAAATTGATTATGGAATGAAATTGAACTATAGAAGGCGGCTTTGGCGTTCCATACAGAAGTAGCTTGAAAATTGAATTTTATTGTTGAACAAGACATTGTCAGATAAGTTTTCGACCATTTTTGTTATTGGCGACTGGGCCCTTAACCGGTTTGAAGCCAGATGTAATAGTGAACTATCACACTATTATTCCCTTATTTATAATATTATTTTGCTTAAAATTGGTTAAAAAGTTTTGAAGACATCAAAACTTACAGGTAACAGGTTCATCAATGACAAATTTTTTGTTAACAGTAAGACTATATATCTAAACTCTAAACTTCTGACAATAAACCAATGCTTAACAACATACATCTTGTCACCCAATCCACATTAGAATGTCCTTAAAAACGACAATTAAGTAAATTGCAGTTTTCAGTTTGGGAGGAAATATCCCCAGCAACTTCATTCGGAGGAAACCCAAGGAATAGCAAGCAAATTCACGCAATACACCAATACATCAAACGGGTACCCATATGTGGAATGACATAGAAAGGACCACCGGTGCCATTCCACCTTAACAGTTTCATTAATATCATATGAAAAAAATTTAACAACAGAAATCATCGAAGTTCAAGGGCTTTCCACCAACTATTCCCGGCAGCAATTTCTTTCCTTAGGTGCCTGCTGCAACTCGGCAGCTGCAACCCATCAGCTGCTCACTGTCAAAATCTCTCCAAAATCAAGAATCTCACAGAACCAGTTTTTATACAAAGGCAAGCAAAAATGCCATCCCAAAATAGGTCACTTAGGCTGTGAACTAGACTGGAAGCCCTGAGGCAAGGTTACTTGGGGCCTAACCCAGGAGAAAATAGAATCTGACACTAAGCCTTTTAAGTTTCGGTGTTGGATTTCAAGTTGAGAAACTGGATCTACTAGTCTCCGTAAGGACATTGATTCCATTGTAGTTGAGGGACCATCCAGGCCCTGGCGGAACAAACTAATCTCGACAACATTTGCAAAAATGTTTTCAGGTGGCAATGACAGAACGCAGAACCGCAGATTTATCTGACAAAATTAGAATAACTTTCCCAGAAATTGGATCTGACATCAAATACATTGCAAAGTGTAAATACAATGACATTGGCTGAACGGAATGTTGACAGCTGCAAACATGAAATATGCTCATGTACTTGTTGACATCTCTGTTCTTTCAACACCGTCAAGGGAAGGAATCTACATTTCAGGTATTTTAATCTGGCTGAAGTCGTATTTCCAAAATTGCAAACATGTTGCGTTGTCAAATCTAACCCACACTTTACATTTGAATGATTTAGAAAATCCTTTTGACCAAATTTATGACCAAACAACCAAACCAAGCAAAGTCTTCTCTTTTAGATATACTAGAGTATGAACTTTACATATTGGGATATTGATTTTATAAACACTGTATACTCAGTGCTGTCTGGAGACTTGCAAGACAAATTCGTAAGTTTAACTCAACAAGATTCGAACCCACGACCTCCTGCTTACTAGTGCAGATGTCTTACCAATTGACCACCGAGCTTACCGGGGTCGGCTGGCTGGTTCAAATCTGATATAGTAGCGGGTACCGCAATCAACAATTATAATAATAATACTAACTTGGGAGGCTAATCATCCTTACTCGCAGCTGAGAGCTGAATTGTGAAGGACGCAGCTACAACATAGTCGAACCGAAGGCATGTAAAGGCACCTTAAGCAGCCAGCCATATGACCCATGTATGACCACGGAGCACAGCCAGAGATCGAAAGTGTTTGAATTTTGCGGAGGGAGGAAAACCGGAGGGCCCGGAGAAAAAGCCCGTGGTGAGAGGCGAACACTCTACGGACTAGCCACCCATGCCAGAACAATTCTGTATGATGGAATTTTACATTGAGTTTGAACTTGGAAAATTTACCTTTTTGAAGCCAGAGAAAGTGACTGAACCCCTAGCATCTGAATGAACTAAATCTCACTTACTATAATGACGACGGTTCCGATGATAACAGCGATAATTAAGAACAGGCTTACGAGGACACACACAACCACCAGCACCACGTTGCTGATGACAGGAGCTCCGGGGCCTTCAGTTGGGGCTTCCACCTTCTCAAATTTGACAGATGATTGGTCAACAAAAAGAGCAGTCTCCTCAAAACGGAAGTAGTACGTCCCAGAATCCAGCTGCCCAATATAAAATTTACAGCAATTGAATATTTTTCATCGGTAGTAAAATGATTTTAAAGAGATGTTCTCTTCTTTAAAATGAAAAAGAATGTATATGTTTAGTTTTCACAAACACATTTTGCTGTTTGCTGGAAGCAGGAGTTCCCAATAGGTTACTTGTATTTCATTTCATTCTTGCAAATCTTTGTTTGAAAACCTGTTCAAGTGGTTGTGTTACTTTTTGCACAGGATCAAATACATTCAGTCTTCCATAAAATCTGGGAATTTTCTGGAATTTTCAATAGAATAAAATTCAGGTTTGAAAAATTTACATCGACTTGTCTGAGTCTGTACATGTATTCCTTTTAAATGACAGCACATGCAGAACTACCAATTATAAAATTGCGAGTGAAAAAAACACAATGGCAGTCAATCGTAGGAAAATACAACTGAATTATTACATAAGCTAATAAATTGGTTACTCCCAAAGGGAAAACAGGACACATGAACACAAAAAAATGAAGACACTGATTCAGGGTTTTGTTCAATAAGCCATTTTCGAGTTAAATTTAAATAAAATCTGGAATGCTGACTTAATGCAATGCTTTGTACGTTTTAACTTTGCATTCTCGTGACCAAAGAGACTGTTATACTATATCACGTGATTTGGGGCAAGCCTTATGCTAGCAACCCCCAGCTCCGGCATGGTCTGGTGTCTTTGTGACATTCTCACCCATTGTGAACAATGTATTGGTGCTGAGCGTCTCTTATTTAACTATGCAAGAGCTTGCCCCGAATCGTGTGATTAGCAACAGTGTCTTTGGTCTGGAGAATTCAAAGTTAAAATGTGCCAAGCATTCTGAGTAAGTCAGTGTGCCAGATGTTGTTTAAATGTATATCCCAAAGGGTAAGGGTGCAGGTTAATCGCAAATGGCTTATTCAATATTTACTTGCGAATAGGATTTGAATGTAGCATGTATGTTTAATTAATTATAAAATACGATGTTGTTGCCACTGTTAAATACAAACTGTCGATGAGCAAAATCACCTGCTGTATTGATTAAACACCTTGAGGCAATGACTAAGATGAATATTACATTAAGAAGATGTTATGTGAGCAATGGTTGTCATGGCGATATATTAATATTATAATTAACTTGTATAACTGTGTATGAATTGCTCACAGGAAGTAAAATGCACTCAGGTTACGAGTCTGTCCTTGGTCGGAGCGATAATATAAAGGATGTTGGTTTTTGGTATGAAATAAAGTTTTTGCTTTCACTGTGTTTATAACCAAGTAGAAAGGTATATTAAGTAAAGTAAAGCATGTCTGTTTAGCCTTGTTTTTTTTTTACATCAAAATGTCATAAATGTTGAATTCAAATATATTTTTAAAATTGTAAGCATCCAAAATTGTGGTTAATTGTTGACTGACATAAACCGTCCTCTTACCTTTGCTAACATTTGTGCTGCAACATCTTCAATGTTGAGATGTGACTCAAGGAGGGCAACCAGCTCAAACTCAACATGAATACTACCTGCCGATACCTGCACACAATTTGATAATTTAAATCATTTTTTTTTTTTTTTACTTGAGGGGTAAATCTTGATTTCTTGTTAAATGCCAACCAGAGATCTTCAAAGTTTCTCCACACATATATCATGTGTGGCCCAAGTAAATAAACCTGCTGCATAACCTTAGTTCAGAGACACAGTGCTTTTGAGACAGATAGAATGTCACAAAGACAATTAGTTATTGCATTTCCCAGATGTGTCCTTTGATTTTCTTCAATCATTTGAACTTAAATTGAGTCAGAAAAGTGTTAGATGCAAAGAGTCCAGCCAATATTCTAATTATAATCTTAAAACGAGCCGTTTCCCCAAAATGCAGTCAATTTTCACCAATGGGAAATTATAGCATTGTCTTTTCATTTCTTTCCTTTTGAACGATTAACACTGATTTAACGTTCCATAATACAACATGCGGTATTTTTTTATGTGAAGGAATTAAAAAAAAAAAAAAAAAATACTGGAGAAAGAACATACCATAAGGTTTGCGATCATGCTTTCTTCGATTGAAAATTCTGTTGCCAAGGCAGTTGTCAATGATCTGGAAAGTGAAAACATCAGAATTTAATTTGTTTAATAATAAATATTTTGAATAATACATTTTTTCTTCAATGTTTTCTTCCTTGGATGGTGATCATTTGGTTATATTTATAGATAACTTAATTTCAATCAATACTTTCATATCTTTTACCATGTCTTTTCATGGTTGTTTTTTTCAACAGTTCTGAATAAAAACCTCTGTCATTCATGCATATGATGCGTGTATTGTGTAAAGCCATTTTAATGAAAACATTTTCTATTTCATTTTCTAAATTCACAGTTTACATTTCATTTACCTTTTAAAGTTGTCTTCCTTGCCGCGCACAATTCCGTTGAAATCGGCAACAAAGTCAAACACTACTTGAATGGATCTGAGAATGAAAAAAAAAAAACCCATTGAAATGCCTAATTGAGGTTAAACAGTTTTATTTCCCTTTCTTCTTTTTGAAAGATGGGCTCTCTCAACAGAAAAATTGCCTTATTTGAAAATTTTTTGGTCACTGCGGAGGGGGGAGGGAGGGGCACCTCCGCACCCCCCTGGATCTTCCACTGACAACCTTTCAAATGATATGCTTATGATAGCAACATCTATGCATTACAAATGAACATGATTTTAGTGTGTAATTAATTCTCAAATTTGTTTTTGTCCATTCCTACCAAGACTACTTGAGTTACTTACCCACAGAATTTCTTTGTGCACAGCCACTCTCCCCCACGGCAATGACTGAAAGAAAATGATAAATTACCATGCGAATGATATAGCAATTGTGTTCTGTGCGCCAACATCTTCAGATTATGCATGAATACAGGACATCAGGTTTGAGGCAGTGTTTTTCCCCTCACTTTCCACCTCTCACTAAAAGAAATATGTGATTCAATGAAGACTGTTAGTTGCTTTCCCTGTGCTCTTCAACAAATTAATTATTTTGTCTTGATAACTTTTCAACTTGTATGTCTTATTCCAACGCCTGCAACACTCTGAAAAAGGGTTTTTTATTTTGACACAGAAAGACTCTGTGAGCAGACTGGCTCCAGTCCGTACATTATCGATACTGATTGTGGGGTGGGAACCAGTTAACCCCACAAGAATGGACTTGACCGCAAGCAATTCAAAATTTGTAACATATTAACTCAATATTTAAATGTGTCAATTTGGTGGAAGTCTCATTCAAAAGTGAATCACTTTTGTACTGCTTGAAAAAAAGCAATTTAGAAAAGGAAATGTTTTCAGGATGAAAGTCGAAAGTAGCACGGGGAATTCCGTAGTTGGTACAAATAGCCACATGTTTGTTTAGTTCTTTTTCAAACATGATGAAGCGCAACCAAAGGTCACCATTGTTACTATGTTCCTCTTTAAAATTGCAAAAAAGGTGAAACTATACATGTAGCTGTAAAAATCAGAGATGAAGCATTTGACCTTTCCATAAAGTCAATAATACTTCTGTACTAAGAAAAATAGCAATTACGTGTATGAAGTGCAATTTTCATACTAGGCAGGTTGACTCCAAACCAATCAATACAGAACAATCTGGGCACGCAATCAATTCTATCACGAAGGCCCCCTTCAATGGCGAAAGTAAGGTGCTAGCTATGGTTGAGATAATCCATGACAGGGCAGTGAGTGAATGTGCAGGGATCATGTGCCCGGATTTGTTTGATGTGTTTTGATCCTGTTTTATCTGCCTTATTATGGTAAACCAAAAATCATTTTTCATAGCAACAACTAATTTGATAACTAGTCTTGTAACACAAGCCTTAAAGGGAAAATACATCATTTGCAAACATCAAAAAATAAAACTACCAAATCATTTTGAAATACCTTGCTGGACTGTAAGTGAATGACAGTGTAAAGCATCCTGTAAAATCATGGCACCTGGTGTACTGTCATTTTCAAGAAAAGTGGTATTTTTGTATCAATTTCCAACGCTGATCGGCCGATCAGCGTTGGAAAAAAACTGGCTTTTTTTCAAATACTGGCCCCAGTTGACCATCGCACTTGTTTGCAATCGATTATACACCTATGAACGGGTACAAGCCAGCTAGACTGATTCCCTGACCTTACAATTCCCCAATATATGTAAACTGCTCTGTTTCTTCTTAAATGGAGTCAGGGAACCAGACTACAGGAAAATGATTGTTTTTCTTGGTTTTTATAGCATTTTCGAACCCAAAACCTCAAAAAAGTCAGTCTAACTATATTTGATATATATTTCCAACCCCCCAATTCCATCCATTTCTGAAAATTACAGCAAAAGCAAATGATGTATATTCCCTTTAACAGTTTGAGTCAAGGTGACAGATGATATAATGATTGTCTTGCTAATGTTAAATACGAAAGCATGATTTTTTCAGAAGTGTGGATCTTACCATCGGTTGCACTCGACATCTCTAACCTCACCATCATAGAATGTGTCACCATTATGAGAGCAGGCAGCTGTATTTGCAATGAGGATAGTTCCAAGGTTAATTTTAGCCATGTGTACTTCACAAATTTGAAAATCCAACAATTGCTGGAGCATGTGTTAGAGCTAAAATAAATGTTGATAGTATCCAAAAATGTGAATAGTATTCACTTCAGTCTGGCCAAAAGTGCTGATGATATGCAACCTAAAGAGCCACATTTTTCCAATGATGTCTTGCACTGCTTTTTAATCCAGTCACTTTATGGTATTCAGACATACTGTGCTTGTAAAATGTGAAATTTTTGAAGGCAGGGCTGCCTTAAATGCTCATTTTTTTCATTAACAATGCTCATTGACTGCTTATTCATAGGTCATCCTGTACATTATTAATAATAATAATATTTGAAAAGAGCTTTGCACTATTGCACTACAACTTTAACAACAGCTGTAGTAAGCACTAATGTCCGCTGGGCGAGTAACTCAATTACTCGAGTACTTTGTTCTACTTGTGGTTTTTCATCTACTCGAGTACTCATCCTAGCGCGAGTAGAAGCAGGCACTCGAGAGTAGCAATTTAGAGTTTAGGGTTCACATTCGTCCACAAAAATATTAAAAATTCAAGTAAATGACCCAAAATGTCGAACAGTAAGGATATCTCAGCGCTGAAGATTGTGGTGTGACTTGCACGCTATTTGCTTGTAAGTTACTTCCCGTCATACTAACGTATATCTCATTTTCTGCTTTTATGGGAATTTGGTTAACTACTCGCGAGCACTCGACTACTTGTGAGTAATATCTTTGAGAGTACTCAAGTAGAAATATCCACTACTCGCCCAGGCCTAGCACTAATGTCTTTGGAAGTATACCACTTGAAGATAAAATTTCAATGAGAGGAAATTAAAAGGTTCATATTGCAGCCATGATTATGGTGGGGGAACCTACTCGCCTTTGGCTGTGACCGAGCAAAAAAAGTGGCTCTTTTAGGTTTAAGATTTGTGTTTTGTTAATATTTAGAACTAATAACCAAGAGATACATGAAGTTTCTGCTAGTTACAATGACTTAATCAGTAACTTATGAAAGTTCATGGTTAATAGTGATTACAATTAACACTGGTTAGAAGAGAAGACAGTGCTAGTGCAAAGAAACAAAAGGGGCTTGGCCCCGTAAATGTCCACATAATTTTCTCACAAATTCGCGAACAATCAAATGGCTTTTTTTAATCCTCTGGGAAGCATTAAATCTGAAGTGTCATATCAGTTTACCCTATATGCTTTCTTGATTTGTAGTCCCAATACACTGTTTAAAAGCATTTTTTTTATATTTAAAGGTAGAGTACATATGTATATCATTTGCAGCTATCTAAAAAGTAACTGACAAAATTATTGTTGAAAAGCATACTTGGTTTAAAGATAGTAATGGCACTAAACTCCCTGTGAAATTATTCTTTCTGGCATGCTGTCATTTTGAAGAAAACAATGAAAGAAGGTTATTTCCAAAGATGTGTCTAAAGATGCATTTTTGGAAATTTCTGTTAGTAGTTTGTTTTTAATTCAGCAAAGCTGTGAATGGGTACGTGCAAGCGTTGACATGACGTACACGTGTGCCCGGTTGCTATAATTCATCAGTTCAGTGCGTAGCTGCAATCGGCTGAATAAGAACGTGTCCTGGACGCTAATTTGGGCGCAATTCAAAACATGACTCTGCAGCTTTTGAATTGAAATTGAGATCCTAGAATATTGTTTTCTTGAAATACACAGCATTTACTGAGCTTAAACTTTATCAGGTTAGTTGTTAGGCACCCTTCTTAAGATTTTGAGAACTTTTGTTGCTTCAAACGAAAATAAATGCACAAATGACAATACTCTAACTTTAATTTTTATTTTTTTGTTCAAAAAATTTGCTCTTTTTGTAGTGAACTTGACAACTTATTAATATAGTACATATACAACAAGACTTTCTTACACACCATGTAATTGTTGATCACATAATCTGGCCGTATACCCTGCATGGCAACGGCACATGTAGCCATTGGGGTCCTCGTCCGACGGTATGCAGTCACCATTCTTGCATGGATTAGGACTACAGAGATCTGAACAAACAAGACCAGGCAGAGAAGATTTACCATCTGGGGGATAAAATCTGGCATGGGAGTGCATTTGGTTCGAAAGGAAACTGCATCATTGTTGGTGTGCCTGCTGATCTCTCAGGGAAAGTCTTTGTCCCCTAGCAGCATACTTTACTGCAATAGTTTCCCCACACCAACTATAATTGTGTTAATTATAACTACTGTGTTGTTGCTGTTGTGATAAGCTGCTAACGAGCTACATGTACATATTCCCCTCAAGAAATTAAAAGGATCATGTCAAGCAGCTTACAGTGCATTGATGCTACAATGCAGGCACTACATACACTACCAGGCATCACCAGACCAATTTGTACGAGGTATGTTTTGCCAGTAGGTATAAGAATGATAGTTGTCGAAAAAATTATGGAGCTAGGGAAGGGGTTGCAGTGGCGGATCTAGGGGGGAGGTTGACTAAACCCCCTTCTTAAAGGGCCGTAGAAAAATAGGAAACCTATCTTGCAGTCATTTCAGGGATCAAAATTCCATGACTAATGACTAATTAAAGGACTCATTAATTACATTTCGCTGAAAATGTCCTTAGTGAATAAAATAAATTAAATTGTTTCATGTTGTGATTAAATTGTTTCATGTTGTGTTTTAAAATCCTGACAAAAATATAACCATGCCTTTGGTCTTGAAAAAAATATTCACACTATCACTTCAACTCACAAATAAGAAAAAGGATCATTCAAGCAAAGATTAAGATGCTTTAAAATACACTACAGCAAGCTCACCAGTGCACACACAGCAAAATGGGGTCAGCTTTGCATTAAAAAACATTCACCATCACTAAATCTTGGAATTTAAGATTGACTACATTTTATTGCTGACATTGCTCAGATTTGCAATGTCCATATTCAGACAGAAAAAAAAATTGAAAAGAATTCCTGATCATAAAACCACAAAATGAATGTGTGTGTCAAAGACTTTGTGATGACATCATTACCAAACCATTCAATTGTCAATATTACAAATACAACCCCTCATGTTGAATTCAGCTATGTTTTGTTTGGTCTGTTCAGGCCTATTTTTAGCCATTGTTATATCCAGGAACTTTAACATATCCACAACACACTGGTGTTTTGAAACCTTTCACAAATATGAAAGCAAGCAAAGTGAATACAAAATGTCTCACAAATGAATGAAGTTAAGAATCAATTCTAAACATCTGACTATTTAGTAAAGCCAGACTGTGTGAGATCCACTGGTCTTCAAATGATATACATGTATGATAACAGCTCAGATCAATCATCAAGGAAGTATTTCCCCTATGGGAGGGCAAATAAATCTGCAGTGTACATTTGTATTTCTCATTTCATTTCTCATTACTTTCAGAAGGTACTTCAATACTCAAAATCAACATCTGTTTCTTTCATTTCAATGTAGTCAATCATTTCCCAAAGTCATATTTGTCAGGCGTTCTGGCAAAATGAAATGGGTAGTGGAGAAATATTAAGAAAAAAACCCCGAATGGGGTTATTTTATTTTATTTTCAGATGTTTATTTTCAGATGTCTACTAGACAATACTTTAAAGAAGAAGGATAAAAATTGTGGAATAAAAGGGGTTGGTTGAAAGGACTTTCATTTTCACAACAGCAAACAGTATTGGAAGGAGAATTTAATTTTACTTCTTAATACAATTAATGTACTCGCAAAAAAATAGATGTTTCTGATATGTATGAATCGCCGACTGTAAAAAGCATGCTACAAAACTATTCTATTCATCTTCATTGCGTCTTACTCTATAAATTAACATGTCTTTCTTTTATCACACAGAAATCATTGACTAATTCTTTTCTCCTGTACTAAATATTTTAATGAAGAAGCACAATTAACAAACGATGAGGGATGTATAATTGGAAACATACCTCTGTCTTGACAAGTTTCTCCACTGAACCCAACGGGGCATATACAGACTTGCTGTTCATTCAGTGTGATGCAGGTACCATTGTTGTTGCATACATTAGTCATACATTTCACATCTGAGGAAGAGGTAAACATTAATGACTCTTAAAAGATAAAATAAACAGGCATGCAAATGACAAAAAGAGGAAATTCCATACCACACACTGCACTTTGTAGAATGTTTTTCAATTTGTAATGGCATTCATGAGAAGTAAAAAACCGGGAAAATCAGTGGATCTGAGGAAAAGTTGCATGCCCGAATAAAATGTTCAGTGCTGGGATGTAGTGGTAATAGGCAACCACATACATGTTCCCTTGAAGGTCCATTCAAATGGATCAGTTGTGGAATTTGTGAACTCTGCTTTCACAATCAGTCAATTTGTTGTAAATAACTTGAAATTGCTCACTTCGTAATGGGTACTGTCAAATAAGGCCAAAAAATGTAAAAATAGATTTAAAACACCCCCCCCATTTTTTTTTTAATTCAAGAAAATGTATGTTTCCAAAAATGGCTCTCTCGAGAATTCTATTTTGTCTAAAACTTGGAACCTTCAAGAAATCAAATTAACCAATTCTAGGAATAGATTGCACAATAATTTGTAAAGAAACTACAAATTTTTGTTGTGCAATAATCATTTTGGATTCTGACAATTGTCAGGTCATTTGTAACCTCACCTATCTGTATTTTAATATATTTGATATTCCCCCATGAATTTTCTCCAAAAAAATTTAAGACATAAAGGTTAAGACTGTCCCTGAAGCGAATTAACTGAAGCGAATTAACTGAACAAAATAAACATGTTTAATTTTGATTAACAATTCGAAATGAATCTCGGACTTGCTTGAAATTGATTTGTATTATACCTTCTTCACAGTTTTTGCCAGCGTATCCTATGGGGCAGACACAGCTGTAATTTCCGGGAGTGTTCTGGCACGAGGCGCTGTTGCGGCATGGATTACTCGTACATTCATCTAAATCAATTTCGCAGGTACTTCCACGCCACTGGGTCGGGCACATGCATGTGAACTGCTGCAGCCCTGTACTGACACAATCACCGCCATTACGGCAGGGATTGCTGAAACACGCTGTCTCCGGGACTGCAAACGAAAAGATAATTCTTGGAGTTTAGCTGGGGATGAGGAAGGGCTTATAAGTTATATCAAGCATTTCTATCTAATTTCCCCAAATTTGTCCCATCACTAAACTGTAAGTAGCTTTCACTCACAAACAAAGTTGAAAATGGGCGTTCTTTCCTTATACATGTAAATGCTACAAAATATAACATAAAATAGTGAGTTATGGTGATTCCTTTCCCTCCCCAAAAGAAGACCGCTTCTCAACCCCAACCCCACTCCCCTCAGCAAAAAACTATATGAAACACTAAATAGTGATATCATTTTGAAAATTAGAAACTCCAATTTGATATATAAATTGTTGCAACGACACAAAATAAGTGTAGGGGGAGATATTATTTTCTTCATGTGAAAACAGAAAATGTTGAGGAAATAAATCATTTTGGGGTAAAACCAACTAAATTAAATTTGGTATGGTGCTTAAATATACCTATAAGGTTTCAAAGCACTTTACTATTATAACAAGTATCCCAAGCACATATATTTACCAATACAGTTAACAAATTTATTATTTCACGCTTAAATCAATTCAGACTGAAATCAAATAAAGAACAAGTAAAACCCTCAACCTGAAGAATAATTTGGGTTAAAGTACCACATATAAGTGACATACTACATAGCACTACAAAATTATGTATGCAGGTACCAAATTATACCAAAAGTGATGTGCCCACTTATATGCTGAAGTTGTGAGGTTAGGTTGACTTTTCATATACCCAAAATGTATACCTGCTTTTAGTAGAGGCATTTTTCTGGAATCCGTGACCATGTTGCGGATACCTTTTTTTCTTGATGGTTTTGACAAATAAGACGAATTTAAAAAAAAAATAGCTCCTATACACCTCCCAAAAGTGACGGCAAACTTTTTTATAGCACTTTTTTTCAAAATGGCCGCCGACGCCATATTGAAATACATAAGTGGTATCTCGGGAACCAGATGAGCCATAACGCAACGATAAATGAGAAGTCGATTCCCACTTTTTCTGGCATGACAAATCTGCTAATATGGTATTCATTACGTTTCAGACCATCCTGACCTCAAAATTCAAAATGGCGGCTGGTAGCCATCTTGGAAAACAGCATCTATTATATCTCTGGAACCAAAGGAGCAAAATAGACATATAAGATGTTATTTTCAATTAATTCTGGCATTACAATCCATTAGAATGGTTCAGGGACTACTATGAGTATGACCTGCTATTTGAAGATGACTGCTGTCCGCCATCTTTCAAAACGTCAATCTGCAATTTTATCTCTTGCGCCAGAGGCTCTTGGTATGAGAAGCCATCCCATTTACATCCGCCACTACCTAACTTATTTGAGTGGTTATTTTGAGTTTTATCTTGATACCTATTTCTTTGTGTTATAACTTCTAACAATTCATTTTAAATTAATTTGTTTTACTGGCTTAAGTAAATTTGTTCTCCATTGCATGGTTTATTATTTACACATGTTCTGCCTTACACATAGTTGCCAAGGCCATTGCCAGGATTTTTTCCCCCAAAATCCCTATATTTTGTTGCATTTTCCCGACTGAACATTTTTCGAGGGTGGGCAGGGACATTTTCCCCCGCCCCCCCCCCACCCCTTAAAATTAACAACAATATGATTTTGCCCCTCTTTTTTCCCCCGCCCCTTTTTTTCCCCTTCTTTTTCCCCCCTTTTTTTGCTTGCCCCCCCCCAGTTGCAATTTGATTATTTTGATTGTTTATTTCGCATGCGATTGTAATGAATCTGTTGCTTATCATTCATCTGGTTAACAATTCGTTCATGTTCACTTCCTTGTGCTTAATTTTTTTTATTTATTTAATCAGCTGATTCATCTGTTTATTTATATTTTTGTTTCGATATCGTTTTTACTTCAATATTGATGCTTGGCTTTGATTTATGACTAGTTGCATGATTATTCATTTATGACATTTTCTATTTTCTCTAACCCTGACATCTACATTCATCCCATGTTCTCCGTTTGTGTTTGTACAATTGTTAGTCTGTTTCTGTAACTGTTGAGTTGACATTTTGGTTTTGTTTTGTCAAGGCATCTCCATATAAGCACCCGGCTTCGAAAGATGCCTGTATAATTGCCTACATAGCTACATGTTTGATCTTGTTTATAATATTATTTATTAAATGGCATTGTTTCATTGTACATGTATTATAAAACTTGTGGCATTGTGGGAATAAATGTTGATTGAATTGAAATTACATAACATTTTGAAGTCTTTGTCATGTGGGCCTTTGTAATTCATAAACATATAATGTAAAACCTAGATAAGAATTATGAAACAATAGTCACACACTCTGTAAAAACGAATTGCATTTTGAGTTGAAACGACAAAAGGATAATGTTTTTTTAGGTCACGATGGTCCGAAACGTAATGAATACCATTTTAGCAGATTTGTCCTGCCAGAAATAGTGGGAATCGACACCTCATTTATCATTATGGCTCATCTCAGTCATCTGGTCCCCGAGATATCACTTGTTACGTATTTCAATATGGCGTCGGCGGCCATTTTGAAAAAAAAGTGCTATAAAAAAGTTTGCCGTCACTTTTGGGAGGTGTATAGGTGCTATTTTTTCTTAAAATTGGTCCAATTTGTCAAATCCATCAAGAAAAAAAGGTATCCGCAACATGGTCACGGATTTCAGGAAAATGACTCTACTATTTTGAGTATGTCCCCAAATTTCGTTAAAAAGTGCCAACTTTTTTCAGAGGAAAATGCCTACCATGTTCAGAGGAATGTGTTTCACATCTTACACCACTATAATCCTCAGGACATCTACAGATGAAGGCATTTGGTAATGAAGTGCACATGCCTCCATTTTCACATGGATGACTGGCGCAAAAATCAGCCGGAGTGGGTTGCTGAACTACAGAAATGGAAAACACAACAGACTTCTTAAAATATTTGTAAATTGTCCATAACTTTTTGTTGGTTACATCTCATTTACATGATACAACTTAAATAACTTCTGTAAAAAAAATCCAGAATGATGTACATGTACATAAAGTTCAATTGAATTTAATTAATGTCTATTTCTGTAACATTCAAATAATTTACTGCAACATACTTTGAATTCATAACATGAGGGAATTTTATGATGCAACACTCATTACCTAATTCTCTCAATTATAAAAATATAAACAACTTAAAAATATTGTGCAAATGTCTTTCGTGCATATTATGTACACTGTTGACATTCATTGTCCGTGAACATAAATTTTTTATAAAAACTTTTGAAAACATTAGCCTACCTGTTGTCACGATTGACAGGCAAGAAAGCAGGCAAAACTCAATCACAAGCCGCTGTAATCTGACTTCCATCGTTTCGAATGTCTGGAAAATTACACCAAATCCAAAAAAATAAATTTGTAAAATATACAATCAGGACTTCTATATCAGTACACACGGTGTGTTATCTTTTTATCAGCATTCGTCATCGTTGTCTATCAATGCATGAATCATATGGCCCACTCGTAGCCAAAACATTACCACCAGATGTACCGTTGGAATTCCCAACAACTATTGTTCAAATTTGATCAACAGTTCATTGAACGGGTCGCTTTTTGTGGGATATTACAATTGAAGCGCCCACCATCACACACACAACCTCTCCCATTGTCAAGTTTTCAGGAAATGCGCCGAATAAATAATAGGCCTACTCCAAATATTCCAATCGAACTATGATCATGTTGACTGCCGGTTCGGCTCAGTCACATAAAAGTGTTTTGTAAAATGTGATAAGGAAGCTGAAATATGATTAAAGTTGATGAGGGTTTTACCCCCTGGTTTCAACCACGAAACTCGAAACCGTGCTTCATTTCCGTTTGACAATAAACTCCTAAAGTTTAATCACCGTCGTGACTTATACATCATCAAAGGGATCGGTGAAATGATGATTGATTTTGTACTGTATTTAATGTTATCGTAACCTAATACTACATTAACCCACAAACACAATTGCATGATTTCGTAATCGTTTTGAATGAGCACAAATACAACGGTCTTTTTTGGCAGATTAAACAAAATACAATTCCTTCCTCCATGATTTATATGGCAATCGCGAAAAATCAAACGCGGTTGAACAGACCCCGAAGATATTTTAAGTATAAAACACGCAAAAGAAACCTTGATATTAAGTGAAAACGTCCAGTTAATTTGTGTGAAACAACCTTTGTACAACAATCTTAACCAAAATTCCTGATAGGTTTTTTTTCGGTGGTTGAGTCCACAATTCACGCACATCAATTTCCGTTACAAAAAAATAACAGTACTTGCGAAAATGGCCTGGAAAATCGGGAACAACTAAACCACCAAGAAATAAAGTCCTGCGAGTTAACTTTGGCTGCGGGCACTTTTGGCACTCTTTCCGGCCGCGTGGGTAGTGATGAAAAACATGACTTTGACAATGACCGATGAAGGAGTCTACAGAGAGCGGGATTTTCCTGGGATTTCACCCGGGCATGAGCCCGCAGATTCCACCCGATACGGCCCCGGCTATGGTAGCTCCTGTGCATGCTGTGGTTTCTCTTCAACTCATTTCACGAGCACTTAAATCTATCAATCAGCAACTACCGCATTCCCTGGGTACGCATGTTTTCGGCGCTCAGACAAATTTTTATTACCTCACTACAGCGCTTTTCGTCGTAAATAACCTGGGTTTTGTTTCAACTCAGTGGAACTCCGTGTGTGTGTGTGTACACGACAATTACCTGTCACATACATTGCGTTGCGATACAAGAATGAAGCTCCATGATACCAGTTTGGGGTGTAGGCCCCACTCCTTTTATAAACTCGAACTTTATTTCAAAAAAATGCTTGACGATGCGTGTTGAGCAACAACACCCCACCCAAACACGAGGTTTAAGAGATATCAAAATCAAACATCCTTCTCGAACGATTGAAATTTTAATGCACTTGGTATAAAATTTTATCGTATGGACTGAAATCCCGTTTTTGGATATTCCACAAATATCTGACTATATATGGTAACCTCGCCATTCCTGTATTAATTTGTCTCGTACCCTCAATATGTAAGACGTACCAGCTAAAACCATTAGCATACCATGGAGATTTTTTTGGGGGGAAGACTTTCAATTAATGCATTACCAACATGATGTAGATGGTGAGGGTTTTAAAAAGAACTATTTTGAGCATTTGAATGCTGCAATGACTGCTAAAGTACTTCCGACACGTCTGCTATTAATGAGCATAACAGGCAATTTTATGCCGAAGTGTAGCCATTCCACAAACACTTCGCGTTTATTGTTAAAACATCTGATGGAAGCAGGTCATTCATTTGAAACCCGGAAGGTCTTCAAAACGTGAATACATGTACTTCGTTTGCACCATTTTAGCTCCAAAAGGTTGAAAGTCCCTGGATGATTTTCACCACAAACAACTTAGGGAAGTGTGGCTCGATAGTTTGGCCGATAATTTGGTACAGTTCATCATTGATAAATGATGGATTTTTATTTACCCAAAAGGGTTGTCAGGATGTCATTAGTTCCACATCGTTGTATTTCCCGACACACAAACAGAAAGAGGCAGACGATCCACGACAACGCCAGACAGCCCAAGGTCCTTCATCACAATAAGTGTCGTCATAAAAATGGGTTGAAGCCTCATAAAAACGGGTCAAAATGCAGTTATTGTCAAGTGATAAGATTCGAAGATTTGCGTGGTGAAGTCAGCAGTAAGAGTAAGAATTTCTTATTTTCATGAAGCGATTTCATCTGGTCTAAATCCCACGTCGATTGCACATCAGCTCAACAAAGATTCGATAATTTGGCAGATAACGGGCGGCGGCAACCCCGAATGTTCTTGTCGAAATGTCCACTTTTATAGTGCAGTGGAAACTTGATAGGGGAGGGGCTTTGGAGCTGGACTATGACAGGTGAATTGTGGCCGGTCTCTGTTTAATGATCTGATTTCACATTTTGTCTGACTTTTAGAAAGCCCAGGCCTACTTGATTTTGACCTTGCATGCAGTGCAGGGAACTAGCCTAATGATACTCGCTGATTTCGCAAACCGATTTAGCTTTGCCATTGTCAGACGTCAACGCCAGATAGTTACGTGTACGGAAGGCCATCATTGACCGTGACCGAAAAAAAGTGGGAAGATCCCGTAGAGCTATATTAAATTATCCTCGTACATGTAACCATGGGTATTTCCGGATCTAATGGTGTCCTTTGGCGAACTTTTCATAAGGCTGCCGTCAGGCCTGGGCTAAAAATACAGGACTTGATGTTTTAACGCATTGCAATAATCCACGAATGATCGTCGTCATCATTACTATAACTAGAAGGTAATTAGCTCCATGCTTTCGCGTGCAATTCTGCTGTTTCGCATTTTACAATGCGCATCATAAAACTTGTCAACACCGCAGGCGGGGCCTCGATGTAATGTTATGTGTCATACTCAAACATAAAGCTGCCTTTCGAATATTATTTACAAGTGCCTCACATCACAGTTTTTATTATAAACATCCAGGCCGAACGTTTCCGTAACTCACATTACTGATACTATAGAAACGTTGTCAATAATGACGCCCTAGGAATTGGAACTTTCATTTGGTTATGACTTGCCTTAAAATACAAACGGGAACTATAAAACCACAAGTCATGATGGAAATCCGACGCCTTCTTCCTCAATTGGCCACACGACTATTAATAGTTTACGTAAGAATTAAACCACCAAGCACGCCACACCAATTCATGTTTCCCTTTCCGAAACCTAACCAAAATATTGAGCAATCAACAAAATGGTCGATGGGCAATCAGGAACGAACTTTGCCTTTACCAAACTCTAGAATGTTGCATTTTAAGGGAAGTAAATCGAGGAAAGAAATAACAATTCTTATCAAATCGTTAACTTGTACCATTGAGGAAGGAATTCGATAACGACTGATTCGGTAGGCCTATTTCCCTTTTCCCGTTTTTTTTCTGTTCATCTACATTATCTCAGATGCATCTCTTGAAGCAGCTGCAGTTTTACAAATTAATATTAGCAAACATACCGTGCAAGATGCTTTCACAGAATATTTAAATCCTTCGGAGAAGGCTTGAGCATACATCATTACTGGCCTATGTCCTTGACTTGCCCGATAATACGTGCTATGAACACACCCTCCCTTTCAATTTTGAAAGAAAAAGCCAATGAAAAGACAACACAGCTTGAGACATCTCTTCATCACGAAAATGATTAAGGAGCATCGCGTATTGACTCCAGATTGATGTCTCCATTACAGCAGGGTACAGTGTATTCCTAATTTAGCCGATGGCACACACGACCACATCACCATGTTGACACAAATGACGATACCGGACTAATATAGCGATACCATAAATAAGGCTCGTATATCTGTACGTGCCGATAAACTCACCTGTCGTTAATTCACAGTGCTTTGTCACTGCATCCGCAGGATCGTCTTCAGTTGATGCAGATTATTTCTCAAACGCAGGGCTTCCCTTGAGTAGAATTATGTGATGAGTGGGATGCGAGCAGGTATCCCGAATGAGGCATAAATTCTCCAGAGTTTCCCGGTGTAGACCGCGGATGGATGACCGTGTAAATATCAGAGTGCACTCCTCGTCTGTGCCTTACGAGGAAAAGTTCAATCGATTCGGCAGACTAGCCTGCGTTTTATTATGACCCATCGTGTGGTAGGCCTACTCGAGAAATTCTGGTAGGTTTTCCGGCAATCATTGACTTGCTGGCCCTCAGTGAACTTGTACTTTGGCCAGCCGCATGTGATTACATTTAGTCACTTAGTAAACAGGTGATTTCAGGAATAATGAATGTCATGACTCGTACGGTCGTACCTTGCATACCAATTCACATCCCGGACTTTCGTCAGGACAAAACCACTGACCCGAATGCAGTATACGCCGACGTGCATCGCCCATGGGATTACGCTTAAATATTGGCTTTACGGCTGGACTACTAGTCTCCGTACAGCCGTGTGTGAGTCATTCACCAACAAAAGGAGTATTTTCCTCACTGACTAAACACAGAAGGCGGTAGAGGCGGCGACCTTTGTGATGTAAATTAGGACCGGCTCTATCTGTGACGTCGGTCTGTGAGAGGGCGTGGCTATGAAAAATATCACTGGCAGATCCTGCAGTGTCACAAATCATGGAGCTCCATGTTCACATTGGAACTCGTTTGTTGTTTCTCTCATTTGTGTAAAATAATTCCAATTGCTGCAATATGCATTTAACAAATACAAATACAACAGACCTGCAGTAGACGAAGTTCACAATCAACTCATTTATATGGTAGATGGCAAAATCATGCCATTTAATAAATAAACAATGAATTGCATGAAATATCCTACAGTTTTTAATATAAACACTTTCCATAGTCTCCCATGTTACAATATTCACAAACAATTACATTCCACACGAACTACAGATTTCCGACCTCTCTTCATCACCTATACAAATTTACCAGAACTACAAGATTCTCTCATGATCACACCAAAATAAGCATTCAACAGAAACCCACATTTCTAATGTAAATAACAACCTAGAAATACTCATTTGAGCAAGAAAATATTAACCAACATCTGAACAAGTTAATTTTTTCAAAATTGGTATAACGAAACATGTTTGCCATTTCCTCCTCAATTTGATAGGCAACTTGCATATTTTAAGGAGGCTCAGCATTACTTAATCAACATGGCTTTCCAAATATTGATCCATTTCTTCAGTGTTTCTTACCAAGTGAACTGCTAGCCACTGCATGTATTTCACTACTTAGCAGCTATTGGATAAGATTATGCATCCTTTAATTCTATTGGTTTACAATGATGTAATGGGTTATTGAGGAACACTCATTGAGTTCAGTAAATGTCTTATGAACAGTTAGACATAATCGCTTCATATGATTTGCAAAATCAAACACTTGCAGCATTTGTGAGATGTTTTACATCCAAAATCAACTAAATTCAAGACACTGTTTTAAAAAAGTGAGAGAAATGTAATCACAGGTGGATGCAGCGCTTGAAATAATTATTTTGTGCTGTATAATGGCCTTATTTCTGCATTTACAAATACATTATGATTTGAGCATTAACATAAAAACCTGAATAGCAGTTTTTCTGGACAATATCTTTCTTCCCTTCCAGCTTTAGCACATTCTTCATGCTGTTTTGCTGTTCCAAATAAAAACTAGCACCTGTGACCTCTTTTTGTTTTTGCTTTTTCTGTCACCCAAGGAAGTTTGTACTTTTATAAAATTAATCACATGTGAAACAGATGGAGTTCATCTCACATTCCGTTCTTGTGTGGATTCATGCATGGTGACAACAACCAGTTATATTACCAAAATCAAGGAAACTGGTCTGAAGGGCCTTATCAAATTCATAATAACTAAACCTTACCTTTAAATCAACATCTATATGACCAAAATACTGTTTTACTGAATACATGTTATGACAAGTTTTAACCAACTTGTGCTTGCCTCCATCTTTCCCAAAGAGAGAAAAAGTATAAAGTAGGGGGGAAAAGTGTGGCGCGAGATTTTTCGTTAAAGCAAACTTGGCACCCCTTGCAAAGGTTAGGTAAGTACTTATTAGTCTACAAATTAAAGAACCAACTTTGGTGGCACGTTTACTAGACGAATAACTGTCCCAGATTATAAGAAATAAAACAATAGCGGAAGAGGACATCATTATTGAAAAGATGTGCAAACACAAATCATGGAACGTAGGTGACAGCATATCATTAAAAAAAAGAGGGGGATCTTGGACGGTTTTGGCAGATTATCACATTACATGTATATACATAACAGGCCTAAAAAAAGAAAATATTTTAAAAATGTTTGTGCGTTCTCGCTGCAACAACACCACTTTTAAAAACTCACGAAACAGCTAAAGAAGTTCTAATACTTTAAAAGAACCTTGAAAGTACTGCACGTAAAGGACACTGTAGAAATGGAAATTATTAGTACAAAAAGTTGGCAATTAAAAATATGAGGACACTGTATAAGCTTCAGTAAAAGAAATATCTGTTGAAGGTTCACAATAGCAGACAATTATTTTGATAAAAAAAGGAGAGAAATGCTGTTTTACAAAGAATTTACATTTGAAATGTCTAAAATATCCAAATGTTGATAAACTCATTCAACTGAAAGGCTGAAGTGGTGCCAAAACAAACGGTAAAGTATTGAAAAAGCCAAATGCAGTGACCAACAAACTAATTGAATTGAAAAACAATCAAATCACTCCAGTAACTTTATTTTATGCATGGAATCTCTAATAAATTATGTCTCTTCAACCAATTTCAGCTTTGTTTTACTTAAAAGTTGATGGGTGTTACGGTGAATACTTTTACAATTTATAATTGTTCATTTGTCTTAAATTAGACAAAGTATAACCAAGTCCCACTTTTTGTCATGGAATTGTGTATGTATGCAACCAAGTCATAATAAAACATCACAAGTCAATCACAAGTAATCCAGTCTGAAGTCAAACCAAAAGTTATTCAAATAAACTGTTACAGAGGCATTCCTTTCTTAATATTCATCTCCACGTTCTTGCTACCTGACTTGTGACTTGCCTTATAATTGACTTGATTAAAGTGTCCTTCCCTTTTTGTTTATACACAGTGGACTGCCAGATTCCACATAGAATGAGTGCATATCCACAACCTCTGAGATATTCTACTGATACCTATATGGGACTCTTAAATATCAAACATAACCCAGCCAATGTATGATATACTCAAAGAAATATTGCACATTTTAATGAGGGCATAATACCATGCTACAAATGTGATGCGATCAAGCTGCATGAGTCGTTTGTCAACCCTGGTTAAAAAAAAAAATATTACAGATTTCAAAAGAGCACAATCTCAGCATAACTGCTGTGAAAACTGCATGCTGATACCATCTTTAGTTCAAAAATTATGGAAGTCGGAACACCAAGAAATGTGATGAAGTGGCCCTATTTTGGCCTGTATCTCCACATAAAAAATCCTGACAAATGACTCATTTAGCTTGATCCCGTCACTAATGTTATGCATTACTCACAAGTTGGGTAGATGACTATCTCTTGACTATGAGTTGACTGCCTTGTTATAATGGATAACAAATTTGGATTCTTTGAGCACGTTTATGTGTGTGTGGATAATATCAAGTGATTCTGGGCAAGCTCTTGCATAGTTACAACAGAGACAACCAGCACCAATACATTTTTCATGGGTGAGAATGGCACAAAAAGACCCGACCATTCCAGACCCAACAATACTTGAGGTTGACACTACACAATAGGAACTTTTTAACAAAACCTCACTCAAGATATTTCTGTTTCGGGAAAAGCCCAGTACTGTGTAATTCATCAAAGTCGGTACAACTGCAAAGTGACCACACTGACTCATGAAAATGGCACTTTGAAGTTTGCGCATATTTATCCAGATCAAACATTTCCGGAAAACCACAATCCCAATCACTGTTATCACCCCTTCCCACCACCCCTTCCCACCGATATGATTGTTTCTTAAATTTGACTTCAAACAGAAAAAACTTATACACAAATTCAGACTTCAGACCAGAGTTTGAATGCCTTTAGTTCACAGCTTGTCTGGAAGTTTCATTTGAATTCCAGAATTTCAATTGTGGCTTCTTGTTTTATGACAGGTCAAAAGTCCTCGTCACGATATGGCACCACACCGACCATGACACCATCACAGTAAGCTTTTCAGCTTGACACTGCCTGAACAATACAAGCTACTACCAAGAATGTAATGGAGCCGATTAGTTAAGCAAAAAATAGAATTTACCCTGCAGTAACCAAAAAAACCTTATTGCCATGTTTATTCATTGGGAAAAAGAACTGCTAAGAAAAGTGTGCTATGGTACTCGTAGCTCCAATACATCCACCAACTGAACAATGTGTACCCAAGAGTTTATAGTCCCTTCCCCGAACAAGAAAGATCTCTGTCACTGTTTTACATACACACTTTGGACAGAGAGCACACATCTGACCTTGTGGCCTTTACAACCGAGCTGTTACAGTGAACATAATCAGGACGCTTAATTTGGTCCTTAGGTTGTGGAACTGAAAAGAGTTTACAGGAAAAAGACGAGTTGCAATATCTGTCCACTGGTAACTATTATTTTCAGTGTTTAATAGTTTTCTTTTTTTTTCATAATATTTTACTTTCATGTAAAATTTCAAATATCCATGCAATTGTGAAAACGCTGTTGTGAATTTCTGACTTTGGGATTTGTTTCAATTTTGGTAAGAAACAGTTCTCAATAAAAACTTTGTCACATGGAAGATCTTAAGTTTCTGGATTCCAAAGTATGACTTAAGTTTTTCTTAAATGTAGTAACCTGTTAGGAAACTTGCAAGAACGTTTTGGCTGTCATCTCCGGACAGTCCATATGGATCAACAGAGGGCGCTATAACCATTGTCAGTGGACCACTCTGCTCCTCCTCAAGGGCCCCCATACAAAAGTGATTGTGAAAACTCGGCAACAAACTTCAGTCAGATTTTTTTTCAAAAAAGGTGATTTGAAGGTCAATGTTGATATCATGAGACTTATTAAGTAGCTAGATTTCTGATTCAATGTACGAGAAAATCACAGGAAAAGCAGTATTTAGCAGATATACTCAAAGGTCTCAAATGAAGAAAACCAATCTCTGTTTATCAGAAGTTCAGGGCATCTAAACATTCCGTTAACCCTAACCTTACCAACTCCATCAAAATCCATACCCCATTTGGGAGGATTTTTTGCAGATAAGCCATGTGTACCAATTCCATCAAAATCCACCAGCACCAGTGGTGGATTTCAAGGGATTTGGTCCTGAAGCATTAAGTGAAGCGGAGTGAGTGATGGATTTTGATGGACATGGTCTTCTACTTAGTAAAACCATAGAGACTTTCTCTATGGTAAAATTAAGTAGGGAGAGAGTGTCAAACTGTTGACTTAAATAAAATGCGACTACTTGCCCAAGGCCACAAACATAATAATCGTTGACTTGTTACTATTAATTGACTTGAGCTTTTTAACCCAAACTCACACAGGAACTTCCTGAATCCTCCAATATCCTCCAATGTTCAAGATACCAATAAGCACATTCTATCTAAATTAGACACATCATCACATCTGTTGCATCACATATGTTGCTACCTGAATGTACATGTACCCTTAGTCTCCAAAGGGTACCTCAACACTTCTCTGTACTGTACACATTTAAACAACTCCAATGATACAAAGTGCATTTAGATATGTAGTAGATAGCAGGCTTTCACCGTTTCATAATCATAAACCCAATCTATCCATCTCCAAGAAAACCTGTACAAGACAGCAAACAGTCTAGCCCAAGACTCAAGTTTGTGCCGGCAATTCTGGCAAGCTACGTTTTCCTCTCCTGTGTAACTCTGTGTTTAGCTGAGAACTAAACTATGTACAAACTAGGCATGACCTGATAAATAAAACTTTCTTTTTACAAAGGACTTGCAACGAATCTCTAGTTTTTTTCTTCTTTTTTATTTTTAATGGAAAGGTTTCCCATTTGTCCAAATCTTCAGGGTTTTTAAATTTTTACAATACAAATATATCGACAATACAAAACAACGAAACTGAGAGTTAAATGCAGCAGTTAGAGGAGGAGCTCTCATCAGCTAACCTTGATCCATCCACTTTTGGTTAGATAGTTGGTGATGCGTTTCCGGTGTGACTTGTCTAGGTTGCTAGGGTAACGGGTCTTACATGGTAGACCTTGGCGTCGCATGAGATGGTCCTAAAATAAAAACAAAACCAAAAAGTGTGACTGGTGTATCGCATAACACTAGGAACAAGAAATGTATGAACAGCTTTTGTTCAGGCGATTATACTTCAGACGTTGGACACCCTTTCAGACATTTTAAGTAAACCTGTCACACCCATTTATGTTTGAAATATTCTGTTAACCTCAAAATGTCTAAAACGAAGCCTATCAAGTAACCAGCCTGTCAGTCACCTGAGAATAATAATAATAATAATAATAATAATAATAACTGGATTTATAGAGCGCCAAATTGCCAAAGGATACAAGGCGCTGAAACTTACCATAGCCAGTTTCTTGAAAGGCTTACGTTTTGGATATTTTGAGGTTAACAGAATGTTTGAAATGTAAGTGTTTTTTAACAGGTTTATGTTTCAGACATAAAATGTCAGAAACAGTGACCAAATGTCTGAAATATAATCACCATTGTTCATGTTTCGGACATTTTGTCCAGAACAAAAGCATTTCCGACATTTCTGGTACATTATGAAAATGGCCATCGTTTGTGGCAACATCTTTAACACCCAATGTCAATACCATGCTTTTCCTCATCACAGTTTTATAAAGATTTTTCTATACTCTACCCATTGCTATGAAGGTTTTAGAATGAGTATGACGAAAACATACATGTATAAATAGATAAAGACCAAAATCTGAAAACATTCTGACATTGCGTCAGAGTACTTTAAAAAATGTTTGTGTAAGTTGAATGCCTTTGACCAGTCTGCATTTGCTCAAGGGCATCACATTTATGAAAGCTAAAAATATAAGAAGACAAGAAAATATAGAAATAAAAACAGTTACATTGTTATGGCCCTGTATCAAGGTGATGCTATATTTATATATGCCTTTATACCTATATTTACTTCACCATACAACCACTATGAGATTATTGTTTGAAAGGTGTATATACTTTTGCAAATATCCCATGAGTTAAGACCTTCATACATTTAAGAAAACAAATTCTTCCAGAGTCTGTTTCTTTTATAATCCTCGTTATGAAAGAGCAAACCGAGAAGGTTGTTTTTCTGATACTTTGCAATGTGTTTATTGAAACATAGTATAAAGTAGATGTATAAGTATGATTCCCGCTATACTGGTCAGATACTTACCCTGATAATGACTGTTTTGAGGGTTATATACCGAGCTGGTTTCATTTTCATGGAGCTACAAAGCTGCAAAATGAAATCAAAATACCAAAACTGATTAATACAAGAGATGTTCTCAAATTTTCCCTGTCCCCTTTCAAATAAAATATATAATAATAAATTTATCTACTCACTGGTCCAAACCTTAAACTTTTTAAAACTAATTGTAATAAAGTTGTAAACAAGGTGATCCGTGGATCGCACAAGTCACCTTCTATATTTTGTGTTCTTATTCTTGTAGTAGCTGTTCATTTTCAGTAGAAGAAATGATTGGCATCTGGTATGTATTACTTTCTATGAAACAATAGCATTTTCAATTTTTTTCCATTATGAGTTATGACCTCAATTGACCCCTGGATGACCTTTGACATTACATCGTCAAAATAACACATCAGCAGCCCCAAACCTTTATTCTCAGCAATGTTAGTGAATACCCATTCATTTCTGTCGAAAAAAGTCAGATTTTGTGCATTTTTAAACAATGACCTCAAATGACCCCTAGATGACCTGTAACCTCCAATGTCTGAAGACTTGTCATACACCCCCACCCAAGGATCACTCCATCCAAGTGACATTAAAATTCAACAAATTCTGTAGACAAAGAAACATTTAAAGCATATTTGAACAATGACCTCTAATGACCCCTACATGACTTTTGACCTCAGTAATCCAATGAAGAATTGTGTCTTCCCACGCAAGGGTCAGTTTTATCAAAATCCATAAAAGCATGTAGAAGTAAACAACTTAACCTGAACTTTAATATACATATGGTCATACGGACTTACATAATTTAAAGTGTCCCCCAAAACTTCGTTTAGGCGACACAAAAATAATAGGTTGGCAGCATTTAGGCCTGTAGGCACTAACACTTCCAGCAAGAGGCTACTAGCTCAGGTAGCATCATGCATAAAAACCAGGTACATTCTCAGTGGTTCATGGAAGAATTGTTCTGGGCCATACCAGCCCATACGATGACCTAAATCCCTCAACCTAGCCTAAAGTGCGGCGTGCCATCTGCCAAGGCCTTGTATAACCCAAAACCTTTTTATCAGAAGCCATCAGACTTAGTTGCATTTGCAGACTAAATTTCTGCAATCTTATAATGTTAACATTTTCAATGGCATCTTGTAGTGATGAAGTGCAGTCATTCACGTCATTCTGCCTCAAGTCAAGTGATAAGCTTTTCAATTTAATAATAACTGTGCATTATCACTTGGTCATTCCTTTGCCACTGTTCATTCCCGGTTGTTTGTGTTTCACTCGTGATTTTAATAGGGACAGATTTGACAACACTTACTTCTACTTCTTAAAAAAAGAATTATGGCATGACATAAAAAAAACATGGATGAGCCCTCTGTGACTGGCACAGGGGTTACTGAAGGCATTTGGGTCAGTGCATCATGACCAGATTTTGGGGAATTAATGTTCTCACCCTCTTCTCTCTGTCTGACAGATAGTTGAAGCCGGGAGATGCTTTTATTGCCTGGAATTCATCTTCTACGATCTCTGCAAAGGGCAATATAAGAAGAGAAGGAAGTGGGGATAAATAGGACGAATGGACAACAAATGGAAATGATGATTGTTACACTTGGAAAAGTTTAACAATAAGCAAATAACGACTCTCTCACAATGAAAGACTTAAAAACCTTGACAAATGAAGTTTATAAAATTTGTCTGAAACTGGAGAGAGAAATTCAACAATTCTAAATTTTAAATTCTGACTTTTTTCTTTTCCTACATTTCCCCCCAAATTTTGTTTTTGAGTTTCTGGTCAAGTGTAAATAGATAAATCCTTTAAAGTCTTTGTTACATTTTAACTGAATGGAGAAAAAAGGAATTTTCAAATGTTTACTCACCACGATCATCTTTCTTGGGTTCTTCTTTAGGTCTGTTAAAAAAGTCACAATAAGTTCACATTTGATAGAATGGATAAATAGCATGTTCTCAAATTTGTCCGTTTGAAACATTGGCTGCAACCATGCTCTGTAAATTTGATTGCCTTAGATGCGGTCAACATTTAGGCATATTTCAGAAAATAATCTCCATACAAAAATTACTGAGAAACATCTAAGTTTTAAGGGAAAAAACACTGATCCCCGAAGACCTATACATGGATTCTACTGCACTGATAGAAAATGGAGAAGTGTTGGATATACTTACTTCCATTGTTCTGATTTCTTTACATGGCTCTTTTTAAAAAGTGCATGGATAGTCAGGCATTTTTGAGCCATGTCCGCAAAAATGAAGGGCATGAGGTATGGTGATGTGGAATGGTACGCAAAACTCAGTTGGTCAATCCTCCAATAATCGTGTAATCGTGTAATAACCGATTCACTTCTTGAAAGTAATGAAGCTTTTCACTTTAAGGAAGACATCACTAGAAAGAATTGAAGGATGCCAAAATCTCTCTTGTGTATGTTTTTGATGACGTCTCATTTGGCAGAAGTAGGTCACATTTTGAAAAACAATAATTGTGAACTATCAACTCACTCAGTCTTCTTGGCGGATATGACTGCACTTCGTTTACTCTTGTCAACAATCTTTTTCTTGCCTTCCTTCCTCTTATCCCGCTTGCTCTTGGCCTCATCATACTCCGATATTTCTGCAAAGAAAGGGGCCATCAAGTCTTGAATCTTAACCCTAAAAGGGCCGGGTTATTTTGAAACTCGGTACATGCGTAGAGCAACTCATCATGAACATACCCAAGCAATTTCATGACTATAGGACAAAGGGTTTTGGAACTATGGCAAATTAATTTATGGACGAATGGTAATTCTGCTCTGTGTACACGACGTATACGGGAAAGTTCTGTTTTCACGGCGCGTAGCGCCAAACATTTTTATGGTCCGATTTTTATGTTTTTGGTATCAAAAGATGCGCAAGGCTCGAGGCTAAAAAGTCATAACAGCTCCGGTCGAGGAAAAAAACAATTTCAAGGCTATCGCGGAAAAAGTTGAGGGGCCCCCCCCCCCCCCGGCCCTTTTAGGGTTAAGAGCTATTTTACATTTCACATGGTTACATGATTGCCCATGGGCATAGCAATTAGAAAGTGCACATTTCATAGCAATTAGAAAGTGCACATTTCAATAGTACGCAAACATACCGTAAGGTAGGAGTGATAAACTGCTAGGCTTAGAAACTGGAATGATTTCTCCTATGTATCCTGTGTTAAATCTGCATTGTGACCGATCAATGCATTGGCGATTATGAAATTATGGAGCTTGTCTATGACATCGCCATTTAAAGTTTCCATTATTTTATTCCAGGCAGTTGAACGACAGTGCGTAGACCTTGTTACATTCGTTTACAAATTGGATGTTGAGGTCACGTGATGCCAACTTTCAGCAAACTGTTCCCTTCTGCACTGCATGGGTATCTCTTGAAATGTGATTGGTGTCACAGTGGTGACATAATGTGGGCAAAATAACATGCAAAAGATGCTCAAATGTTTGGGTTCAATGGGTTGCACATTGGTATGATGTCACAGGTAACATGGTCTCTGCTCTCTCTGTTACTGCACTACTGTGTAAATCGACCTTAACCCTAACTCCCCAGGCCATTTTGCTAGGATGTAGCCTCAATCCTGCAAAATCCTCCAATTGGCCTCAAGGAAAAATAGCATATAGCCTCAATCCTGAAAATTCCTCCATTATTTCTTGAATATGGTCTGTGGATGGGTGACCACTGCCTGAATCCTGCAAAATCCTGCGGCAGTGACTGTCAATATGTGAGGCTTGGCCATTGACATCCTGGAGCAGAATGGAGGATTTCAAGCATAATCCAGGCCTATATTTATGCATGGCTGAGCAAAAACAACACAAGGTCTGGCCCAAGACCTTGACAAAGTGCATCCTTCAAAATCAGTAACACACTTTTGCCATGTAACCTCAATCCTCCAAATTCCTCCACTTTGGCAAAGAGGATTTTGAAGGATTCAGGGCGGTTAGGGTTAATGCCTTCTTAGTTTTGCCATAAAGGCTCTTGTATCCTCCAAAATTCCGCAGGAACCCAATGACGACATTACCTTTGTACTATAAAAAACACTATCCCCAAAAATAAGACACAAACCTGGGGAAAATCTTTTGCAGTATATCAACAAGTTTCTGCTCTCACAAAGGTTTAGTGTCATTACACTATTTTCATTTTCCTAACTTATGCAAGAGTTTGACCCAAAATAAGTTAAGGCCGGTTCATGCTTCATGCAAATTGCAATGCGAATTTGACGCCATGAAGCATTTGCTGCGAAATTCGGCGTAGTTGAAATGTGTTCAACTTTTGTGAATATGCAGTTTTTGTGAAAACTTGCCCTGACGTCACAAATTTGCTTTCAAGTTCCCTTTTGCGCCAAATATGAACCGGCCAACATTGTCAACATTGTGTATCTAGATATGATTTACATTCATATCACACAGAGTTTAGATCATTAGCAATTTCTTTTGCTAAACAAAAACTTGAGGCATACAATCTCTTTATAGTCTTCTTCCAATAGGCTCACCTTCTATTTTCGTGATGCCATTTCTTCTGTACTTGATCAGCTCTTTTATTCTTGCCCTGATCTCTTTCTCCTCTGGAATGAAAAAATAAATACATACAATTTCAATACCAATATCCACATTATTGAGGGCAATTCATCAAAGACAATGTGAAGATGAGCACATTTTTGGAGTGATGATGAATGTGGTGATGAAATTATCCTCCTGGGCATCTTGAATGAACTTCCCTTGGCTTTTTGTTTCACTTTCCCAGGCTGTACGAAACAGGTGCTTTAGAGTTAAGGAGGATACCAGGTTCCTGGGGTTATCTTTCACTTTTTATTACCCAAAACCCTCTTTGCAGTTCCTGAAAGAGCAAAACAAGATTTGTGTAGTTCCAGACCATTTCCGACAATCAGATTATGGTTGATCCCAGGATCCTTTCAGGGCCAATGATATCAATGGCTAGCGGGAGGTCTTTATTCCTTCATCTTGGACTTACTCTGTAGGTTCTCAAAGAACTCTTCCTGTTCTTTGCCTGTCTGGAATTGGGCCAAAGCTTTCATCTTCTCCTTCAGCTCTGTCTCTTCCTTGCTTGGTTTCTTCTTAGGTACTGCTGCAGAAGTAATGAATTAAAGAAATTTGAATAATAAACAAAAACTTGGCAAACTGAACTCATCCCAAATCCCTCACAAATGTTGTAGATCTTTTAAAGGATGCAAAACACATATCAGTAAACTTGAGTACCGGTCATATTCAGTACAACTACGTTCTCAGCCAATGGAATGCAACAAAAAATGGTCCTCTACCTAGTTTTTCATTGTGCAATCACACTGGATGTGCCCCAGTCACATTAAGTATGCTGCAGGCTCTTGCTCATTCAACTGAAGATCGGTCACACACGTCCTGCATGTACCCCAGACAAACCTTAACCCGGTTTGTTCTCATACCTGGAAATAGCTTTGCAACCAAATTGTACCAGGCCAGATGCCTATCAAACACCAAGGCTTTGGAACAGAAAGGCAATGCCTTGTATTGATGTAGATTGTAGGCTGGCCTCAGGTTGACCTGTATAAACTCCCACGTGGAGTATTTAGGAGAAGAACCAACCAAGAACCAAGAAAACTAGCCACGTGCTATGCACTGTGCAAGAACGAACGTTCATTCTTCGCCAACTGATTTGCATTATTGTAGCTGCGTTAGGTTGTTGTTCGCAGTTCGTACAATGCAAAGCGTGCGGCTAATGTTTATGTTTTGAGCGGCCAGATACCATCACAGATACTATCAACGAATGTCTGGTGTCTGGACCCAGGCTAGTTCCATCGTGGCACAAGCAAATCGCAGGTCGACCTGAGACCAGCCATAGGTCCTTCTGTTCTTTAACTTCACAGTCCATCAAGGATAAAGCTGCAAAGACTTTATTATTAATTTTTATATTCTTACAAAACAAAATCTCAGGCAGTAAAGTTCCAGGTTGGAACCAAAACTACTATAGGCCAACCCTTGGCAACACTAAGGTCATTTCTTCAGTTGATGTACGTTTTGTCTTCCCTGTCCTTAGTTTCAACGGCCATGGCTCGAATATTTTGTTTGGAATTTCCAATCCCAATAAATCTCAGGCAGCTAAGTTCCAGGAACTGGCTCAGCCTTTAAGAGTTAATACCTGGTGTTGCTGTAGATTTTTGGTCCTTCTGATCTTTAGTTTTACTGGCCGTTGAGGACAACGCTGCCGTGATGATGCCAAAATCTCGGGATATCTTCTTCCGTCTCTGTCGCTCCTTGAGCCGACTTGTGTACACATCAACATGAATAAGTTTTAAAGCTGTAAAAACAACACACATAATATGGTGAAAATAACTATATTAACAAGAACTTAATTCAGTTCTTTCAAATTGTATGTGTACACAGAATGTGTATTTGCCTTTAAAAATGATTTATTTGGAAATGTAACATATTAAACATTAAGAATGCCATACTTACTGATATCTAGGTCATCATCTTCATTCGTTACTGCTAAATTGCTAACTAGAGTTTCTGCTTCATTGTCATGCTCCTGAAAAGAAATGAAGGAATAAAAAAGGTCGGCATTTTAAAACAAGAATGACATTTGTCACAAAGAGCATCCAATGTCATTAAAGAATATCAAAGGACGGTGTTAAAATAATGTCAAAACAGCTGATTTCTACAGAACCCAACAACAAAGTATGAAGTCTGCTGATTCCAAAAGAATCCTTCAACAGCAAAATGTGAAGACTATTGAATCCAACAGAATCAAACAGCAGAGTTTGAAGTCTGCTGATTCCAACAGAATCAAACAGCTAAGTTTGAAGCTGCTGATTGCAACAAAATCCGACAACAGCAAATTGTGAAGTCTGCTGATTCCATCTGAATCCACCAACAGCAAAGTATGAAGACTACTGAATCAAACAGAATCCACTAAAAACAAGGTATGAAGTCTGCCGATTCCAACTGAATCCACCAACAGCAAAGTATGAAGACTACTGAATCCAACAGAATCCATCAACAGCAAATTGTAAAGTCTGCTGATTCCAACAGAATCCACCAACAGCATGAAGACTACTGAATCCAACAGAATCCATCAACAGCAAAGTACGAAGACTACTGAATCCAACAGAATCCATGAACGGCAAATTGTGAAGTCTGCTGATTCCAACAGAATCCACCAACAGCAAAGTGGGAAGACTATTGAATCCACAGAATCAAACAAGAAAGTCTGACGTCTGCTGATTCCTCATTCCAACGGAATCCACCAACAGCAATGTGTGAAGCCTGTTCGTTTCAACAAAACCTACCTGCTTTTGGATTTCCTTAAGATTTTTGGTTGTTAAGCTTAAACTAAATTCAGATTAGGTGAAGCTCCATTCCCTAGTCCCTACAATACAATACAATGCTTGACATAAAACCTCTTTAGTGACTGGATGATGTACAAGTTTACTCACCCTTTCGAAGTCATCTCTGAGAGGCATATAACCCAACTCCTGCTGGTCAGCTAATGACATTTCTACTGGTGTAAATGTGGCTCTAAGACTAGGTGAGAGAGGACCTATTGAGAGAAAAGAAAAAAAATTCTTCTGTTTTTAAAGAGATAATGGATCTAGGGGACTCTCTCATATTAGCATAAACCCACTGGTTTGCTAAAGCAGAACAATTCACTACATAAACACAACAAAATATATTAACATATGAAAATTAGTAGTGACACTACACTTCTCAGATGTTCTGGAAAAACTATACAATATGCCAGTATCCTACCTAACACACTGTTAGGAAGACTTTACATTCGAGATGATTTTAAAACCTCTAATACTTATTGCAAAACTGGAAAACCTTGTCTTTCAGTTTGTGACAGCATAACGCATACTTTTTCTGCGCAGATTTTCACTTACAAGTGTTAACATAAGTATCTTTTGAACATTACGTTTGGCATCATTACAAGAATCCGCTGCTGTATTAATTTCTAAGAAAATCCAGGTTAACCTTGCCTAGTTGAGCTGGAGCCAAAAGTCTTAATTTAAGTTATTGTTTTTACTCAGTGACTCGGGGAGTCGGGGAGTCAGTCAGTCAGTCAGTCAGTGACTATAAAGTCATTTAAATGACGATAGGCTGGCCCCTCGGATCCATCAAACACATGACAGTTTTTGTTCAATCTGGAAAGTGGAAAATCTGCACTCTCTATACAGGGTGTCCCCATAAAAGTTGTGCAAGCAGATATATCCTTTAATTTCTTATACCTATTTAACATGAGAATTTCATCTTGATGGAGCATATTAATTATACTTGTGTGTATAATCAGTGAAAATGCCATGGAAATCCGTTCATGCAAACCAGAGATCTAACAGATTGTTAAAGGCTGTGGGATTTTTAGCCATTCCAATGGGATTTACACAGTTAGTGATCAGTGCATCAGATTGTCATGGAACTTTTCACTGTGATGTAAATAAAGTTAACTGTGTAAATCCCATCCCATTGGAATGGTTCAAAAACCCATAGCCTTTTATAATCCGTCAGATTTCTGGTTTGCATGAATGGATTTCAATGGCATTTTTACTGTATATACACAAGAGTATAATTAATATGCTCCATCAAGATGAAATACGCATGTTAAGTAGTTTTGAGAAATTAAAGATATCTGCGTGCACAACTTATTTTGGGACACCCAGTATAATGCTTCATGCTCCGATCAAGTTTCCAAGATTTCTCCAGCTGTCTTTTACCCACTAAAAATGTACCCAATGGATGGATATCAGGTTCTCTGAAGACAAGGGAACAGCAAAACAGACCAATAAGTCCTTACCATCTTCTGGCCCCGTGTGGTCTTGAACTTTGAAGGAAGGCTTTTCTGGAACAGCAGCTGTAAAAAGATTTAAAAATAAACCTATAGTAAAGTTCATGTCAAAAATCTGAAACTATACCTCAAATAGACAAAGAATATCAGTTGTGGGTTGGACAAAACTAAAACGGGTTCTGATCAAGTCAAAATGATTAATTTTTTATCCGGAAACACATTGTTGCTCAGTAGTTACTTGATCTCTCTAAGTCGCTACCAGAGTGTGACATCGCCTCCTCCCCAGGTCAGGCTTACTTCCTCGACAGCAGTTCACACGCATCCCATATGGACAAATTTCACGTACGTTTAACACACAATATCACAGACAACAATTTTACATCCTATTTTTATAGATCTTTTTCACAAATTAGTACCTGAAACGGGTCAAGTGTTTTGCATAAGATTGTCACCACACCAGTTAAAACCACAGTTGTGCTTTTGTTTGCTTTCCAGAACAGATTCAAGCCAATTACAAACTTGGGTTTACAATTGCCACAGCAAAACACTCTGTTCACGTTGCAGTGCACGTGAACCAGTAACCATGGTAGCACTGAGATAGCCTCAGAGTGACATCACGACTTCGGCAATGAATAACATTACAAACCTAAGTCAACGGTTGTAATCGAAATAAATACATGGTTAACTCCAACTCCATCAGTTTGGGCTTGGAACTTTCCTGAGTCCTCCAACATTGACCACTGTGAAGGAACCTAGAGGTAATTCTTTGTGCTTCAACTTCTAAGGAGCCTCAAGCCTGAGCAAAGTGACTGGGCTGTTACTTCTTAAATCCTACAAAATCCTCCAACACCTCCAGCTGGGTTTTGTAGGATCTACATGTAGGAGGGTTAACCCTAACCTCCTTATTCCTCCAAAATCAACCAGGCATTTTTGGAGGATTTTGTATGCCTGTTAAGTGCCCACTGATTCTGGAGGATGCGTTGTCAAGGTCTTAAGCTGTACCATGAGTTGTCAGCAGGGATGTTGTCAACACCATCACAAGTCCAGTCACAAGTAAATCACAAGTCCTTTCACAAGTCCAGTCACTTGTGATTTACTTGTGACTGGACTTGTGATGGACTTGACAACAACCCTGGTTGTCAATGCTTTCCCATGCATACATTTAGGCCTAGATTATACTGTATATCATCCACACTACTTTTGAGTATCATTGGCACTGCCTCAACGTATTAGCAGTGATTGTTGGAGAATTTTGCTGGACTGAGGCAGTGATCACCCCTCTACTGAACACATGCAAAAGAGAATGGATAATTTTAGAGGAGTGAGGCTGTACATGGAGGGAATTGAAGGATTTTGAAGGATTAAAGTTGCATACCAGCAAAAAGGCCTGTGAGGTTAGGGTTAAGGTTATCGAGTAAATTGATTGGGATGTTACGCCCAACTATGGCATGGTCCCAACTATAGTTGGGCAATACCAACTACAGCTAGGATCATCCTAACTATAGGTGGGTCATGCCATCGGGTTGGGACAAAATGTGTGACATATGACCATATTATGAAAAGTATGAATGCCTTGCTTGTAGTTGCTCTACACAATATTGGTTGATGGGTGTTCCACTACTGCAGAAAGTTTTAAATCATTTTAATGTATTTTGCCAAAAATATGAGCACAAATGTCATTCAGACGTAACATTGACACTGTGTCAATGTTACGTCCAAATATTTTATTTGTACCAATTTTTTTAAATTTCTGTAAAACTTTACACACTAAGAAAAGCTTTTGTTATGGCAGTCACGTATCAAATGGAGCAGAAATGATAGCTTGGTTGTGGACGTAACATGGACACCGTGTCAACCCCAAATGTCACACTTCCATTGAGTGATTTGGACACCGTTACGTCCACATTAAGGTATCTTTCTGTTATATTTGAACCCTGACTATACCAAAACAAAAGTTTTTCTTGGTGCATTAGGTGTCCTGTTATACAAGTTGTATATATGCAATGTCAGTTTGGGTAATATTTTACATATGTGTAAAAAACGGCAAAAAAATGACACGGTGCCAATGTTACGTCCAAATAATACATTTTTGCTCATATTTTTTTCAAAGTACATTCAAATGATTTCAAACTTTCTGAAGTATTGAAACACCCTAAGACAAATATTATGTTGAGCAATTGCTTAGAATGCAAAGATACTTTTAATAATATGACCAAATTTATGGATGTAACATGCACTGTGTCCCAACCCGGTGGAATGATCCAGTTAGGAATGGGACTGTCCAAACAATAATTGGGACTGTCCTGACTTTAGTTAGGACCATTGCCATAGTTGGAAATACAACAGAGATGCTGCTCACCTTTGCCCAGGTTACCGTGTATATAATTGCTGTCATAATGCTCCCTGGCTTCCGTTGGGGATTTGGAACCTATGTGACTTGCAACATCCGCCCTAGGTAAAAGATAATGGAGATCAAGTCAATATGGAATGTATTCTGAAATAAGAGCTTTCAAAAACCTTGGCTTAGTGTCGGCTCTGTACGTAAACAAGAGAGGGCGCTTTTTGACTTCTTTCCAGAGCCCTGTGGATGGGACACACCGCATGTGCTACTGGTTCACAACCGTGTAGCGCGAAGTACGCACGGCTAATTTAATTCTGAATGTGCACAATGCCCTAGCATCTTCAGGGAGTAAGGTGCAGGTGTCATTGGCAATGCGTTCAAATGTCTCTCCCAGTGGTCTCCCCCAACTCTGCCTTTCTTACCATTGGTGGTGCACCTGTGCAAGGAGACCGTGAGGCTTGGGCTTTATTCCTGGGTTTAGAATCATTACAAAGCCTTTAACATCCAAATATTTGATGCTGCTGGGGCAGAACAAAGACCGATGTTCTGTCAGAGTCCTCCGATTCAGGTGCCTTGAATATCCTCCAGCCAAAGCCATTGGGGCAATTCCAGTGTTATGAAAGGAAGTGTAATGTTTGTGACAGGGACAATTAACCATGATATCTAATTAATGATTTAGAGAAATGAACCAAAACGCCTAGTCTGTAATCTCCTTGACCATAGATGTATAAGATTTGAAAAATAAATTTTCAGGTTTATTCACTGAGCTCTTAAAAGATCTGTAACGGACATTACATAACGCTGGAATTGACCATAAACAACACAAAGGTTTACGGAAACCCTCATGAGAAGCTACATTATGCAGCGGAATGTGTGCTGTCTGCTTGTTGCTGAGCATGGCCTGTCAGTCAAGCTTCCAAATGCTAGTTCCATCCACCCTCATAAAATGACATGTGACAAATGACGTTTGCAGTACCTGCAGCCGATTTCACAAAACTTTACGCAATGGCATAAGGCCAAATAAAAAAAAAACATGTTTAGCGTCCAGCCTTTTTGAAAAAAAGGAAGGAGGCCCTTCTCCCCCCCCCCCTCCAAGAAAATGACTGGCTGGGCTGTTTTTCAAGATGGCCATCAGCTTTTTTTTTTTAAATGGCCGCCACTTGAACTCAGGAAATGACATATCAGCTTTATATGGGCTAGATGCAACAGACAAAGAGGCCAAAATGATGTCACTGTTTAAAATTTATCATTTTTTCGGTTTTTTTTTCAAAAAAGAAAAGAAAAAAAGAAGGCAGCCTCCAAAAGGAAGCGGGCTGGGACGCTAAACATGTTTTATGGTTTTATTTGGCATAACTCCCCTTGCACCACAATTTATTGGGTAAGTTGTGCAACACTTCACGCTGCACAACATTTCAGTTATGACACATTTCGCAAAAGTTTCAGTGTGTAAATTCGCAACAAATTATGGCGTAACTTGCACAATCATTTAGGTGGCGTAAGTTGTGGCGTAGCAACTGAAAATGAACTATTTTACTAGCAAATCGTTATCGTCGCGGAGCCTGTCATTGCACAACTTATCAAGGTTGATACAAGACACTCACAGCTTTGTGTTTGAAGTAAATAATTGCTATTTTACTCGTAACCCAATTTTTAGAGTTGCCGCATGATTCCGAAGAAACTTGGGCAAACTATTTTTAAACTGGTGGGCGAAGGTAATTTAATGACTGTTTCGTGACTGAACAAAATCACACAAACAGCCGTCGTAAATGCTGTTATTATCCTCGTCCAAGTTGTTTTGATTATTTAAAACATTGTGCAGCTTCGCCAAGTTTCTTGAAAGCGATCATACGTTTATTGTGCAGCTGTGCAACAAATTTGTTGTGTAAGTCCTAGGCATGGTGTAAGTTACGCACTGTTTTGTGACTTCGGCTGCTGATGCGATGAATTTTAGTTGTACATGTGAGGTCACCAACTTATTTCATGAGCAAAAACGATTTTCACCTCCACTCCATAAAACTACAACAAATAATTTTTTTCTTCTTCGGATTTGCATGCAGGTTGATTGTATTCAGTTCGGGGCCACTTTTCACTTACCAATTTCCAAAGCCGAATGTTTCTATTGCATCTAGTAATAAATACTCCTCGCTCATACTCCATTCTTTGTCACCACAGGCTAGAAGTGCATTGTCCTAATATATCAAAAAAGAAACATTGGATGGTAGTTACCGTAACTGGAATATCAGACTCTCATTATGCACAGCTTACTTTGGTTCAATGGGCAGTAAATGCTTTCACAGTCTACTGGCAAGCAAGTGTCAAACTTAACCCTAACTGCCCTGGCCCTCTTGGCTAGGAACCATCCGCAATCCTGCAAGATCCTCCAATGGCCACCATGTAAAAATTGAACTCAGCCTCAATCCTAAAAAAATCACGTGTTATTTCTTGTAATTGTTCAGTGGAGGAGTGACCACTGCCCCAGTCCTTCACAATCCTCCAACAATCACGGTTAATGGGTTGAAGCAGTGCTGATGACATTCAGAAGCAGTGCGGATGATATTGAGCATAATGCTGGTCTCAATTATGCACGGCTGAACATAAATGTTGGGAACAGCCTACGAACTCGACACAATGCATTCTCCAAAACCGCCTGGAGGATTTTGGAGGATTGAGGAGGGTTAGGGTTAAGCTCATGAAGTAAAATGTGGAAGGCTTTGCAAATGCACATTTATACATAAAATGCATGTACATGTACACGTATCCAATAGCTGTTCCCCACGTGCTGTAGGCCTATCTCTTTGGAATTCCTTGCCTGGAATTATCTTTGGAATTATCTCTCCTGTTTCAAGAGGAATGTTAATTCCTTCCTTCAGTTTTCCTGAGTACCTACTCTTCTTAAATCTCTTGTAGCCCTGCACCTTGAGTGGCTTTTAGCCTTGTTCAGGGCGAATATGCATCAAAACGAAATCTCTTTTGATATGTAAAAACATGGCTCTGAGGAAGACCAGTGGGTTAACCCTTGGAATGTTGCAATCCATACGCTATGAGCTTTACCCAATCCCGAGTTCAGCATTTTAATTAGAGCATTCTGATTGAAACTCAGGAGTATCCAGAGTGCAGAAAAAATGCAAAACAAAGTCAGTCCAACTGCTAATCAAACTAAAAACATCCAAATCCATGTTAAAAATGAGGTTGTAAGTATTTCACCAGCCAAGTTGGAGGTTTCAATTCAAATATCAAAATGGATTTTTGTCAATTCTTTTCACCACAGACAGAAGCAAAGTGAGCATCACACTAAACTGGCACACATTCTTTAAATGCATGGAAAAAGATTTGGTACTACATTTACACGTAGATGCTTTTTTGACATACATGTACTTTACTTACAAAGTGCAGTATAAATGAAAGATTGGTAAAGTTGTTCATTGGCCATTTTTTTCCCACTGCGGTAAAACACGCTGTGGGCTTGAGCTGCTTATATGTATGTTGGTTGGTGGGTGGGTTGGTTGGTGGGTTGATGGGTGGGTTGGTGGGTTGGTTGGTGGACACTTTACTCGGCCATATATTGTATTCATACAACTCAAATATTACAGCTTTGCATTTGAAGACCAGTTTTGCAAACACTGTTGCGCATGCGTCTAATTTGCATACTTTTTGCATATTAGATCACGCCCCATTCCTTTTTGTTTTCAGTACTCGCGAGGTACCGGTACGGCCCGGGTGGGGGGACGGTGCTGTATAGCTGTCTTCACATGTTATACCCTCGCTGCAACCCAGCTGCCGTGGGTTGTACCACTTGGTACTTGTTTTGTTTTGTATTGCATGTTTTTACTAGCTTCAGTTTTTGGGCTCTCAATAAACAGCATGAGGAGTCTCACAGTTTTAGACTAGTGTTTTGACACAGGTTCTTCTGACTTTGCCCTTAGTCTCTTCTCAATACCACCTTTTTACCTCTTACAAGGGATAACTTTCACAGTGCACCCAAAACCCTGCACAGTGTACCAACAACATGAGAGACCCCATCTTATATTTTCTCATACATTCCCAAATTAAAATCTGTAACAATTAAAATATTCAACAACAAAAAATAATCCTAACCTTCCCAAATCCTGCAAAATCCTCTTTGCAAAATGGAGGATTTTGCAGGATTGAGGCTATGTGGCAAAAATGTGAAACTGATTTCGGAGGATGCACTGTGTCTTAGGCCGGACCTTGTGTTGTTAATGCTCAGTTGCGCATAAATTTGGGCCTATATTATACTTGAAATCCTCCGCACTGCTCCAGGATGTCACTGGCTCTGCCTCAACAGATTGACACTGATTGCCGAAAGATTTGGTAGGATTGAGACAGTGGTCACCCTTCCAAAGCCCACATTCCAGAAATAACGGAGGATTTTGGAGGATTGAGGCTGTATGCTATTTTTACATGGAGTCAGTTGGAGGATATTGCAGGATTGAGGTTACGTCCTAGCACAAATGCCTAGGGAGTAAAGGTTAAAATGAACAAAATTGGTCACTTAAAAGCCTTGTCTGCTCAATCAACCAAAAAGCTTTTACACTGTATATCTGATTAAATCTTATGAGATTCCACAGGGGTATGAGTAAGAAGATGCCCCAAAACGTTACTTCAAGTTTCCAGCATCCTTTGCATGGACGGTTTACTTCAGTGTTGTAGTCGAGACCGGATAGTCCGAGACCGAGACCAAGACCGAGACCTGAATTTGCGAGACCGAGACCGAGACCGAGACCAGCCCCTTCAAGGCGGACCGAGACCGAGACCGAAATGGTCCGAGACCGAGACCGAGACCGCGGATAATAAATAACAATAATCTAAATAAACATCAAGACACTAATTACAGCTGAACAGTCTGTCCTTGAGATGTTGATGTTCATGGGGATGTGAAGGAAGTGATTGAAAGTTAGGAATCACTTGTACCTGCTTAAGTGTGTCATGCGAGTGCTCTTCGTGTTTGCTTCATGCCATAAATTACAGCATGGCAACAGAATTTGTTATTGTCCCAATCATTAAAAAAATTGGAAGCAACCTAATTTAAAGAAGGGGAAAACCTTATTTGATGAACTCCATATATTTTTGCCACTTAAATTTTTTTTTTTTTTTTACAAATATTGTTTAACTACTATAAAGTGTAAATCTGATGAAGAAACTTTAACTTAGGAGTACGACAATTTGTACTAGTTTTTGCAAAACTTGAACATGTTGAAACTTGACATAAGTAAAAAAATTAAAGGTGGATGTTTCATCTGTTATAGGAACTCGGACCCTAAACTCCACAGCCACCCCTTGGTTTCAGCAATGACCACTAACGGATATTTAAATGCAACTTTAATTTTACATTGGACCTCCTTGTAAACCTGATTCGAAAAAAATTTGGAGCAAGAAAATATTGATTTATTTCAGTCATGGAATATAGATTTGTACAAAAAAAATTGAGAGATGGTGGCCGGATATGGATTGATCTGCCCCCCCCCCCCACACATCCCTCTTTGTGATTCTCCTTCCAACCCTGCATGTTTGTGTGTCCCCTACATGTTTGTTTCTTGTTTATCTGTCATTTACCTCTGAAGAAGGCCTGGCTAAGGCTGAAATGTAATGCCACTTTATTTTTGTTTAATGTCAATAACGTTACATATACTATAGAAGATTGATGAACCATATTTGCCTGATCTATCTTCTGTTATTCAGCCCGCCGTCATCATCGTCATTAGCCTATTTGAGAATATGGCCGACACAATAGAGATGTACTTTTGGGATTCATGGCTCAGTGCGCACGCCTCTCTGTGTTTTGTACCGTGCCAGCGTATCGCCTGCATCGGCTACTTTGCCGGGCGATTTACTTGAATATTTTAGTGATTAACAAGTACGACATATTGCCAATATATTAATAGTTTATTGTGATGGCCGTAAACAGCATATAGCGATTAATGGAACACAATTCTTCCCGACTCATGCAAATGCAATCGACATTTAGGAAGGAGACGAGGCAGGCAATTAGACTCTATTTTTGTGTGACTATGGCAGTAGCTCAATTTGTGTTTATCACAGATGAAAAGATGAATACATGGCGAGTCAAAAAGAAAGTGACAGTATGAAAAAAAATAAAATGGCACGCTCCATTTTGTAAAAAAATACAATTGGGATAAAGAACATGTTATTGAGTAGTAACTGTGAACATTTCACGTAATTTGCATACTCTATTCCCAAGTCGTGTCTATTTTAATAAAGAGATCACAAAATTCAGCTGTCCACCACTAATACCAATTTAACGGTCTACAAATTGATGAATATCCATTAATAAATATAATGAAAAAAAAACCTTTTCCCGCCTCCACGAATAAAGGAAAAATTGAAAAGGAAAATAGAAAAAAATCACCAATATTTCTAGGGAAAAAGTGTTGAATTGTTCCCAATATTCAAAATACAAAATCTGACCGTAAAAATAATGTTTCAGTCTTGATTCATAAGATTTAAATCTCAGTTGTATTTGGAATCAATGAGGATGGCTATAAAGTGCTTGTTTCAACAGATCGTCCCACAATAAAAACGAGAAATAAGAAGAGGAGCAATGGTTATTGGACTATGCCACACTCACTAGAAAGTGAAGAGAGACATGTCCATTAGCATCACACTGCAGTCACATTTGCCCTAAACTGATTCTTTACTTAACCCTATGGGCTGGGGGCGGAATCCGCCCCCTCACTTTTTGGCTGGTCTCGACTCGAGACCAGCCAAAATATCGAGACCAAAGAGGACCGAGACCGAGACCAAGACCGAGACCACAGCTCCCAAGACCAAGACCAAGACCGAGACCGGCAAAAAGTGGTCTCAAGACCGAGACCGAGACCGGTCTCGAGACCTACAACACTGGTTTACTTACAATAATTTGATAGTCATGGGTTCTTTGATGGGATCCTAGCTCAGCACCAGCTGAAAAACACTGCAATAAAACAACAACAATACATATATATTAACAACAGTAAACAACATCACAAAGCTGTACTAAATTCACCAATGCTGTTAACAACTTCTGGATTGAATTGGTTGGTTTTGGGTTGAGATTAAATTGCAATTGGGACTGTTTAAATCCTTCGCATGGAATACCACCATTGATATGCAGTTAATACTGGATATGTTACACCCCAACTATATCATTGGCCCCAACTAAGACAGTATTCAAATATAACTTGGTTTGAGGGTGGACAGTCAATATTAGCTCCCCTTGGTATTGGAAGTTGACAAACTAGTTCCCTCGACGAAACTAGTTCCCTCGACGAAACTAGTTTGTCAACTTCCAATACCAAGGGGAGCTAATATTGACTATTCACCTAAACCAAGTTATATTTGTTTTACTAAACCTCATACGTATTCAGTTGCTGAATTTTCCTGTTGCAGTATGCACTGCACGGGCATAAATATTCAGAGAAACTTGTACAGCTCACCAGAAGTATATTACCGTAATTTTCGGAATATAAGCCGCGCGGAGTATAAGCCGCAGCACGCAAAAATCTGCAAATTAAGATTTGAAGTCGGCATATAAGCCGCACCGGCGTATACATAAGCTGCACCGTCTACCGACCTACCGGTAGTGGTTTCAATTTTGTAAGGCCTCCAAATTCTAGTCAAAATGCTCTGAACCAGTTACATTTACACTACTATACAGAAGCTATAAAAAGGGCCATAAAAGTTATATCAAATCATTTACAATCGATACTCTTACAAACAAACATGGAAATTGATGATGAGAAATAAACACCGGGAATTGCTGCCGGTTGCCCCATCTGGTCCCCGGCCTTAAAAGTCAGTGCATGGCCCGGCAGCCTGCGCCGCGCCGGTGAATGACAACATTTTCCCGCAGCACTGAGCTAAGAGAGTATGCAACCCACCGTGTTTCGTCCGACTGGAGCGCTACAAATCTGGATTTGTGGCAACAGATGCCGATTGGTTTAGTCCTAAGAATAAACAGGTCCGTTTTTACCTCAAAACTTATCAAATTTTTGTGATTACTAACGAGTAGTAGAAACTTCAAGTTTCGATCGTAACTTTCTTCGGAAATAGTCAAAACGATGCTGACATTTTTACGGACGAATCCATTAATTTCGAAAGGGGTAATTTAGCCCCTGTTTTTGAGTTTTACATCATTTCTTGAATATATTGCAAGAAAAAAAATTATATTGTGACGTTGAATAACTGATTATAGAATAAGGAAATGTTTTGAACACCATTAAAAGTATTAGTCGTCTTTTTTTCTTGTTTTAAGCAGCGGAAATATTGGTAATTATTGTTACCAAGAAAGTACACCCCTTTATTACCACAAATGGTGTGGTCCGCTAGCGCATATGGGGAAAGGAAAGCATGTTGCACTAGTATCACGTACAGCTGGTCGCGAGCATTGAAGACTGGTTTCACCGTACTTTTTACCGCTCGGTACCTTTACGTGGGACGTGGTTTCGGTTTGTTAATGACTTTCTTAATTGATAATTCATTTCAGCAACAGATCTTTTCTTATACCAGTACATTAAATACACATTTGAATTCATTTTTATTCTTCAAGGCTCGGCGTATAAGCCGCCCTGCGTATAAGCCGCAGTAAACATTTTCATGGGCAAAATCAACGTATAAGCCGTGGCTTATATTCCAAAAATTATGGTATTACTCAACCTCAGAAAACTTCAGTTGGTATGTATTTACAGTAGCTCCTCAGAGTCTACACTGCATTGTGAAAAACTTTTTTAGTAGAGGGGACATCTTTATTGTCCACAATATTCTCAAGTTCGGGGAAACGCTAATTAGCATTTAAGTGTGACGCTATACCGCCATCTTTCCATGTGTAACTAGTTAGGGCGATGTTCGCCCTGCGCACTACACCCATGCGACAGTTCCATGATTGCTGCATAAAGCGCATGTGTAGTAGACTGTCACACGGGTAACCTGTGCGACAGTCTACTACGCATGCATATTTACCCTGTGCGTGAATACTCACGCGTGCTTGGTAAACAGCAAAAATAGCATCTGACACGTGATGGTGAATGGACCAGTGAGAATTCGGCTCTCAATCATGAGTATGTATGAGGTATACCCATCCAGTTGGAATGATGATTTGTTCTGCCATAACAGCACATTATAGTTACGAGACACATCTGGGTCATTCTACAAATTTGGGGTCCACTTTTTTTTCCTGTCCCTGTTACATCTGACATCTATGATTGTATAATTCTGATGCACTCCTTAATGCAGTCATCCTCCAAGAGTGATTATGAATAGCAAACTACCTACCCAACAAATAAACAATCATTTGAAGTCATTCTTAACCCTAACCGCCCTGAATCCTCCAAAATCCTTTTTGCAAATTGGAGGAATTTGCAGGATTGAGGATACATGGCAAAAGTGCGGTACTGATTTCGGAGTATGCACTGTGTCAAGGTCTTGGGCCAGACCTTGTGTTGTTTATGGTCAGCCGTGCATAAATTTAGTCCTTGATTTTACTTGAAATCCTCCGCACTGCTCCAAGATGTCACTGCCTCTGCCTCAACCTATTGACAGTCATAGCCGGAGGATTTTGCAGGATTCAGGCAGTGGTCACCCCTCCATGGACCATATTCAAGAAATAACGGAGGAATTTGCAGGATTGAGGCTATATGCTATTTTTCCATGAGGCCAATTGGAGGATTTTGCAGGATTGAGGCTACATCCTAGCAAAAAGGCCTAGGGAGTTAGGGTTAATGATACTTGAATGGCAAATTACAAAGTACCAAGGTAACAGGGACAGGGAAAATGTCACACTTTGTACCCCAAATTTATAGAATGACCCATCTAGATTGTTTGCACTGCAACAACCTTGTAGATGGTTCAATGGGGCTACGCATGAGTAGGCTTCTTGTGCATTCACTGTTAATGAATTAACAAATTATTTATCAAATTGGTGACCAATAACAATGCCCAATGTAACTTGTCCTATCTGTAAGTGTAAGAATAGAAAATAAATGCTGTTTATAATCTGTGATCGAAAGAGTAAGCTTAGTCTAAAATTTGGGGTCCGTCAATACTGTGTATGAGAGTCCCAAAATGTAAGGTATTGGAAACATGCAATGCAAGAAAATAGACTGGCACCTGAAACAACCAGTCTAACAACCCTTCAGTACTGCATCAATCAACTCAGACTGGGACCTGGAGCGCTCTGAAACGTGCAAAACTAAATCAGGCCAACTTTACTTACTCTTTAGCCAGCAAATTTCTCCAAAAATTCCATTGGGCAAGGAAAAGGTCCTCAGTATTTCACTAACCAAGTTTGCAGACTCAATTCAATTTTTATAGGAGACTTTTCTTCAATATTTTACACATGAGAGGGAAGTCAAGTGATTTCAAAATGAGGCTAAAGACTAGACTGGTACATGTCCAACAATGGTCAAACTATTTGAAAAGACTGACCTCTTCATTCAGTGTCATTTAGTCTGGTGGCTGACTATGGAGAAATGTGTAGTAAATAGACACTAGGTCCCGGTTCATGCTACTAGTTTCTTTTGGCGCAGTTGATTGATTGTCTGTCTGTCCATAGGCTGGGGAACAAAAGCTTATGCTTCACCCCGGACCTAGATGCTGCCATTTAGTTAATGCTCACTATTGTAAATATATGTACATGAATTGCCAATTTGAATATACAACATTATGTATCGTTCTTTATGCAGCATCAAAATAAATGTATGTATCAGTACTGAAGCGGTGTTGGACTGGATGTTTCAGGTGCCAGTCTATTTTTCTTGTTTTGCATGTTTTCAATACCTGAAGTTTTGGGACTCTCATACACAGTATTGAGAGTCCCAAATGTTCAGACTACAATCAACTGTGCCAAAATAACATGCACCCTGTTTGGACATGTACCAGTCTAGTCTTTGGCCTCAAATTGATATCACTTGACTTCCCTCTCAGGTGCAAAATATTGAAGAAAAGTCTCCTTTAAAATTTAATTGAGTCTGCAAACTTGGTTGGTGAAATACTGAGGACCTTGTCTTTGCCTCATGAAAATTTGAAGAATTTTGTTAGCCAAAGAGTGAGTAAAGTTGGCCTGATTTCATTTTGCATGTTTTTCAACTCTCAAAGTCCCAGTCTTGAGTAGGCTAAGCTTAGCATGCTGATTGGCTAAGCTCACCTACATCAAAAAAGGAGGCGTGGCCAAGTAAAGTAATGGTATAAAATAGAATAGCCACACGCAAGTGTAAAATGCAAGTCCCAATGCAACAGAATTTAGTGCTAGCTGCCTGGCGACGCCTCCTTTTTAACACCTGAAGCTCAGGCAGCTTGCAAACTGTAGCAAAAGTTTGATTTTTTTTTTCATATTGAATGCATTCGTTTTGAGAAGTGTTTACGAAGGGTACTGAAAGAGAAAAGCAAGAAAGTCTTTAAGATTCAGATAGAACACCAAGTGAAATGACGTTCAGTAGAAAAAGAACAAGCCCTTCTTTTCTTGAAAGAGACAAATATTTTTCTCACAACAAAAACTACAAGTGCCGGATGATCAGAAAACAATGTGATGAGATTCTTTCCATGCAAATAAATTAAGGAGTATGTGTTGATACACTCAAAAGTTCACAAGTGGATACAAGAAAATACCCATGATACATAAATAATAGGAAGATGCAACGAAGTTCCAGGTAATTTGGTAGAAAAATGGAATCACAGGAATTCTTCCCAAAGTACTACAACTGCAAAAGCGATTAAAAAAATGCACATGTACAAAAATTCACAAAAAGTAGCACTGCATGTTCTAGTATGATGGTGTTTTACAATGCAAACAGACGCTGTGGGGCCATAGCACAGTGTATGCACCATACATTAATGCAGGCAGGAAATAGTGCTTCAATGCACAAACACACTGCCTGCACACAGTCCCCATAGTCTGTATTGTGCGTACGCTATACCATTACCTGTAAACAAAGGTCGAAGTCCGTGCACTCGCAACATCGCACGCTGAACGCCTTTAGCTCGTCCTGGCAGTAGTTGCAGTAGAACCGCGTAGGCGTTTCTGAAACAAAAAAGAACATCGAGAGGGATGCATAAGGCTAGGGCACGTAAATACCCCAGAAATATCCAAGGAATGTCTAAGAAAGAGGAGGCAACTTACCGGCCATCTTCTGCTTCCTCACTCGGAATCGCCCCATGACCGCTGCACTAATGACGTCAGATGACCTTGGCCTGGGGCTATGCAACGTAACGTCTGGTTATACTGACGGTTACCAGCGTAGTATCCCATCTGATTGTACATAAAATATTTGCTGGCACTGGTGATCTGAAACCGAGAACTCTTTCACATATATTTATAGCATTAATAGCTGGGCACCATGCTATTCAATGAACATGACATCGGATATCAGCGTTGGCTATTTTTAATATGAAAACATAGGGAATTCCTTGATCAATCTATCTTTATTTAGGGCTCCAGCAGGAAGGATTGTGGCTACCGAAGTTGTGAAGATGGATTCTGTAACCGTTTCTATCGAATCGCTGCAGGAGTTTCAAGTACAAGAGGTGTCTCTCGATGGACAGGAGACATATACTAAGTATGTTTCAAAATTGGTCTGAATCAGATGGAAACTTAGACCAGAAATCTTCAAACTTGTTTGTCATGTTTGTAAACAAGTTGAACATCATGTTGAATATAAATCTAACGCAGTGGCTATTGTTACGGCAGCCGTAACGCATTTCCCATTTTCTATCGTTACGGTAGACTGCAACTTTTATAAAAACATGACAAGAAAATATAAAATTAGAAGGAAAAAAGTGAATTTGAACGTTATGAAATTCGGACTTTATTTCCCTTTTAAAAAAAATCCTCCAAAGCCTCAGGTTAGAAAAGGAAAAAAATTCTAGTGCAAAACTGAGATTCGAACCCGCAACCTCGCAGTGCGAAATCCTACCCTCAATCGACTGAGCTGTCGCACTGCTCGCTAAAACGTGTGGAAACAAATAATTATATACCTGCATGCGTATCAAAAAAGTATCGTAGAGGGCGCTAAACAACGACTGCCGTAACGATAGCCACTTCGTAAATCTAAATGTTGAAATCTGCATTTTCAGGTTATGCATCAGGTTATTAACTAATATCTGTAAAATGTAGTGAAGGCACAGCTTGTTATGAATACCTTAGGTTAGTAAATAAAGAAAACAAAGCGTTAACCTGTTAACCGTGAACTGGTCCCGCATTTTTTTCGAATATCTGTTATTTTAAGCCCGGTTCGTATTACTTCATGCGAATGCGAAGTGAAATTTGTGACGTCAACAATACGTTCGAAGCGCGTCCACCATTGTTGACGACATGAATTTCGCTTCGCACTTGTTTTCGCGTGAAGTATGAACCGGGCTTAAAGAGATTGCCCCTGAAAAAAAGTTGCGTGTTATTTATGCCAACACTAATTGTTGTGTTTATTGTAACATTGACAAAAAAGGAAGGGCCGGTACTCGGTAGGTAAGGAAGCTTTATATTTTTTTTAATTTTTGGCTATTCCGAAACTTTTGCAGAAAAAAAACTTGTTATTCATCTGTTTGCTACTTCTGCTTTTTCTTCCTTGTTATTCTATCCCAAATTCCATAAACTTTATACATGTTTATTTTGGGGGTCACTTTTGAGAGTAAACAAACTTCAATCTTGATGAAACATAGACTAACACCCCATAGTAAAGTCGTGCATGGACAAGTGATGACATCACATGTCATGTGACGTCATCTTAAAGGTGCAATTTCCAGTGGCCTATATCTGGAGAACTACATGTACAAGGACGATTGGATTAAAAGTTTGTATGTACACATACAGGGATATGTTATAGATGAAAATTGAAGTGACGTCATGATGACGTCATCATGTGAATATTTATTGCATTTTCTTTTGGTCATCTGTCTGATCTGCATATCCCAGGAACATGTACATTCCAAATTATTTTTGAACGGGCTTAAATATTAGGTTTTGTATGTCATAGATTTGTTTGAAACACATATGTTCGATAGTGATTAAACTTGGTGGGTAGGTAGGTAGATAGTGAAAATAGTATTCAAAATCTGAAATGACATCATGATGACATTATCAACAGATTGTTTAATTAATTTTAAAAATGTTGACATATTTTTCTAATTGCAACAATTTGAAATGAAGTGCAATCACATTGACTTCAAATAGGCACAGACTAAGATCATAAGCTAAAGTTGGTTTTAGAAGCAAGTGACATCATGATGACGTCATCATTGGTCATGTAACATCATCTTGAAGGTGCATAATTTAAAGTTCTAAATATCCAGAGATTTTCAAGGCCAATTTGGGTTGAAACTTTATACATAGTCAAGTATGTGTTTTATAGATGAAAATTTAAATGACATCATGATGACATCATCATGTGATTTTTAATTGATTTTTATTTTTTTCATCTTATCTACATATCTTACGAACGAAAGATGCTTATATTCTAAATTCTTTTTGTAAGAGTTTTGGAAGGTCAAAGATATATGCCCACAAATTTGGAGAAATGTGTGAGAAATATTGTAACATGGCCCATAGGGTTGAGGAATAAAGATTGATACTAGATGCTTTTGCATTCCTATAACATTATATTTTTATGTACATGTACATCCTTACTTTTTTCCGACAGACCTCTGTCCATGTCGGAGAGCCTTGCCAAGCTTGCCCATAAGATTGATTTTACCAAACCGGAGGGTGAGGAGATAGACGGCGCTCTTGCTGATGAGGATAAAGACACAAAGAAGGCTGACGTCAAGGAGGAATCGCCAGCAGTGCAAGCCGTACAGTGGCCCTGGGAATCGGTGCACAGTAAACTCAGGTCAGAATAAAATCCAGTTTCGATTGATATCAGCCCGACGCAAAATTCCATCTTATAAATAGTTTATGCGGTACCTGCTGCTATGCACATCAGATTCGAACCAGCCAACCGACCCCGTTAGCTCGGTGGTCGAGTGGTAAGACGTCTGCACTAGAAAGCAGGAGTTCGTGGGTTCGAGTCCCACCCGAGTGATTTTTTGGAACTTTCACTCGGGAGGTATACAGTTTTTAAATGTCGGTGAAGGGCAAAAACCTAATTTGATACAGTTTCATGGTTCGCCCATGAGGCATTTTCTGATATTTACCTTGTAAAATTTCCAAACAAAAACTGCTCATTTCAATTTTGAACTGTGCATTCTCAGTTGATGAAGGAATTTGACACACATGTGACAGTTCGACATTGAATGTATAGGGCCAAGTTAAATTATAAACTAGTTTCTTGTCTCCGCCGCTTCCTTTTTCCCAAGCGCCTCCTTTTTTTTAATTTTTTTTTATTTTTAAATTCCTACGTTAGCAATATGTTTTGCACATGTATTTTCAATATATTTTCTTTTTATTTGTTTCCAACAAATTGTAGCAGTGTGGAAAGGGTTGGGGGTCCTTTGGACTCAATTTATCAGTAAAAGAGTCAAGACAATGGTAGCCATCTTGGAAATCTGCCATCTTTGGGAAAAAGAAGAGAAAAGCTCCGACAAGAAACTATTTGTTTTTAATTTTTGTTTTAATCTGAGCCGGTTTTGTGTCCAATTTCACCCTCTGGAAAAGTATGTTAGCCGTATGCTGATCAGAACAAGACTGGGCAAGTCTAATAAAGCTGGTCCCAAAGTGCACACAATTTTATTTAATTTATCTAGTAGAATAGGTAACCATTCTAATTCCCAATTGACAGTCAGTCAGATAGAGACCTACTTAAGCAAGTCTAATTTATTACTATGCAGGTTTTTTTTTTTTAACTTTGTAAATATGCCCCCTGAAATGCAAACGTTGGAATGATTGATCATTTTTTTGGGGTTCATTTGCATGCTTCCAAATCTGTCGTGCAGTCATTTTTGATTTATAGCAATATTAGTAAAATATTAGACCTTGGTCTTTCAAACGCCGCTTTGCTTTTTTGAAATTGGATATTCCGAAGCGAAGTTATTGAATTTTGAAATCGGACAATTGTCAGAAATGTCAAAAATGAGAAATAACCATTTAAAGTTTGAGTTTAGTGAAAAAAAATCATTTGTTGATGAAATTTCAGTTTGAAATTTTAACATAACATTTGTAACATTAAGAGTGTCACAAATTTCAAAAAATTCAGAAAATCTTAAAAAATCATTGAAAATCACCCCAAGTCATTTTGAAGCTGTTTCTCCATTTGTAGCTCTGCCTGGTTTTGTCACGCCACTTATCAAGATAATTACAAAATAAATCACCAAAGTGATGTTTTTCAGTGTGAACCCAATCGCCAAAATAATTTTTTTTTTAAATATCAATATTGTGCCTTGTACTTCTAGGTGTGCCCTGACTGAAATCAGCGTGTTGTCAGACATCTTGCACATTTGCCGATGGGCTAAGGATCCTCGTTACATGGTGCTAGATCCTGTCTCCCAAGAACCAACACAATCCAAGCAAATCATTCAGCTCTTGGACAAGAAAAAGGTAAATAAGGACTTTTAATTGAAATTTAACTGCAAAAAATCACCAAAATGCATTGAACCTGAAACATTTCAACAATTTACAATTTGAATTTGTAGTTCTGTTTTTCCCCCTCCAAGTACGTTTAACAAACATGGACATAAGTTGAACCCAAGCTCCACAACAGCAAAGAATTTATTTTTCCCTTTCTTTGATTTTATGTCATTATTGAAAAGGTTAAACATCAATTCTGAGAATGGAATTAAATTTATAAGTTCTTTTTAACAGAGAAAAACAATTTCAGCCAATGATTCATGAATACAATTTTTAAAAATGGCTACATGTTGATCACCATTGACTTTGTAGATCTCAATTTTACTTTAAAGGGTGCATGCGATGAATTTTTCTTAGGTTTTTTTCGTGCAACTTTCTACTCTTAAATGTATGAAAACCATTTGACACCCTTTTCAATAATTTTATTAAAAAGTGACTTCTTTAGACATTTTGATAAAAATTCCAGGCTTTACAAGACAACTGAGGGCGCTGTTGCTGTGATGTCATTTCAAGAAGACACTATTCAGTTTAGGGGTTTTCTGTTCAAATTGTGAACCCAAAATGTTCTCATTGAAAACATTTGTGAGAAAAGTTTGTTCATTGGCTTACTGCCATGTACTAACACAAAAACGAATCACCAAGGAAAAATAAATTTACGGAACAGCAAAATATCCAAAATTCTAGCAAATTTTGTGCTGAAATAGCTGTAACATTGAGGTTTCTGCCTGGAATGACATCACAGTTTTGCTCATGAGTATGGACATTTGTATTAGCATAAGGGCAATTCCACACCAAAGTGGACATGACACCAAAAAATTCAAATACATTTGACTTAAACAAATTTGGCATCAAATGAAAGCTAAAAGTCTATATTTTCAAGATTTGAAGTCGGAATTTTATTTTTTATACATTTCGGTACCAAAAACTAGGATTATGTAATAATCCTGTTTTAATCCTAAAAATGTGATTAATAGTGATATGAAAGTATTCTACCAATAGACACACAAAAATATGTACTAATGCCATCAGTTTCTGTCATGAGAAAGTATTGGTCTTGAAAAACCGACTAAAACTTGTTTTTAACATTTTGCGTAATTTGTTTCGCTTCAGTGACTTCTAATATTTCAGCCTTCGAAAATGTCCTTCCGTTACCGAAAAAATACATATTTTTAATTTATTTTTAAAACTTGCAGTATGAATGCATTGAAAGTTATTGTGCAAAGCAAGTTTAGGTAGGCCTTCAATATGACATTATAACTGACACTGCTGTACTTCTCGTTTTTTAATTACAATTAATTAAATCACGTCCTTCCGTTACCAAATTGGTAACGGAAGGACGGTAACGGAAGGACAAATCGTATTTTTATCAAATGTTACGACATTTGCGCTCATGTTTGAAAAATGAAAATCACTGCAAATACATGCATGTATAATGAGCATTGAAAGGACATTCATGTGACCCACCTTCACAAAAGCGGGATAAGCAGGGCAAGGTGTTTATTACAAAGGAAGGCACAGGCATGTACAACATGTACAATGTACATGTACATATATGCCGATGTACCAGTACTTGTACATGTATGGAGTTGTTGCAGAAAATCAAATCATAAAGTTGCTGCCATCAGCATTCATGGACAATAGAGAAAGATACGAATTCTGTGAAGCCATTCTAGAAGCAAATTAAGTCAAAAATGAGATGGCAGAAAGTACCGGTACTTTGGGGCACTTTCATTCAATTTACATGTGTAAGACATGTGAGGTGCAGTCTTTGACAAATTATGCCCAAGTTAACAACTTCAGTTTGGATGTTTATAAATTAATTGTTACTACTCTAAATCATTGTAATTTGATTTCAAGCATTGATTTTAGAGTTCAATTAAAAGCAACACCTAACTGAAGCCATCAGTTCTATCGGTAGATGTTTTTACCTTAAATGTACATGTAGGCTGGTCGCCCCCCCCCCCCCCCCACCCTTTAGGTAAACCTTTGAACCTACCGGTTGTTGGTGAACATGTAACCAATATACTCAAGTGTTCAAATACTGTGTATTTAAACTTTTAAGGATTGAGGTGATGGGTTTGAAGTCTATTTCTGTAGTAGTCCTGTGTTCGTGAATTATGTGTTTTGGGTTGTTTTCGTTTTTCTTTTGTTATCATTAATTAGCAGGCTTCTATCTTTATCTCAATAGTTTCTTGGGTATAATTATTTATGCCAGGTCTGCATATTGTTGATTTCACATTCAGTTACACATTTAAACAATTTTTTTCACTTGTATAATTAGTGTAAATTCACATTTTGTTCATGCTATAATTGAGTAAACCTTTTGTCCTTCCGTTACCGTCCTTCCGTTACCAAATTATAATCTGCTTAAAACGTTGTAATTATATAACCGAAACACTTAAAGTCAAATGAAAGGTGGTATAGTATAGATAAAGCTTCAGGGATTCCATTTCCTACCTTTAAAATATAATTGCCCCATAAAATTCACAGAGTTTTTGCAAAACGCGAGTAAGTTGGAAAACCCTTGTCCGTTTTACCGTCCTTCCGTTACCGACCTCATTAACATTCATAATTCATAAACGGGAGGCATTCATGCCCCCCAAAAGTGTGGAAAATGAAAGTAGCATTATAGCAATACAATTGTGACATTTGTTTGCTGTAACTATGAACAGTGTCTGTGATACACACATTTGAAATTTTGTTTAATGAGTGAAAACGTCCTTCCGTTACCGTGGAATTGCCCATAACACAAAAAAAGAACCAAAATATCCTTCAAAATTGCAAAACGAAAATTGAAATGAAGGTTTAATGGGACACAAAGGTGCATTTTCAAGGACTGCATTAAACAAATTACATTGCATGAGCCCTTTCATAATTGCCTGAGAAGTTTACAGAGAACAGACTGCATATTAGGATGATTGCGTCCCTTACTTTCACTTATCACAGCGTACCTCTCCTGTCTTACATGTAATATTTCTTCACGACAGAGTCTGGGAGTTGCAGCATCCGTCCTCAAGAGCGGAGCAAATCGTATGATGCGACAACCCCTGAATGCCACCACTGCCAGCCCACAGAAGTCCCAGCATCAGAATGACTTCCATGCAGACCTGCTGAGGTTGAGGCAACACTGGCGCCTCAAGAAAGTGGGCAGTAATATCCTGGGCGATCTCAGCTTCAGAACAGGTACTGTAAGGCGCTGCACAATGGGTTCTGTGCATGAACAAGAGAGGGCGCTTTAGACCGCTTTTAATGGAGAAAACATTATAGGTGGACAGGACACATCGTGTCCGTGTACTAGTTCGCGCACAAAGTACGCACGACTGATTTTATTCTGAATGTGCACAAAGCCATAGTTTCTTCGTGTGAGCATCAGGCGTCGTTGGCAATGCTTTCAAATGTCTCTCCTGGTGGTCTCCTCCAACTCTCCCTTACTTACCATTGAGGGGGTACTTGTGCTCGGAGCCCATAACATATACATGTAGTACCCCTTTCGTTTGTAAAATATGTTGGGTGTTTTAAAATCCAGAGTTATTTCCAACTCTTGCACGAAGTAAAATACATGGATCAGCCTAACATTATCTCCAGGAACTAATGAACTGACATTTGACCTTCAAGGAATAAATTTGATTTGAAGCATTACAGGATGGAAGGGCGTGATACTAAGGTTCGTTTCGGGGGGTACATCATAGGAATTAATCTCTTCTTTGGGAAAGTGTGGTTCGGTCAAGAACTGATAGTGCAAATTGATCTCAATTTGTCAGTGTGCTCTGTCCGTCTTCAAGAGAAGGACATTTCTTAACTTTGGTACTTTTCCGAACCAAACTTCTTCACAGAGGTGATTGTTTCCCACGGTGTACCTGCAAACAACCCTCAAGTCATGATAGCTCCAGCTTCAAAACCTTTTAAATTCATTATCATTATGGTTCACAACCATACAACTTTAATGTGCATGTGGAGGTACTATAGTGCTGTAATTTTATTTGTAGCTGGATCCCGCTTTTGGCACAATGGAACCTTTGAGGTGACCAAGATAACCGACGTGGATTGTGATGCAACCGAAAAGAAGAATGTGACTCCACTGAAGGTGACCATCCCATCAGACATAGAGGGCACCAGTCACATCCAAGTACTCATACAAGAAGGTCTGTTTTCATGCACATTACACTCATTATCGTTAAACTTTATAGGGATGTAAGTCCTGATATTACAATCAAGATGTCAGTGCCCACTGTATCTGTGATTTTAGTGAATAACCCAATATTGAATGAAACAAAGCAAGACAAAGATCAACAGACCTTACAAGATCAATTTAAATGGAGGCATGCCGACAGAATTACACAATTGGCAGAAATTACAAAATTGACCACTCTTGGCAGAAATATAGCCGAACAAATTTTGCGGCAAATTGCATACTTGAAAATTTTTACCTCTCACAACATCAGTTACAAGAGTCTGATCAATGTCCCCATAATAGTAGATGAGTCATAAGATAGACCAGCCCCTGTGGTTGTCTTGGTGGCATCCTGGCTATGTCCTCACTTTTTCAAGCTTTCTTTCTCCAAGGAGAAGCAGAGATTGCCACAGCGTCCTTGTCACAGCCCAGTAGGAGCCGTGTTTCAGCTGATGCTCACTGGCAAGAGAGGCTCGAGGCGGCACAGACTGTGCTCTTCTGCAAGGAGGTCTTTGCTCAGGTAGGGTTGCAATATAGCTTGACTGTGTTCTGACAACCAATCACAGACATGACAGGTGGTATGGCAACCAATCACAGACATGACAGGTGGTATGGCAAACAATCACAGACATGGCAGGTGGTATGGCAACCAATCACAGAAATGACTGCTGGAATGGCAACCAATCACAGACATGACTGGTGGTATGGCAACCAATCACAGACATGACAGGTGGTATGGCAACAACCAATCACAGAAATGACTGCTGGAATGGCAACCAATCACAGACATGACAGGTGGTATAGCAACCAATCACAGACATGGCAGGTGGTATGGCAAACAATCACAGACATGGCAGGTGGTATGGCAACCAATCACAGAAATGACTGGTGGAATGGCAACCAATCACAGACATGACAGGTGGTATGGCAACCAATCACAGACATGACAGGTGGTATGGCAAACAATCACAGACATGGCAGGTGGTATGGCAACCAATCACAGACATGACTGGTGGTATGGCAACCAATCACAGACATGACTGGTGGTATGGCAACCAATCACAGACATGACTGGTGGTATGGCAAACAATCACAGACATGACAGGTGGTATGGCAACCAATCACAGAAATGACTGGTGGTATGGCAAACAATCACAGACATGGCAGGTGGTATGGCAACCAATCACAGAAATGACTGGTGGAATGGCAACCAATCACAGACATGACAGGTGGTATGGCAACCAATCACAGACATGACAGGTGGTATGGCAAACAATCACAGACATGGCAGGTGGTATGGCAACCAATCACAGACATGACTGGTGGTATGGCAACCAATCACAGACATGACTGGTGGTATGGCAACCAATCACAGACATGACTGGTGGTATGGCAACCAATCACAGACATGACAGGTGGTATGGCAACCAATCACAGAAATGACTGGTGGTATGGCAAACAATCACAGAAATGACAGGTGGAATGGCAACCAATCACAGACATGACTGGTGGTATAGCAACCAATCACAGACATGACTGGTGGTATGGCAACCAATCACAGACATGACAGGTGGTATGGCAACCAATGACAGACATGACAGGTAATTTAACAGCCTATCACATAAGGGACATTGGGACTCTTGGGAGTGGTCATGAAGTGACATATACTATTCATATAGAGAGTCGATGTTAATTTGTCGAAAGATGAAAGGAATATGTTTAATCTCGCAAATGATTACAGTTCTCAAAATAATTAAAGCCTCAACTTAAATTCTGAACTTAATAGGAAAATATGATACCAGAAGTACAGTGTCTAACTTACTTGTTCCTCCTTCCTGGATCATGCTTTAGATTGCGCGAGAGGCAGTACAACTAAGATCACCGGTGCCCCACATCGTAGTTGGCAATCAGATCTTCTGCACACTTTTCCCCGGTGTCCGGCTCTGCCTTGCGTTATGCCACAATACCAGTATGGATTCACAGGTAGGCACTCAGTCATACAGAACCGGACTGAAGTGTAGATATCACTTAGGATACCAGGTATGGAGACCTTTGGAGTTTTCCCAAACCATGGTCTAGTCTCCAGCTTTGGCTACAGGAGATATTAGGCCCTTGGCTTGGGGGACTTTGAATCAGTATGGGTCAATGTTCTGGTTCATTAAATACTGTAAGTATTTCTATTTGGTTTGTGCAATACAAGTCTTCTAGATGATTCTAGAACAAAAATGAAGCCAGAGCTAGAGACGGCTCCAAGGTTTGGAAAATGTCCCTAACTTAATGTGACCCTTCTCAAAACCCCTCTCAAGTGTAAAACCCCTCTTATGTGTAAGCAATCAGGGTTGTGTAATATCCCACACATACCTCAAACACAAAGGAAGCAATATTCGTACAGAGTACTGCAGTCGATTTCACAAAACTTTACACAATGGCATAAGTCCATTTGCATTTACAAGCAGTCATCATAAATGCTGTTATTATCCGCATCCAAGATGTTAAGATTTTTTAAAATGTTGTGCAGCTACGCCAAGTTTTGTGAAAACGATCGTAAGTTTATTGCGCAGCTGCGCAATAAATTTGTTGTGCAAGTCCTACGCATGGCGTAAGTTACGCACTGTTTCATGAAATCGGCTGCAAGGCTGATTTCGCGCTGACTGTACTTGTTGCATAACGTATTGCATTTACAAGAGGTAAGCACTGTTTCAATGAGAAGTCACATACACAGCCTTAGTTGGGAGTGAGCCTCATGTTGCAAAAGAGCCTGGGGCTACACAAATGCATGAGGGGTGAATTTCCCAACGATGTCACTAGCATAATGTACACTTCACAAAGGCCTTTGATTGGTTTTTCCTTTAAAAAAAATGGAACCATTACATTCAACTCATTGTGTTTCACCAAAATGATCTGTTAATTGTGTTGCAACGTTTCTTTGATTTGTTCCAGTCAACCTCCAGTTTTGATTTTCGACTCGGGGTGAGTGGAGACAATATAACTCAATCACTCCGATCAAAGAAACATTTTCATATTCACTTCTGTTCAGATATCCTCATTTTTCTCCCTTCAAAAGATGGCTAATGAGTAGGCTTGGACTATATTTCAATAATACCGTGTAGTAACATTATTGTTTTGATACCGAACAATACCGAATGCCGAATGATGCTGTCAAAATACGGAAATACCGACGACCTTGGTTTGGAGTGCCATTACCGTGATTTCCCTTCTTAAATGTGGCCAGTTGTGTGCAAAAGCCCTTTTAAGAAGGTGACAGAAACAAGTTGGTCAGATCTGCGGTATATGGATAATTGTTTAACCTTTTAGTCACTCTAGCGCCCCAAACCGCCCTGCCTATACCCACTGTAGCGCTCAAAACCTCACCCGAGCACTCTATGGTGTTATTGATTATTCAGTGAGTAAACACAATGTAATACAATGTAGTACAGATGCTAATGGGTTAAATTCCTTGTGGTCAAGGTATCTAGATAAGGTCTTTTGACGTTCTGTCCATAATAATAACAGGTTCTTATATAGCGCTTTTAACTAAGATCAAAGCGCTTTACATTATTATTATTATTCCCCCTGATCATTGGGCCAATTTACATTACAAATACTATCTCAGCTCCCTGGGGAGTATACAGCTCGATGCTGCCTGTTAGGCGCATGGAAGCTAATACAATCACAGTAACCATTTCTACCCTCACAGGTACCCCTTTACTCCTGGGTGGAGAGAAGCAATGCGTGACAAAGTGCCTTGCCCAAGGGCACACACACCATGACCCCAGGCTGGACTCGAACCCACAACCTGCAGTTTTACCCGCAGACTACGATCCAATGCCCTTAACCAGGAGGCCACAGCGCTCCATGCTGCCTGTTGGCAGTTACCCTATCACCATGTGTCTTATAGTACTTTGATGACGTAATAGTCGGCCCAAAAAAGTACCTGATAATACCGGAAACTGCAATATTTTTGTGACGATATACCGTAGACTCATAAAATCCAATACCGCACAAGCCTAATAATGAGCAGAGTGTAGGCTATTACCCAGATTAGGGTTGTTCTTAATAACACCCCAACCATCTCTATCCTGCATGGATTTAGAATTCATATCAGTCAAATTCTGCCCTCATCTGGCACACCAGACCACCACCACCAACAGAATTCCAAATCCTACCAAATGAATGTCAAGGACATTTTTCTTTTCTACTGTTCATTTCATTTTTATACACCATAGAAATACAGCACTCAGTCCTTCATTGTGATATCACACGCAGACATTCTGATGAAAATGAACGTTGTGTGGATGAAAAGTTGACAGTTCCCATTCATTCCCATTAATTCCCATTACGCAAGATTTGTTTGAGGGCGTGTCACTCCAAAGAAGGCATAATTGACGTCCACCTCATGTCATTTGGTTGGATCACAGAGTCAGTGTCATGTTACATAAGATGAAGAATTGTGAGAGGGTTGGCTATTGAGAGCTTGCGATCTGAGATCTTAGGGGCATGGCTATTGAGGACTGCAGAAGTCCCTTAACGTCGTCTGGCTGTTTTTTAAATGACCGTTTAATTTTTGTCTTCCAGTTATCGCGTAGTTTTTGTTCTGAGATGCCTGGGGTGAGTTGTCCACAAATCCTCCATACATTGTGGCTTCTGGCTTGAACTAAAATGCCATTCATTGCTTGACGTGTGTTTTCACAGACTGTAGAGCATTGGAAAAAAATTGTGAGGAAGAAAATGAATTTTTAAAGACAGTGTGTCTGGTTTGCTCTCTTTCATTAATTTCAGTTTAATAATCGTAAGATTATCTGAAGCATTCAGGTAAATTTTTCCACTTGCTCAAATTCCTTCCAAAATCAAAAGTTCAAACACCAGACCACTCTGTTTCTCGTCTTTAATTCCTACTGTACAGATATTTCAGTATACCTGTCTGGCTGAGAAAAGGACTCGACGATTACAATGATTTCAAGTTGGCCCATATTAGCTTTATATCTCTTGTCGATCACAATTCATTCATGAATAATTTCAATCTAATTCACGTGGGCTAGGTTAGGGTCAAGCTTTACAGGGGCCCTGAGATGTCAAGCTGCACTTACCACTATCATGGTATCAGTCCACCACACAAACAACTGCTTCAACTTGCAGTTTTTTACATAATTTTTTTTCCTACAGGTTATGCAGGTATTTCCTGACAGTTTGTAAAACTAATAGAATGGAGTTAATAATGACAAATATTGGATATTTACGCTGATTCTAATTACCATCCCCTTGACTACCAACAAGTAAAGTGTCTCTTCATATGGAAGAGTATCTATATGGTTGAATTTTTTGTTTGCACCAAGAGAGGTCGAACTTTAGTCAGAAGTTTACAGTGATCAAATTATGAACTAAAATATCTTTTGATGATCAAGCTAAGCATACTTAAAACACTATCTGATTTTAAAAATAAAAAAAATAAAAAAGTAGGGAGTAAAGACAACTCTTATATTCCCATCAGTCCCTCCTCCTAATCACCCCGCGTCGACAAAAATGTTATGTTTTTCAGGTTTTGCAGGATGTTTGTGTCTCTGTAAAGTTGTTTTCTTAAAACCTGGTGGGAGTCAAATCCCCCACTAGCTCAAAGTCCTTGTATTTCCAAGCAGTGGCTTGAGATATAAAACCTTCCACAATTTCAAATTTCATTGTCTCAAGAATCCACGTCAACTCATCTTTGTAAATGTTTCAGCCATGAAGCTTGCAAACACAACACATGATACTCTTATGCTCCCATCGTTAAATCAAGCTGCCAGAAAAACTAACAAGCTTTCTACACAGATTTTGTAACAAATCTTTCTTTAAATGAGGAATACTGTACCTCTCAATGGCAATGTGGTAATGGGCGGCATGGGTTGCTAGTGCTCGCCACTTGCCAATGTGGCTCGGGTTCAATTCCTAGCTTGGACCATATGTGAGTGGAGTTGTTCGTTGATTCTCTCCTGTGCCACAAGGGTTTTTATCCGGGCCCTCCGGTTTTCCTCCCTCCGCTAAAATCAACACTTTCGATCTCTGGCTGTGCTCCACGGTCAGACATGGGTTGTACCTAGGGCGGCAGCCTAAGGCGCCTTTACGTGCCAGTGGCTCGACCACGTTGTAGCCGCGTCCATTGCAATACAGCTTCTCAGATAAGTAACGATGATTAGCCCTTTCATAAAAGCTATCATGCCATAACACATGAAAAATTGTACATTTGAAAGTGAAAACTAATGTCATGACCCACATTAACACATTGCCTTGAAAAATAGTCACTCATATGCTTCCTTGTGGCTTTTCAGTAAGTTTTGATGATTCAAATTTGAATTGTAAGCAATTTTGAATCGCACAAATCAAATTGCATCACTTTTGACAGCAACAGACATGTTGTGTACTTTAAGGTATGTGTGTGTTTGAAATGATGGTGTCAGCGTATTGTTAACTCAAGGTAAATTATGTACATAGCATGGGCTGATCCATTTGCATGGTTGGGGGAGTCGTTTTTAGCTCCAGCTGTGCCTAAGGTTTATGAATTTCTCCCAATTGGAGGATAGCCATGGCTGTTTAGAATTAGGTCCAAAGCGCCCTCTAGTGAAGAAATAACTTCATGATTGAATTGGGATATATCTTCAAATTCATGCATGGTTTTGGGAATTGTTACCCCCAGTGTCCTTGGTAAATATGTCAAATATAAAATGGTAACTATCAGTCTGATTTGGGGCTTATGTTCGCCACCAGGCACTGCTAGCATTTATCTTAGGATTTGTCAATTGTGTCAGGGATTTTGCATATTTTGTCAAACTGCATCAGAAGAAGCTGTTAGCTAACTAATTAACGGAAAAATGTTTATTTTCCAGATCAGACAAGCGTACATGTAAATAGAATGAAGGATGTGCCCGTCCCAGTGTTATTTTATTTGAGATAATTGATGAGATTTGGTATTATTTATTTTTTTTAGTCTATGAGGAATTTAGGCTTCTGCGCATGAGTACATCCTGTAACTGAGGATTCTGTGCTTACAGGGTTAGCTCTGAATTATTTGCTAGCACGGTTAGCACAAATGGTGATCGTAAGCACGGAATTCTGTGGTTAGCAGAGCCATGAAATTGGGCCCAGTGCATTCCTAACAGTGTCTGGCACTCATGTGAAGATGCTACGCGTTGTGCACATTTGGAATAAATTAATTGTGCTTACTCTGTACCATACGTGTGCAAACTAGTGCACACACGTGGTGCGTCCCTCCCACTGAAGCTCTGGAGGTGGTAATAAAATTTGTGAAAGAAGTCCATAGAAATTTGGTGTCGATATTCAGAGGACAGGAAACAAGTCAATCACAAGTCATTGCAAGTAAGGTTGGAGCTTAACTCCGAATAACAGGGCATGTATGATAGGGACTTGACACTGCCGGGCTTGTGATAATTGTGATGACTTGAGATGACTTGGTCGTAGCTCTGAGCCTAGTGATTCAAGTCAACTTTGCTGCATGCCAAATAGTCTACGATTCTTCATTCCCTGTTGACCAGATTGAACCCTTGAGGCAGCCCAATCACAGCCACGCCTTGGAGCACTCCCTGCATCAGCTCCTGAGAGAGCTTCACCGCAGCAACTTGAGCGGAACCACGCCCCGGCCCATCACAGCATCGTTGACGGTCAGCAAGAAGCGACGATTGGCTGGACCTCAGGCCATCAGCCGGAAAGAACTGACCGACAGCCAACAAGGGTAAATATGAAAAGTCGGGGCCTGGCTTGGGCTTAGGCAATTTGAGTTATTCAACTTTTCCAATAAATCATTATTCACCGGGGCCTCCATGGAGAACAGATTTTCCACGACTGATGGGGCTACCCTAGTAAAATAAATACTGTAAATTAAAAAAAAAGTCATTTTTGTGAAACTGCAAGTTTTGAAGGTCAACAGAAGTAGGATTTGTGGTCAACAAATTCATAACGTTTACACTTATAATAGTAATTTCACTATTGATAATTAAGAGATATTCGGAGGGGGGGGGGATTTCCAATTTTTTTTTACTAAAACAGCCCCTCCTCCTTGCTAGTCTGTAGCATGAAGAGGGTGGTGGTTGCATGGTAAATTTTTATTGACAACATTTTATAAAAATACTAATTCTTTTGTCTTGCTTTACCAGGGAGTGCTTGTTGGAGAAGGTCTTGAAACAAGCTAAGCACATTGTTTTGAGGAAAAGGTAGGTCATAGTATATCATAAGTAGGAAAATAAATTCACTATCGCGCTCGCGCTCGTGGAACACGTGGAACACATGGAACACGCAAAATGTAATGCGTCTGTGTACCACATATCACTCGGCCTTCGGCCTCGTAGTATGTGGGACACAGACGCACTACATTATTACGTGTTCCACTCGCGCTGTATTATATACATAGTAACACAGAGAACTGGCTTCATATTACATCGTACCGATGAAAAGGGAATCAGTGACATACCCAACACCTTGGTCAATATAACAACGTTATTAGCATTTCTGCCCATAAAGCATCAGTAACTCAAATATTGCCAAACTAAAATCTTATTTTTTAATGTGCAACCATTTCAGGGTAGCCGACGTGATCAACCAGCTATCCAGTGACCTACAAGATCCTGTCATTCTAGTGCATTGGAGTGCACACACTCAACCGCTGGTGTCTACAGCAAAGATCCACATCTCAACTAGCGGCTATGAGCAGATGGCCATGTAATTACACTCAGTGTGTTTGACTATTGTGCATTTTATGACCTGTTCCCATCAAAAGAGCTTTACCCTTTCATCACCAAATCGTTGATTGACTTGGCTCTCCCCAGAATCAAATTGTTTGCTAGAGCATAACAATTGACCACAAGTTGAACACTCAGTTTCTTCAAACTACATTTTTTCAGCTACGGATAGCAGCTCAACAAATGGTCGTGTCTCTCTGTGAGTTGGTTCGTTGGTTAGTTAGTAACAAACGTCAGCAACAGCCTTGCATGGCTATAAATCACCTCGTCATTCAGGCCCAGGTATACATCAACTCCTGGCCCTCTGTCGTTCACTTTAATGGGTCTCCACTGACCGCCTTTCAATTTATGCAGTCCTAGAAAATTGGGTCACTAGGGTCAAAAACCTGATGTTTGTACTGAAAACACTACTCCTTCCAGAAATTAAATGGCACAATTACGTCACACATGTATGAACACAAATGCGTTTACCTGCAGCTTCTGAGATCATTTCAAGCTCGTTCTGCCAAGAATTAAAATCAATGCCTATGATAAGCAGCAGGGAGTAGTTCCTTGTTGATAATAGTCACCCATGGTGAAGAAAGGGTTAAAATGGGAGTTTTAGGAATTCTGAAGGACAAGAGCTCTTTGATTATGCATATAAAACAGAGATTTGGACAGGCATTTTGAGGGTTGCAAAGTGTGGTATATCTGGAGGCTGTGAGTCTTTGTTTTTCTGCAAATCGTTGTTGACAGGAGAAAAGCAACTACATGTAATGAAATAGGTTTATAGATACTGGGGCACTAAAGAAATGGTAGATGGGTAGAGGACTTGAGGTTCACTTAAACAATAGACCATTCCTTCTGGATTGGATTCATCTTGTTGATAGCACCCTCTATCGCTGATGGGGACTGACTGCGCTTGCCAGGGATCGAGACTAGCTATGTTATGGGAACAAAATGCAAATCTTGAGCCAAGACTACAAAATTTGATTTATAAATGCATCCACCAATAATAATAATAATAATGGTGTCTTGTATAGCGCTCATGTCCGTCACAAAGTGACGCTCCTGGCACTCCATTATTACCCTGGCTTTAGCACGGCTGCCATTACGGCGCTCCAGCATTGAAGGAATTTCTTCCTACCAGGTACCCATTTACCACACCTGGGTGGAGAGAGGCAGTTGTAGTAAAGTGTCTTGCCCAAGCGCACAAGCACCATATTCCCCGTCAGGATTCGAACCCACGTACCACGGCATACGAGTCAAACACCGTAACCACTAGACCAAAGCACCCCAATACACCTGGCACAAAAAGAAACTAAGCAGTTTTTATAATCATCCTAGTTTGGACATTTGTTGATGAATAAAAAATCTGAAATGTACGTTTTGTCACGGAAACTGTCCAGTTCAATTTGATACCTCACTTTGTGAACACTGTGTAAGAAATAACCAGAGCGCAAGCGCTGAAGCTCCTGAAATCCAAAAACTTAAAGTTGCACTTAGCGAAATTTTGAACGGGCACTGCAACACACAATTGAATGCGGGGCCTGCATCATCATTATATAGGTTCGTAGGTATTTCACATGAATGTCCTCATGTTTTTCGTCGTCATGTTACTGTGATGCTGTTTAGTGTAACTTTTCATTGTAATTGTAAGGTAAATATCAGTATTGCAGCAGTAACATAACTTTTCTTGTTGTAAAACACATTCATTGAAATGCTAATGTAATGGGCTCTATAAGTGTAATTTATTATTATTAGGTTTTTTTTATTTGGCCAAAGGATATTGCTTCAACTTACTGTGGAAGTAGACCAGATTCGAGTGCTGTGTAAGGACGGTCGTGTCATCCATGCCAATTATGAGCAGCAACAGTTGAAGGACTTGCTTCGATGCCAGGTAACGTTAGCTGTTTCACACTTAAAACGATCGCTCATAATGGACTGTTCTTTTGGTTTAATGGGTTTAAAGGGATCCTCTATTTTTTGTGAAATGCATACCTCACTTTTTATAATGAGGGTTTCATATAAACGTTTTGGAATATTTGTAATTAGATTTAGAATTGTTATCGTTTAATTGTGTAAATGTCACATCATTGTTGGCATTGAAAGTCCGGGTTGTACATTGTAAAGAATTCAAACTTGAAAGCTTCAACCCTTGTCAACCTCCAGAATTTTTTAAAAACCTGACTTTCACTCATACCTGCTCAGGGGTTGGGGTGAAATTTTTATGACACATATTATTTTTTTTGATGTTTCATCCAAGGCCAAAGACTAATGTGATAAAGTGAACAAGGCTAAAGTTAACCTGGGAGATGTGAATTGACCTCGGTAATCCATTGAACCTGTTGGAATGGCACTGTGCTATATTTGTTGTCTTGATCCCTTTCATGATTACGATATTGTTTTGTATGGACTCGTTGCACCCCTATACCGCCTCAATATTGACAAAAAGAGAGAGAGGCAGACTGTTGAATGCACACATGTATGCAAAGACGCAACAGCGTTATGTGGTGTTTTGTTGGCATTCAAACTAAAAATAATTGGGCGCACTTTGTTTGCAAATTAGTGTAGCATGTAGTGTGTTCTAGTTTTCATGAATGGTAACGGAGCACAATCTACTGTTCTCTTGCAGAGTAGATACTGGGTTTTTTTGTTCATTATTTTACAGAAATGAAACTGTTCCGAATTTAATGGAAAAACCGACTTCGTGACTTTCTATGAAAATTTCTACGATTTTTCCCACAAAATTTGATTTTTGTAACAATTTTTTCACATATGTGACTTTATTTAAATTACAATTTTGACGAAAAGTTGATGAAAAAGTCGATGAAAGCGGCACGTAAAAATTATCGCAAGTGAAGTTTTAATCTCTTTCACCAGTCCTGAATGGAGTGTTTCTACAGTACTTGTAGAAACACCTAGGCCAACACTGATCGAAGCCTTTTTCCGGCAGGATAGAAGGTTAAATATTGATTTTAAAATATTTTCGGAGGCTTCAGATTTAGTTGTACAAAATGCAATGCCTTAACAATCAGGATGAGTACCGATGGTGAAGAGAGCATGAGGATGGCGAAGAGAGCATAAGTGATACATTTCACTGGCAGTTGTTGGAAGAAAAAGACGATAATGCCCGTTAGTGGCGTTTGGTTGAATAGTGCTCTTGTCTTTCGGACTTTTTCCTCGACTTTCTCAAGTAAGAAGTGAATTTCTTTGAGTCGGGTACTCTAACTGTAATTCAGGCTTTCTAATTATATGAAAACACTCAACATTTTTCAGGAGCCAGTGTCCGGAAATTTGGCATGAAGTGTATTGTACATACAGTCGAGTCTCGTTAATACAAACTCGTTCGGACCTAGCCAAATTGTTTGTTATATCAGAATTTTGTATTAAGATGAACATCAGTCCCATATTCAATGTGCACATAAATGCACAGTCGGGACTAAGGCTTTATGTTTGGTATGACCAGAATTTTGTATTAACAGAGTTTGTACTAACGAGATTGGACTGTATATGTATATGTGTGTACATGTATATGCGTAACTGTAGCGTGGCCCAAATTTCAGACACATGTTTTTGTTCGGCCTATTTTTCGATTTTGTTTCCCCCACATGCCAGTTTCATCTCTGATTTTGATATAAAACATGGTGCAATCTCCAAATTCCACTAGTGTGACAGCTGTATTTTGTGTCTGTCCTGCAGATATCCCAGCATCAGATTGCCTGCGTGTTTTCCCTGTCCAAATCAATGAATATGCATGTCCTACATTATAACCTCCATCTTGGCGTTGGTTCTGCCTCCAAGCTTGGCAACGCTTCATCGGTGCTCATCTCCACCCACCATGGCCAGAGGTGAGGTTTGCAACTAATTCTACAGTAAATTTGTTCTTTGAACTAAATACTTCAGCTTTGTTCTAGAACCACACACTTGGGAGTAAGCCTTGAACAAGCTGGAAAAAAGAAGTGGATATGATACAATTTTGTGACTTTTGTTTGTTCTTAAAAGTTTAATTCTCCAATCGAATGACAAAGATATACTTGGATGTTATATAAAACAAATAATGAATGTTTTGCATTCGTGCAATGGTGGGAATATTTTCATTTGTTGAAAGATGGAATGTTCCATTCAACTCAGCTTTGCCTCATTGTGTGGAACATTCAATGTTTCAACTCATGAAAATATTCTCACCATTGAACTCATAAACATTCATTATTTGTATACTATTTTAACCCATATTATAACATGTACTGCAAACGGAAGTACCGTTCTGTAACCATGCATGGAAATGCCGCCTACTAGCTAGGCGAGGGTTACGGACTTGTGGGGACTAGATGACATCTTTTGTATACCCCTTGCTAGAAATTGTAAACATGCTTTTAAAAATATAAGCATTGTTGACATCTCCTTTTCTGCCTCGTTGTTATTAAGGACGCTGGCTGTACGGAGCGACCCCCTAAATGGCATACGAGTCCAGGTGAAGGGATGCAAGAACCCTCATGATACCGAACAGAAGAGCAACGTGGTGACAGATCCAAAGTGGGAGACCATCATGACGGACTACCGGGAGGTAGACATGGACCGGATACCGGGCAGAACCTTTGTCAACAAGATGGAGTTACTGATGGCTGTGCTTGCGTCATGAGGGGGAACTGTTAAAAAACATTGCACACCGCTTTGAAGACTGGCTCTCCAAAGTTGCTCTGAACCAAGTAGCAGTTGGAGCAACTTGGGTCAAACCAACCAGAGTATGGTTTCAAACATAATATGTACAGTGGAACGCCGCTATAACGAACATTGTGGGATCCACAGAAAATGTTCAGAATAGTGATCGTTCGGTATGGGCTCCGTGCACAAGTACCCCATCAATGGCCTGAAAAGGAGAGTTGGGGGTGACCTAGACTGGTTCCTGATCCATCCACTGCGTATTTCAAATGATATCCAAAGTTATTGGGATCGGGGATTAGTCTGGGAGACCATTAGATTAAATTTGAACGTATTTGAATGTATTCGCGCGCCGACGACACCTGACACTCACGCACGAAGACGCTATGGCTTGGCTTTGTGCACATTCAGGAAATAAATAAGTCGTGCCTACTTCGGGCGCGAACTACAGTGTGCACACGCGGTGTCCTGTCCAAGGGGCACTCAGAATTGGTAAAAGCACGCCCTCTTTTGTTGGCGCACGGAGCCCATAGCAATTGTAAGCTGCCAGTGCTCCGGTACTTCAATATATAGCGCCCTTCAGAACTTCACCCTTCACGCCCTGGTTGTTACTGAAAGACGACTTGAATTATGTAATTACAAAGTTTTTGAGCTTACTACCTACAGCAATGGGTGGCTTTCCCCTTTTATCACTTGTCGCTCTTCTGCTGACATTTTTTGGAACAACAATGTTCAGTAGGTTTTGTACACATCATCGTCATCAAATAGTCTACATTTTATACTCTGAAACTGTTACCTGATAAAGAATGGTGCCAATGTACACTTTCGTTTATCTGCTAGACTTTGTGTAAAGTAAACGAATATGGTCACAATTAAATTGAATTTATCTCAATTCATTGTATTACAAACGGAAATGCTTAATGGGGGTGACATGAAGTTTGCACTGGAACTTATGCAAATATTTTTCCTCTGAAATGTATGAAAACTACGAGAGATCCCTTTTTGGTTAATATGTTTGTAAATCCACTTTTTTAACATTTAATATATTCCATGCTTTTTTCTGACAACTGAGGGCGCTGTTTCTGTGATGTCACATTAGGCTCACACTAAGGGTTTTCTGTTCTTATTGTGAACCCTAATTTTTGGTAACTGAAAACATTTGTGAATAAATTGTGTTCATAGACTTACTTTCATGTACTGATACAACAGACAATGTATCACCAATGCCAAAAAAATCACAATTGCAAAACCCGAAAATTCTGGAAACTTTTGATGCTGGAGCAAATTTCTGCCTAAAATGACATTGAACAGAACTCATACTCATAGCAAGAATGTTAACTGTTGGAGTAAAAAGGCCCAAGGTACCACATTTTTGAAGCGCTGCTAGAATGAAAAACCTGATGTTGTTGGGACTGAGTCTTGCTCAACAGCTTTGTTACTTCTCAATATTACTCTGCGTAATTGCACGTGGCTGTAAACATAAAACATAATTTGTTGGAATTCAAAAAAACCTGAACGTTTTGGAGAACATGAAAATACACGTTTTTGCATCAGTGAATTGAAGAGAAAAATAGTAAATCGGCAATTCATTCTTTTTAATAAAATGTGCGGTTATGTGCCGGCATGCGAATAACACGACTTGCAACAGAGCCAGAATATAGTATCAGGGTGACCCACCGTTGATCTACCCATGGAGGAAGGAACACTTCTCAGGCACGAATTGATCATTGCTAACAACCATGATGTCGGTTTGAGGCAATATCCTTGACTACAAAGAGGTAACTATGACAGAGCTTTAACACTTCAATGAATTTTTGATAGCCACAAATTACCACCCTTAATATGTGCTGTGGTAAGTAATTAGTGGCCTTTTGTAAAGAGGCAATGAAATGAATACAGTCGTGTACCATTACGAGATGAATAATTGGCTCCTTATACATGTGTACATGTATTATTCATCTCGGTGAAGCCTTGTTCATGTCGGTCAAGACCGTAGTCAAGAGGGAGCAAGGGCGGATCCAGGGGGGGCCAAAGGGGGCCATGCCCCCCCCCCCAAAAAAACGAAACCAATTTTTTTTTTTTTATGTGGCATCGCAATAAAGGCAGGCAATGAGTACACCACCATCTTTTCCTCAAAAAAACATTGGTTAAAGTGGTCAGAAATTGCCTCAGATCGCACCACAGAGCATCTAGAATCCAAAAAATTTTCGGGGCCCTTAAGCGGGCCCCGAACCCCACGCCGTAATTTTTTTGACCCACTTTTTGGGGGGACCATAATGTTTTTTGGCCCCCCCCCCAAAAAAAATTGTGTTCTGGATCCACCCTTGAGAGGGAAAAGCGTATATTTACGCCATCCATTATTTTGTAATTATGTTTGCTCTGCCTGGATGACTTTTCACAAGCCATCAACAGGTTCATTAGATAAGTATAAAGGAAAAAGGCAAGTGTGCGTGATGCTCGTGGACTGCACAGTGAAGCAGACTTACAATTAGCTTACAATTAAAAGTCGGTGAAGGGCAAAACCTAATTTGATTTATATCACCCCGACGCAAAATTCCATCTTATTACGATTAGCCTGGTTGATGGAGAAGTTATATTTCGAGTTCGATCGGTAAAATTACGATCGTCAATTCGCCCCTGCTCAATGTAAAAAGGCCGAGCCAGAGGACCACCATCTATTGGTGCACGAGTAAAAAAACCCCGATATTTGAACATTTTCAACTGTTACATTCAACCACCTTTCTCTGATACTCTTGATAAATTGGTGACTCTCATTCGTGATCGGCAAACTGCAAGTAAGATACGGCTCCACAATGAGGCCTGTTTCATGGCTGAGTGCTATCTGGGCGGTGGTATGTGAGCAAGCCAATTCTTGCAAAACCGGTCAAGAACGATTCGATAATTCTTGCTATCAGCTGCTGAAGGAAATAATGACGTGGGATGAGGCATTTCAGGCCTGCTCTGCCATGGGTGCTGGTGGCTTGGTGGTTCCTGACTCCCCCAATGAGAATCAGTTCATCAGGGAGATGATAAAGACGAATCTCCTAAGTGATGGCAAAGTCTGGATCGGCTGCACTGACATGGACGAAGAAGGCAAGTGGATGCAAGCTGGTGAGGCAGGCAAGGAGTGGAATAAGGGATGGGTGGACATGGTTGTACAATACGTGCAACTGTGATCTGTGAGCGTCATAATTATCTACCCAGATATTATGATCTGCCTTCAGGCTGATGCTGACGGCCGTTTCATGTCCCCATAACTGTGACCAACCAAAACGTTCGACAACGGTTTGGGAACACTGAGGAAAGACACCCTCGATTTCATATATATAGCAGCAATTGGACATTTGTATTTGCACGGAAAATGCCAGACAGACATCGGACAAATTCGCAAAGATGTGTAGGTAAAGAATGTAATGAACGACTGTTGAATGACGGCAAGAATATTTCCTCCACGGACTGGCATTTTACACTGACTGCATCCGTCTCAGAAACTGTATGTGAGACGCATATTCCATAACGATTCATGTATAAATGAATCGTTTATTTGTTTTGACTTCTTCTTTTTCCCCAAGCAAAACAAAACAAAAGTAATTTCCTTAAATTTCGGACACCCCCTTCCCCCAAATTAAACCACGCTACCCGAAAAAAAACCCAAAACGGCCCCAGAATAATTCAGATCCGTTAGCAGGGTATGCTGTAGTTCTCACAACCTGATGATAACAATGTACGGACCGGGAGCAACTTAAGACTACCCCCAAGACGGATCCCTTTGTGCGCAAAAGTGACCCAAAATAAAAGCCTTTTTTTCCAGAGGGTTGCAGGCGTCCAAAACTATAAAAAAAAAAAAAAAGGTAGCTTTTTCGGTAAAAAGATAAATTAAAGGTGATGAACTTCGTAAGGGAAATAATATATTGAAGAGCACGTACAGTACACCTGTACGAGTTGGATTTGCTATCGACCAGGGTAATTGGTAAAGTTCTAGCAAAAAGTTGTGTCAAACGGTAAAGTGCTGCTATATACGGTAGAAATAACATTTAGCTGTAAAATATAAGAATAAGGGGAGCACTAGTCTTGTATACTTTCTTTGATCTCGTGGAACAGCAACCTCATAATGAGGTATAGTAAAAGTGTTATGAAACATTTTACGAGTAATTTCAAGTGAATTCTGCCCACAACTGTCATTATATTTCTGTATTTATGTACGTTTGTTGGTGGGTTGCCTGGTTGGTTTGGGTTGATTTATTTCCTTCCTCTATTCTTTCCATAAAATATCTAGCCGCAGGTCACACGTGCCAATGTAATTTCCTCGCGGAAATTCTGAGTCATAGTAATTAATGATTTTGATTGCTCAACATAACTTTGCGTCAAGCTGTTCCAGAAAGCCTACTCTGTATAAAGTATTATTAGGCCTAATCAAATCCTACATTCCAGGGGCGGATCCAGGAATTTTTGCAGGGCGGGGGTTCCGTCCTGTGAGATTTTGTTATTTCTGATTTTAGCGGACATAATATTGCAGCACATTGTAACTGCATCATATTGTAACTGATGTACTTATTGTTATAAAAAAAGTGTTGAATGATCACTTCATCGCCCGGTGTCTGCAAAGAACCGGAAGGAAACGTGCAAAGAGAGGTGTGTCAGTGCCGGCAGTGGTGGAAGTCGTAACAGATGTTCACACTATAATGAATTAAAAAAACAAACAAACAAAAACAACAACAAGCCAAAACAAACAATCCATCGATGAGAAAAAAATTGGTTTGCCATTCAATTGGGAAAACATTATTCCAAAGTCATGTTGAATGATCACTTCATCGTCCGGTGTCTGCAACGAACCGGACGGAAACGTGCAAAGAGAGGTGTGTCAGTGCCGGCAGTGGTGGAAGTCGTAACAGATGTTCACACTATAATGAATTAAAAAACCCAAAAAACAAGCCAAAACAAACAATCCATCGATGAGAAAACTGGTTTGCCGTTCAATTGGGAAAACATTATTCCAAGGTCGTGTTCAATAATCACTTCATCGTCCGGGTCGTTGCAGACACCGGACAAAAAAGTGCAGTGTGAGGTGTGTCAGTGCCAGTGGTAGAGTCGTACCAAAAAATACAGGAATGACTCAACACAATCATATATGCATTTATACCAAACTTTAATTCATATGGTACTTCAGTATTTTTTTTTCTTGGAAAATTAAAGATCATGACCGCAACTCTTTCGCTTTTGATTGCCGAAATATTGTGAAATAATATTTTCGACCGAAAACGGGTGATTCGCCTGTGAAAATTTGAGTCAACTTTCAACCATGCATAATTAGTGCCTTCAGTGGTGCGCAAAGGCGCGGCGTCGTGAAATGGGAGAGGGGATTTCCCGAACCCCATTTTTCAAGAATCGAGAAGTTTGTCACTTAGTGGCAGTATGCACATTGACGTCGCGAGCTGAGAGAACGGCGGATATATGGAAGCACTTTAAATAAAAGGAGTAAAAGCCGAAAAACAAAAAGAAAAGAAAACGGGTCGATGATAATCATGTAAATATAATTCAATGGATATTTACAGTGTCGTAACTTGTGATACCCGAACGCGAATTATTGATTTAAATGGCTTCCTGTCATGAAAGAGAAAGTATTTGAGAGGGGGGAGGCTTTCTTCTGGAAGTCGAACACTTCGGTTGTGTTTTTAACAGTTAAAATTTCGTCTTCTCTCAGATGCTGATGGGCGAGGATGCGGGGGGCACAAGGAGGAGGGAGGGGAAATAGGCATCGAGCGGGGGCCCCTTCTTCCCCCGGTTACGTCATTTTGTATATTTAACGATAGAAACTGCCGGGATTGGGCCTAATTTAAAATGAAGTACGAAAAAAAAATGATACTGTTCGTTCTTTTTTTCGGATGTGAATATAAAGAATGTCGCATGAATGTATAGGCTTATGTATCTATCTTAGCGCGGAGTCCGTATACAGGAAGAAACGTATTAAAGAAAATCGTGCTTTTTCACAGAAAAATTCAAATTACCGGGGCTATGCAGGTCACCATTTGAGTCGACCCTGAAGTGCAGGATGTGTACACTTTTAAGGTCAGAGTTTTAAATTACAAAGACCCTTTCGATATCCACTTTTAATATAAAATATCACATCATTTGGCCTTTGCTTTAATTAAAACAAAACGTCTCGACCACAACATAACCATTCATGGACTAATGACGAGCACGTATACCGTCTGGCAAGTACCAGTAGTTCAGCTCAAGAAATTTACATGGTGATCCGCTTTTACATTACACGAGAAATATTATTTAGTATTCATCAGGATTCTGTGAAAGTTTGTAAGTTCGTGGGTCCTGAACATTCCTCTGTGCTCAACAAGGTAAAAACCGCAAACTTATGGCCTTTATGATGCAACATTGTACTTTTACATGACTGTCCGATATTTCCGATATTTTTTGTTTCAATTTTCCTCATGACCAACAGAGTTAGAGAAAAATTGAAACAAAATCCATGAAGCCCGATACCCAAATTCGATCAGCATAAAAAACATCAAATAATGACGGAAACACTAAGTTTGTCAATTGGCCTTCTTCCTGTACCAAATCCAGAAGTTTCTTGTATACGAGGCCTGGTCTCCATTTGCGATTACCTAATTCACGTCCAC